AAAAATGGCCAAATAATATTGTTAACACACTGTATGTGACTATTGCTGATAAAGATAAAAATTCAAACAGGTAGTCTAATAATACTGCAAGTTTATTTTCCAATATTGAATATAGAATAAGAAATAAAAAATATATACGAGAAAATTGAAGATGCCTTGAAGCGGACCAGGACAGAGGCTAAGGTAATAAATATGGGTGATTTTAATGTCATAATTGGTGAAGAGTTTGATGATTGGGGATCAGGGGAATTTGGTTTGGAAACCAAAAATAGTGAAGGAGAAAGATTATTAGATTTCTGTAACCAGTACAATTTAATAGTATCAAATACAATGTTTGAAGTATCAAAAAGAAAAAGATACACGTGGCTCTCTCCGGGGGAGATAAATTGTTATCAAATAGACTATATTTTAACAAAATCAAGTCTCAAAACTTTAATAGAGCTACCCATGTGCAGAAGAGGATAGTGACCACAAATTAGTAATTGCTTAAAGTATAAGAAACATCCAGTAAGAGCTAAAAATCGATTAAAGTAGGATCTTCAGAGTTTAAATAACATGGAAATATAGGAATTGTTTGTCAATTGTACAAAATAAAATGTAAAAATAATAGATGATCTAGTTAATTGGAATTCAGTAAAAGAAGTTATATTATATTCAGCCAATACAACTTTAAAAATTAAGAAATTATAGTTCCCAGGAAACCGTGGATAACAAAAAAAAAAATACTAGATTTAATCAATGAAAGGAATACTCACAGCTTAAAATACAAAAAAAATATGAGTAATCTAATGTCCAAATGCATTTATTTCAGCCAAGTTATGAAGAAAAACTTGACATATTGATTATAAATTGGTTTTTTTTGGGATCCGGCTTTTAAATTACCAATTTTTCCAACAGTCAATTTAGGCAGAGAAGACGAATTTATGGTTTATTCATAAATTCCCTCACATTAATAATTCCTGGGCATGTCACTGCTCACAGGAAAAGAAGAAACTATCAACAATACTAAAGAACAACAACGTATATAGCAAAAAAAATGTATAGAAGGCGAAGAAATATGGATGAAAGACATTGCCGAGGAAAGATATGATATGATACACAAAAGTCAGATGGACAGAATATATGATTTAGTTAAACAAATAATGTTTCAAGAAGTAGTATTGTTAAAAACTAAGTGGGAGAACTATTAACAGTTGCGAAAGATATAAGTGATAGATGAAGACAATATATGGATGAGCTATATAATGGAGAGTGTATCATAGAAGAGATTGATAACATTGAATAAGAAGATGAAGTAGGGAAGGATTTAAAAAAAAATCGATCATTTGGAGGGAGTTTGACATCACACTAGAACAACTTAAGAACAATAGGACAGTAGGATCAGATTTAATAAAAAGTGAGTTATTGATAAATGATAATAAAGAGGTGAAAGAGATCATCTATAATAAGGTGCAACATTGATAAACAACAGGAGATATCCCAAATGAGTTTACGATTAGTAAGTTAGTCACGATTCCGAAGAAAGGTAGTGCAACAGAATACGCTAATTATAGAAAATTATTTTTAATATCATATTCATCTAATGTATGAATAGTTTTAAAACAAGCACAACTCAAAATAATAGAAATATTAATAATAGAAAAACACGATAAAGAAATGGAAATAACTATCAGCCCATATGGCACGAAAATCAAAGAAGTCAAATCATATTGCTACCTAGGTAACCATAACACGTAAGACAATAAATATACAACAGAAATAAAAAGAAGAAAAGCTTAGGCAAAGGAAGCCTTCATTAAGAAACAAAATCTCTTAATAAGTATTTAATGATTAAAATTAGAAATTTAATTATTAAAATGTATGTTTGGAGTGTTATATGGTAGTGAGTTCTAGACTTTAAGTTCCCTAAACAAAAGAAAAATAGGAGCATTAGAGATATGGACATGGTGGAAAAAGATGAAGATCAGTTGGACAAAAAAGAAATCGAATATGGATGTGTTAAATATGGTGAAAGAACCAAGAAAAATTATCAAAATGATAGAAATAAGAAGAACTAAGTTTTTTGGACACGTAATACGATACAATACGTTTACTATAAATATTATGGGAAAGAGAAATGGTAAAAGAGGAAGGTTAAAATACACTCCAAATTAAAATATGTATTCTATAAAAAGTCGAACTATTCAAACGCCGCGTCCCGCGCCACAACTCATATTATGCTCTTTTACTCTCACCCTACTCAAATTTAAAAGTGGAATATTTTAAAGTGGAAATTAAAAATGTTAACACCAAAGTCCAATTAAATTACAACTTCATCTATTTATGGAATTCTGTATATAGGTTGCTAATTGAACATCAAAGTGGGTTCCATTTTAAAAAATAAGGGTTGAAAAAATAGAGTAGGTAGTGAAACATTTTAGAGCTGCTTATTTTATAAATTATTAAACATAGTAATTCTTAAAAATGTTAATACTTTCTAAGATAATGACTTATCGAAGTTTGATAATTCTGTGTACAAATATTATAAGGTACAACAGCACAGTGATCTGAATTGTAAATTAGTAGGCAAAATCTTAGTTTTAAAACTGCGATAAATGTAATATTTCATATTTGATATCAAATGTACATAATAGATTACCTAATTAATCAATATTTCATAATATGGGGCCCTTTTACATCTTATTTATTTAATAAAACTATGATAAGTTCACAGAAATGTTGATAAATGGCTTAAAGTGTGCATTATTCTAACATTCACTTTAAGTATAGTATATTAAAAAACAATTTTATTTTATTTTTGAATATTTAAGTACAGATATAGACTCAGATTGTAAATACATAAACAATGTTGTTTTTAAGTTTTTCAAATAATTTATATGGTTTGTTATTTTTCTTATTAGTTATTTTGTATTTTTAGAACTTTAAATGATATTACAAAAAAAAATGTCGAATTATGTAATTCCAAAAATACGTCTATGATATTGCATATACTCATAGGTATATAACGTATTGTTTTATTTGCGTAAACTTGTATATTAATCTGGTAAAACTGTTTTAGCAATACAAAAGAAAACCATTTCAATAATAATGTAATATTGACTTCTATTAATATAATTTTAGCGTGTGGTGGTAATGGTTTTGAAAATTATTTCATGTACTTCGAATTATTTTTACTTCAGTCAAGTATTTATTTTTTAATATGTTGAATTAAGATAAGAACAATAATTATCTGAGAAAGCTTAGGGATGTAGAAATAAAAACCATAAAATGTACCAAAAATCGGAAAACATCACATACGAAAAAAAACAAAAGTAAATACAAATAAAAACCTTTACACTTATTTACATCATCGGATCCTATAACATCGACCTTGAGAGAGATTTCCAAAAAAATATACGAATTATCAAACAAAGCAAAGTCATTATTGAGTATTATAATACAGACGAGACAAATGATGGTAATAGTAGTTACAACAATATAGACGATTAAAGTAGTTTTGTTTTCTTTAAAAATATGTAGTTTAATAGTTATAACTAATAAACTGTATACAATTATACATATATGAATATATTTATGATTATCTAATATAATGTAATTAGATTTAGAAAATTAAAAATCATCCCCTGCTTCCCTAATAAGGGACTGATTACAAAACTGGTAGAAAATTTTGGTTCAGCACCATTTAAAACATATAATTTGATATGAAATATACAGGTTTCATAAAACTTAAAAAATACCCTCTATTTCACTCCAAAATAATTGGAATTATTTTTTTCAGAATTGTTTGAACAAAAAAAAAATTAGGTATTAATGTAAGCTAATTTACGATTTAGACCATTACGAGACCGTAGAGGTTTATTTCAATTATTTATTAACTTAAGATTCGTTATAGTTTCTAATTTTCGGATTAAATGTTAATTTTTACCGACTTAGCATGTTCTGAGATTAAAAAGAAAAAATGAATACATGGAAGGCGGGGACCCCTATGAGTTTATATATGCCCAACAATTCCGTCCGCAGTTGCAACACTAATCTAGCTCCGAATTAAGTTATCATATTACATTCAGTTATTAATATAATACAATGTTATAACCGGCCCAGGAAAGTTTAATAATACTGACTACTATAAAACAGCATTTATATAGAAATAAGAAATTCACAAATGAAATCAAATTTATAGAAAACTTTACGTCACGTCTAAATTAAATTTTTTTAAATATTTCTTACGGTTTCTTGAACAATAAAATAAAATAAGAATAGTATTAAGTTATTTATATAACCAGTAATAATTAGATGGAGACATTTTGAGTCTTTGAATACCGTACGATAGAAATAGTTTATGTCGGACTGTCCACTATAACTTACCGGCACGCCCAGAAATTTAAAGAATTAATAAAAATAGCATATTACCAATAGTGATTGAAATATAGAAAAAATGTACATACATATTCATATAATATAATTCATCATAATATAAATCATATAATATAATTCATATAACATAATAATTACACTCAAACAAGCTACTACATAGTATATAAAATGTATTAATTATTTATAATTTGAATAGTGTCATAGGGATATTATTAAAAGAAAAATATTGTATTACTTTGGGCCCCCTAAGCAAACGGGTTCGGCTACAATCATACCATTTGACTCCTCTTAGTCACGCCAATAAATATTATAGTAAATTGATGAAAAAAAATTTTAAATTTGATATAATTATTATGGATTTTGAGATACTTCACAAATAACACGGACGTAGAGTAAATCGTTTTGTTTATCTCCTAATATCTACTCTTAAAATTTAGATAATATACGTATTGGGTGTAAATATTTAAAATAATTAATTTAATTATTTAATCATTGAAACATCATAATTTATTATAGTCTGATAAAATACGAAATATTGTAGAAAAAAAAAATACAAAATATAAAATTTGACTACGATTTAACCCTGCAGGTATGGTAAAATAACGGAATCCACGTTAATATTAAGATTATGTGTTTTTAATAAGAACTAATAATTTGTATAGGATGTTGGTGGGTGGCAAATCTTGAAGCCATCGGTCCAATAACGCAAAATCGGCGCTTTCTACTTCGTTGCAGGGATCTTGGTTTTTGTTCAATTGTTTCGGAACAAAATTATGTCCTGTAAAATTATTGATTTCTCAAATCATTTTATCGATTTAATATTTGTTTAAGTTATGTTAATATGAACAAAATTATTATTATCAAATACCTAGGTATTGGCTACTTTAAGTGATAATACTGGACACTGTACAAAAAGAGTGGGGCACAATTTCTTATCGACGACTTCCGAGATTTTGAATAATTTACCTATATTTTGCCTCTTAGTTTGATGAAAATTAACATTTTTATTACAAAATATATTATTAACGTGGTGGGCTGTTCATATTTAAACATAATTATTATATTAATAATACCAGGATAGAATGTAGGGGAAATGTGCTGAAAAATTAAAAATCCAAAATCAGATCATGTCGTCTGAATATGTTCTTATGTGAACACATTAAATCTGTAAGACGTCCTTTAATTATATATAACACTTTATATTTTTAGGGGTTCAACCCCTTTTCTCCTATGTTTTCCACTGAAAGCCATGTCGATTAATAAAATCCTGTTATGGACAGGTACAATTAAAAGTTTCATATAAATTAAAAATGTATGTACCTATTCATTACTATGGCACACTAACAAATCAAGAAACGATAGTTTTTAAATTTATTCTAGTGGTGAGTTACACTTACATCCAAACGGTTTTGAATATTTTGAAAATTATCAACTACGTATGATCGTTAGTTGTAGTCTTTAACCAATTATTCTAACAAACGATTTTTTATTAAACACATATATCATTTTATATTAGAAATGAAAGAATAGTTTTGTTTTTAAAAACTATTTAAGTTTTTAACATTATTTGAGTATATTAATTTCGTATTAATTATTAAAATTTTATTAGAACATTTTTCTTTGGCCTATAATTTAAATTACTTTACATATAAATTTGTATACATTTCAAATATCTAAATATAAAAATTAATTTTTCAAGAGGCAAACATTCATTTTTACAACAAACACAATTTAAACTTACAATTTTTTAATAGATGTTGGAAAGTCATTTAGCCATTTTGAAATTTTTACTATTCAATTTATTAATTCAGTTAAATGTTAAAAATTAAAAATATTCAGGAAAATTCAATATATTTACATATTTTACCTATGAGGCGTTCTGCTGCACCGCACAAGCCGCACCATTCGCGGTAGGTCAAGATTTGATCGTCCGACCAATCAATAATTTGTCGAAATTCTGCAGTTTCTTGGCTGGAGAATTGTCTACCCATAACTTCACCCAACGCGAGCATGAGTTTCTATAAAATATTGATAAATGCTTCGATTAGAACGTAATATCATTAACATTATTTATATGTGGTAAATATTTTACATTTTCTCGAATAGTTCTAGTCTCCGAGTCTATATACTTTTCGAACACTCTCGAGTAAATAACTTGACAGCTCCCAATAATACTTGTATTGTTTCTTAAGTAATCCAAAGGCGTCATGTCTGTAATATACATAGAACATTATTATGTCTCTCCGTATATTTATTCTCGTTTTTAAAAGATATTTTAAAGTTAACTTCGAAATTTTGAACTGTACGATTTTACGATTTGTTACTGAGATTATATTATTATATCCATCCAGACAAATAGAAATATTGAAGAGTGGAAAAGTTACCTTGTCTTACTATCTGCAGTCGTCAGATACAAACAAGGTTAGTTACTTATTTATGTATGCATACACCTGAATATTTTCAGGCAATTTCTTTAGTATAGTTCAACTCAAATAATTTGATTAACCTTTTAAACTTTTTCTATCCAATGGTAATTCGAATCTTATGTTCTTTCTGGAAAATGTTCTCGGCAAACCCTGTAAAGTCACTTCAGTAGCCATTCCCAATTTTCGCTTTAAGGCCTCCAACTCATTATTCACTTCTTGATTAATCAATATTGGTTTCATTTTATACGCTTCTTGTAATGCTATATGTTTCTGCTCAAAATAAAAATCATTCGATAAACTGTGTTTTAATTTTACATATTAGTACACACAGTTAAAATTGAAGAGTTGTTAATGTATAATAGATTTAATTATACAGACTATAATATGTAAAATATGCAATTTAAAATAAGACTTTTAACGAGACCTCTATAAGTGAAGACACTTCATATTGGGTGATTTAGGTATATAATTTTCACTCTCAAAAACATTATAGATATAGATATTTTATTATGTAATAACTTTTAAAATGAATACTCCTACATTCATTTTTACCAATAAATTTGATTAAAATATTTTTAATAATTTAAATATTATATAGTTTAACAAATTTCAAACAAAATTCATACTTATTATGTTTTATTTTAATACATTTTAAAAATTGTTTTCTCGTGTTTTAGTTGTTTTATAACTTAAAGTATTTTTATAAATATCAAAATTAAAAATTAAATATTGAAATTTAATTTAACCTTCACATCGAATTCATTTTCAACGTCAAGTAAGTGTAATTCTCTTTGAAGTTCTTTCAAAATATCCAAATGTATAAACGAAGTTACTATTGGTTCTTTATCAGTTTGTTCTTCAATCACGTGTGAATCGTTTTCTGCTATTATACTGCCATTCAAAGAATTAGGGTTCATTGTAGATATCTATTAATAAATAAAAAAATGGAAAATTGCATTATAGGTTTTCTAATAATAGAAGAGTTCAACTTGAGTTTCCAATGGTTCATCGAAGCCTTTATAATCTTTGTTATGTTGCCTCAATTTCTTTTTTTCTGATTTCTTTTTACTCTTTTTCCCCAGTTTTATCGGTTTTCCTCTTCTCCAAGTGACTTCTTTGGTTTCTTCCATATTTTTTTGGGAATCATAAGTACCGGGCAAATCTAAATGAAGCTGTAAAAAATATTATAACATAATAAGACATTACCTAATCACCAAATTTTGGTTGATTACATTGTATTAGGTTATTTATTACGGATGACTTACCAAATTATCGGCAATATTGTCTGCTTGTTTTTCCGTAATAGTGATTTTGCGTCTAGAGCGTCTTTTAAATACTTCTTTTTTACCTCCGGGTTTTCGTCTAGAAATATCAGTCGTATAATAAGGCCGAGAAAACTGCGGTGTGTGTAGTACAGAACCGTGGCACAGAGACAGCGCTTCGCAGAAGTCTTGACCCATAACTCCCTAAAAAAAAAGACAAAGGACCTTAATGTAGTAGTTCAAGTATGAACTACATTATCAAATTTCGTGGAAGTTATCAATGATGACCGTTCTACGACATTTATATTATTCAGTAGGAATACGGTATTGTATTTATATGAATCCAAATATAATATTATTGCGATAAGAGACAATTATTCAAAATCGTACAACCTATATGGTAATTTAAAACAAATTAAAATAGAATTCGTTTCAGTAGACTATTTGGTTTCATAAATTTGAAATGTTTGAAAATATCGGTAATTTACCAATGCAAGAAAATGTAATATTAAAAATGATGAAGTAAAAAACTTTATTAAACTTTATAATATGTACTTATTTATTATACTCTAAAAAGAAAACGATTTCTAGTTATTTTTAAACTGTTAACCATTTCGAATGTAAAAAAATATACCATATCGCATTGTCAACAATTTGTATTTGTAGGTATATAAAAACATATTTGCACTTTTGGTGATCCGGGGCACTGTGATTTAGCGCCCATTCACAGTGATGTGTAAACAAAAAAAAAGATTAAATACTTAGTATTTACGATAAATTCGCATCTTCGGAACATAAAAAGGCTTTGAAATATGACGCCCGCGGCAATTTCCTTCATTGCCTCTCCCAAATAATTAAGGCCTTATATGTATAGTATTATCGGGCATATAATGTCGGGTCTAACCGAGAATTTAATTGACGATTGTTGACTTCTACACCGACCAAGATCCAACACGAGTCGAGATTTATCTGCAGTTGTCTCATCGCCGGTTGTCGTTTTTTTTGGTACGACCATAGGCATAGGACTGGTAGCTCTAGAATCTGTTTCTGTGTACTTTCTGAACAGTTCTTCCGGTACAATAATATTGATTTCGTCTACATTTGGATAGCTATGCGGTGACTTAGAGTCTAATGCCTGCGGGGAAAAAAAATAAAAAAGTATTATATAACTAATTAAATATTCACAGTTAGAAATCAAACGAACGGCTTATGTTGACTCACTAGAGCGTCTTTAGCTTTTTTTACGAGATCTTTGATTTCGTTGTCTAAGGGATGGTTACATAGCACGGAACATCCGTACGGATACGGATTGTACAATGATGCCAGCGGTTTGAGAACGACTGGTGCAGGATTGCATGAGACGCCACCGGGAATTCGTGTCGATTCATCATCCTTCTAAGCACATAAAGATTTCCTTTTTTACACGAAAAATCCTTTGGGCGATATAATTGTGAAAAATGTATAAAAAAGGTTTTAACGGTTTTATTTAAAATACTTTTCAAAAAAAAAAGAATGATTAATAAAATTAATGTATTATGTATTTGTGTCTTTCATATTATTTCGTTTGGAAAAAAAAAGGCGTCCATAGTAAAATAATAACATGATGTTATGTATACAAGTTTTAATTAAAAAACATTTTACATTACAATATTCTCACAACAGTAGTTATAAAATCACACAAATATGCCATATAACTGGCGTTCTGTTTAGGCAATTTAGATACTTAATTGTTGTAGGTTATTATTAATACAAAGTTTTCGTTTTTTTTTTAAATTTAAATACAAAGTATCTAGTAATTAAAAAAAATCAGTGAATACTAAAATCCAGAATCGAGTTTCGAAGTATATTGCCCATATTGGCTAAAATTAATTTAGTTTAGAATATTATTTTTAGGTACTTAAATTGTGGTTCATTTTTTATTATCAACTATATAAAAATTGGTTATATATGTCTATTAAGTTATAGTCTATAACTGCGGGTGACTGTGTTAATTTATTGAACTAAGTGAAATGTTTAATTGATTTTAATTGACATTGATTAGACCTAATAAAATCACAAATAAATAATTAGTCATAATCATAACATTCACAATACATTATTTTAAATTGCGAGTTATTATAAATATAGTGTGTGAATAGTTTTTTAGTCTATTATTATTTTATATTATTTATGTAACCGTTATAATGTATATAGCAGTTTTTTACGGTCATTTAAATGACTAGTGCTGTATCTAAATGCTGCAAATTTTTATGGTAAACTTTTTTTACATACGAATATGAATTTAAGTTCGTTGTTAATATTGATACAATAATTATTACGTACCTTCAAAAACTGTACATAAGCTTATAGATAGACCTATCTATTTGATCAAAAATGAGTGAAATAATAGATCAAGATCAAGTGATATAATATTATTTGTATGACAGTGTACCACAACTTACCTGCAGATATTTATATTTGAAATCATTTTTGACAACGCTAGCGTAGAGTCCCGTCCTACTCACCATATTATAGTTTTTTATTATGTTATTAATTTAATTAACATTTTTTTTCTGATGTGATTTTTATCAAGAAACTTCACTAGTCGTTAAGAAATTAATACAAAACAAAAATCGTAACATTTATCATTACTTTACATAACCGGCAGTGATTTCGTTTGTATTTTTATGTTCACGTAACAACAACAATAATTACGTTGCGTCATAATGTGTTATGACCGTGTGGTGGTCTGATGCCTTTGAACCAACGCCGTAACCCCGGCAACTCGAGAGGGTTTTATCGTTATGATAAAAATATTTAATTGCATAACGGTTTGTTAGCAGTTTTTCACAATTTACTATTATTATTTAATGAAAAAAAATCTTGATTAAAAAAATTTGATTAAATGTTAGTGTTTTTGGTAGTTTTATTAAAATAGTATATTATAAGATGTATTTTAGAGACAATATTTCGTTTAGTGAATTTGCTACCATCTATTGATTCTCTATCATAAAAGATGTCGAATTTTCTTTTGGTGGTACTTTATTTGAAATTTAATTCAAGACTCTCAATAGATTTTCTAAAAAAAACAATTAAAGAACTGTAAGCCACTATTTTCTGGATTATCTCAATCGATTGAGATGATTTATCGTTGCTTTCCATATACATTACATAAACTAAATTACACTATAGTTATATTAGTTATAGTTAAATATTAGTTATATTACACATGACATCCCAATTTTACATCACAGTGGCCTACACATAATACGAAGTAGGTATGTCTGGATTTTTCTTTTTGGTACGTCATATCTACAACTATATAGAGATACCGACTGTAAAGCAATACAATAATTAAACATTAGATATTAAATATATTTGCCGATTGCATAACACATTTTAGTTATTTTAGTTCCAGATCGTACCGGAATTAAAATGCAAAGCGTTTTTTGTAGTATTGAATGTTATACGAAAAAAGTAAAAATTAAAATTATAGAACATTATAGCCATTTATAGAACACTTGCATTTAGCTAAGACAGTTTAGTAATTTATTAATTATTCCATTATGTCATTTAGCAGTTTTTTTTTTTAAATTTGATTTGATTGTATTGAAAACTTAACAACATTCGTTGCCCTTTTTCCCTGGAACCAAAGATATATTAGATACATTAGAACATAAACACTTTCTCCAATACATTTATTTCCGTTTAAATAACTCTCATTGAAAAATAAAAAATGAAATTATTTTAAATTACTGTTAAACGAGTTTGGTGATAGTAAATGTATGATGAAAATATTATAAATAAATACGTACAAACTTGTGTTCCTAAAACTACATTTTTTCTCTGCGCGACTGCAGTTTCTTTAATATAAAATAGTTTCTTCATATATATATATAACACAACGTTTATAGAAACACACCATCCCTTCTATTGTATAAGTATAAACGTCATAATAATATGATATCCGACATATAATTTATATAATACATATTATACATATAAGATCTGCTGTTTTGTAGACGACTGTTGTAAACGCAGCCTGCGGGTATGATGTTATATCAGATAGGTACCTACTTTTATCACAGCAGTCTGTCGACTCCTCCGCTCACGACGGGTGTTTATTTCAGTCTTTACCAAACTCAAGTTATTTGTTTGAGCGAAATAGAATACGTTGTCAAATTTACATGCACAAGTTTGTCGTTTGTAACATTCGTGGTCGTGTCACGATATGCAGTCGTCGTATTTGCTCGAAAAACTATCAAGATAATATTAACATACATTGTATATAGCTGATAAAAGATATTTTGAATGTATCTATGAAACAACTGATCTGACCGAGAATTATCAATGTTTATTTTATAATGATTACTTAGCTTTGTATATATATATATATAAAAGACAGACATACTTTGCTCAATGGGTGCAGCCACTGTTGTTAGTGAGAAGTTGGGAAGATAGGATATCGAGGGGAACTTAATTTGTATCTGTAAGCAAAGGTAAACTATTGATAACGAAAAAACGATTCTGACCGGAGTTCAGTTGATAGTGATGTATTGTCAACATTATATATGCCATGTATTATAGTAAAATAATTAAATAGACATTTTATATATTCTTTAATAATATTTTTTATATTGTATCGATTTCCCAGTTTTTTCTACGTTTTTCTTGATTTTTCACATTTGTTGAGAAAACTTGGGACAATCGAAAAATTATCTCCCTAAAGTACCTTCCTAGTCAGATTTCCTTGGAGAAAAATTGCTGGTAAAAAAGTTGTCTACAGAAAAAAAATGCATAGTATTTTACTAATATATTTCGTACATTTCCCCGTTTTTTCTCACTTTTCCTTTTTATTGGGAATACTGCCGTGAAAATCAAAAAATGACCTTCCTAAAGTACCACCCCTAAAAAATTTCTTTTCAGAAAAAGATCTACATTATATATATCGGAATAAGCTTTCTGGTAGAAAAAATGTTAAAATGAAAAAAAAAAAAAGAATAAAAATAAATATCTTTGTAAAACCAATATATTCTTTGCTACACTCTGAATTTTAAAGGAGCTGATAGTGCTGATGACAGTGATGGGTGTGTCACTGTTGTAGATGGGAAAATAGGAAAGTGAATAGATAAAGTTATTTAATTTATATGCAAAATCCCTTGGGAGAAATTCCTCCACCCATTGCGAAACACTGGACTTGGAATTCGTGACGGATATAACGTTAAATGATGATTTACGTCAAACATTTTAGTTTACCGTTTAAAAACAGTGTATAATATTACCTATATTGCTATTTACTATATTATATTAATACAGATTAATAATCACTGATAATTTATAGATAATTATCACTGTATTATGAAAATGCATAACACGAATAGTACTTCGTATAGATCGCATACTCCGTAATTATAATATTATAATTTATATTATGTTTTCAAATTACTTTGGTAATTACCTCCATATATTATTTTGTTATTGACAGTTAAATTTAACTACATTAAAAAAAATATTATACACAATTATTTGAATTTGTATTATTTTTTGATTGCTTATAACACGCGATAATCAAGATGTTTATTACGTAACCGTAATAAGCACCGTAGTTTGGCCGTCGGGGAAATATTGGTAGGTACCTAATACCATTGATTATTGAGTATTTATAAATAATGCTAATACCTATACATTTTAAATAATATATTTTTACATTTTAAAGTTGCATTTTGTATTTTTAATAATACTAGGTTAATATTTTTTGTTTTAAATAGATTTTTATTTTGAATTTTATGAATTTATTTACATTATAAATTACGATATATTATTAACTATTGTCGACTGCCTGATATACTTTGTGTTTTATATAGTAATATTTTAACTATTTTGTATTTTGTACTAATAGGTACATTTTCGTAAAAAATTCAACTTAATTTGCAACTTTGTTATAAAAAATAACAACTTTAAACCTATTTTGTTTTTTACATTTTAAATAGAATATTTAACTAATCTATAATAAATATATTTAATTAATACCTATTTAGGTAGTTACATAAGTTTCTGTACAATATAAGTATACCAGATACCTATTTTATTAACAATTAAATTAAATTTAATTATAATTTAAAATATTATCATACGGAAAAAACGCAACAATTTTTAAGTTTATTGCGTTAGAGTTTTAAACATTATTAAAATTAATTCATGGCGGATTAGAATAACACTATGCAATGTAGATGGTATTGTAGTTTTTAGTGATGCTATTCTACGATAACCTACTTTATTATTAGGAAAAAAAAATTAATATTAAACTAATATCTTATAAAATAAAAAAATAGATTATAAATTTGTCCACTTCATCTAAGAATAGAGCTGAAACTGGGGATAGGAGCGGCTACTGTTGTAGATGAGAATTTGCAAAGGTAGGATACATAAAGTTATTTCATTTATATCTGCAAGCAACAATAAACTATTGCTTGACGAAAGACGATTCCGAGCACAGTTCAGTAATACATAATTTGAATTGTCGTAATTTTTTTTTGCTATATTTATTTAAATTTGATTTCCAAACGTTTTTTTAAAAAAAAAAAAAGTTGTCAAATGATTTTGAAATTTGACCATGTCTAAGTAAGTCCAATATAAGTATTATTACCAAGTTTCAAATCGTTACATGTATATGTAACCGAAAAACCGAAAAACTCCCAAAAATTAAAATTCCTTAAAACCTCAAAAGTGGCTCAAAAGTTTTGGAAATGATACCGTAAGAAATTAAACCAAAAAGGTAACAAAAAAGGTATCTTGTGATTTTTCGATTAAATGATTTTTTCTGGTAGAAAACGTAGTCCGTGTTTTTATAAAATAATTGAATCGTGAAACTGTAAGTTTTCCTACGTTTTTCCCACTTAAGTTCTTTTATTTAAAAATGACCTCTTTAAAGTCCTATCTAGACAAATTGAGCTTTTAGAAAAGTTGCCACATGTAAAAATCGGAGCAGGTTTACTATGAAAAAACGAGTCCACAGTTTAGAAAAAAAATGAAAGAAAAAAGAATAAACATCATAGTAAAACCAATAGCTTCCTAGCTATCCTCAGAGTCTAAAATATTTGGTCACGTGATTAAAGCGTAATTGGAGATGGAATTAACAATATCTGCTTGTTATCAATTGTGTGTCTCAAATTTACGTCAAAAATGCTATACGTATAGTTAAATTAAAACTTTTAATTGATCTTTATACGTTATTTCTTACAATTTTATCTAGTAAATACGAGCATAAACATTTTATTAGTAAAAAGGTGAATATTTTAAAACTAATTTCGTTTTCCTCTACTGTTTACCCAACGCGCGACATGGTTTTGCACAACAAATCGTGTGTTTTTCGTTTAAAATAGTTTTAGAGAGTGTTACTATGAGCGAAGTCCATTTAGATATGATTTATAAGGCTATAATATTGATGATCTTCTTCAAAATTTGGTCTTGAAGCAATTATAAAAACGATTACTACATTACACTTTATTTTTCTTTTTTGACTAATAAATACAACTTATAATGAACCTTCTGCTAAATTTTTCTTATATTTCTATTTGTTCAAACAATTATAACCACATAGTAGTTATTCACTAAATAAAATCTGCGTAAAAAACACACAAACCTAAAAATCATTAAAATATTTTGAGTATTTTTTACGTTTAGAAAAGCAAATATAAGTTTTCTGTAAAATGTCTACGAATATTTTAAATTGAATAACAAGAAAAAACAAAATTGAAAATTATAAAACCAGTTTTTTTTTTTTGAAAATGTTTCCGTCATTTCTACGTTTTTTTTTAGTTTTATTCAATTATTAAAAAAAACAAAGAAAATCAAAAATGTTTATTAATATATTTTATTCCCCAACTAGATTAAAAATTCAACAAAAAGATATTTGCCATTTTTCGATTGGAGCAATCTTTTTGGTATAAAATATAAAGCGTATGCAAATTTAAAATAATCAAATCATAGTTTTCTTATTAAATTAATTAAAATCTTATTAAATTTCTTAGTTTTAACTTTACGTCTTTTTCTAGTTTCTCCCAATTATTAAGATAACTGTTTAGAAAAGTAAAAAACGAAATACTTCTTCAACTAAAAGATTCAACATTCAATAAAAAAGTATCTTGTATTTTTTTAATGGAATCAAGACATGGTAAAAATATAATTCGTACAAATTTAAAACAACGAATTTGTACGTTGTAAAATTGTTTGTTTTCTTTTTTTATTTTTTCCCAGTATTTCCTAATTGTTATAAAACCAAAAAATTAAAAAATGAATTGCTTTCTTAGCAAATAGATCTGAAATGCAACAAAAATAGTGGATTGATATTTTTAATTAAAGCAATATTTTTGGTAGAGAATATAGTTCATACAAATTAAAAAATCGGTAACGCCATGGCACGCCGTAAATACTTGCTGTTTTATCAATAATTTTCTTTCTCGTTTTCCCTAACTTTTTTGAAAACCCCTCAGAATATCAAAAAAATAATCTCTCTAACGCACCAATTAGAGTAAATTTCCTTTCAGAAAAGGTACGATACCCCGTGCATCGGAGCAAGATTTTTTTTCAAAAAGTTATTTACAGACAGAAAAAAAAAGTTTAATTATGTATTTTTTTCTTTAGTCAAATATTGTAATATTCTAAATCACATATAGAAATTGTAACATGAAGATATACCCATTATAATATCTCCGAAGATAATAAAGATAATCAAATTATTATTATTTATTTTTTTATATTACTCACAGGGAAAAAAAATACAAATATTTATATTTCAACTAATTTTTTGTTTCAGTAAAAATTTAAAAAATAAATTTTATTTTATCAGTTTTGAAAAATTTGAAAATAGCCATTTCACTTGTATATAGTTTCTTCTTCTGGAAATGTTGACGTATTAACTTTTTATTTTATTTAAATTTGTGATTTTTAATAATTTCTAAGTTCTGAGAAAAAACCGTGCAGTCAATTAGTTATTATAATAATGAATTAGCGAATGCGATTACAGCCTGCTGCATAACTATAGGTACCTTTTTCTGAGCTTTTCTGAAAATGATTAAAAACCATAAATTTAACGAAAATAAAAAGTAATTTTTTTTTACCAAAACATACAAATATAAATACGTGAATTCCTTATCCTTATGAACCATATACAAAAAAAAAAAAAACAAAATTTGATCAGCTTTATTATCTGAGGAGAATATATTGTAACGGGTATATCTTTGTGTGGCAACCTGTATAATGTATATATAAGGTGCGTAATACAGTAAGGTGCGAGTCTGTCGGTTATTAAGGGGTGGTGGGAGACGGTTGGTCGGACGCGTGTTATAATCTGTAGCCATTGACGGTATCGTGTTTTGTATAAGAACCGGTGCACTGAGGTCTCCGCGTGTAGTCGGCAATTATTAATTGTCGAGCGCGCGTCCGGTACTTATACAATATAATATATTTATATTTATATACCTAACAAAAACGCGGGATTATTTTCGATTTCGATAATAATTCGACTGAATATTTTTCTTCCGTTTATTTTTTGTTGTCGATTGATTTTCGCAAGATTTACACGATGGTGGACGAGAGGAGCAGCTTGACGAAAGTGGTCGGCAAAACTAAGAAAGTGTTTCAAAAGTATGGGTCGACCAGCCCAAGAGCAGACGACGTCGTTGTCGAGACCAAACAGAAATACGAAAAATTCAAGTGAGTTGTTATATTTTATCACTGAAATCACTCACACAAACTCATTTGCGGCATGGAATGCTTAATCGTGTGCGGTCCAGTGCCAGATTGAGATGTAAAACAGGCCCCCGAGTGACGAGTTATAAAGACTACCTCGTTTACCTATTGATAACAATATTATATTATATTTTTATTACATTTCTTTATTACTATTGTTTATTACAATTTCGTAATTTTATTGAACAATTTTCGTTGTATATTAATATAATTATTTTCATTGGCCTAAAGTATAAAATATATCGTGACACGTCGAATTTTACTCGGTAACTCGCTGTCTCAATCTGGCCCTCTTTAAATCGATTCGTGCGCTTTTGGTTTTGTCATACACACGCGCATACCTATGAGGCTATAAGTACATTAGTTTGGCTTAATAATAACAATGATATTACAAGATCATATTATTTTTATTTTATCAAATTATTTTATCATTCTCACCATTCCATTTATAAATAGGAATTATGGGATGAATAAATATTGAAATTAACCTGGAGTCTTTGGGTCACGTCGATACATTTTGTACACGTATTTTTGTAATAATATATTTATATAACTTTACGAATGTTTGCGAGAAAACTAGACTTTTAATTAAGATTATATCTACTGTAAACTTATATTATAGGTAATTTATAACAAAACATTCGTCAGCGTTTCGGCGTCGATTATAGATTTTCAACTGAACGAACTATTGATAATTTTTGTTCCATTATTGATTTTGAACATAACAAAAAAGTATAATTTCAAAAAATATTTTATTTGGTAATTTTTAACTAAGGTATTATGATAGCTATATCTCATAAACGATTGCTAAAATTATTGATATTAATATACGAGTGTCGATATTGATCATTCATATACTAAAAATATAATAAATAATAACATAGAGGTATCTACTTAATATTATCCGAATAATATTTTTAAACTTTCAACAAAAGGAAAAATTTGTTTTTGATTTTGTATGTTAAATTTAATTTGAACTATGTACTATAGTTAATTCATTTTCGTATATTGTTCGTACAGTGTCTTTTCATAGCTTTAGTTCAACTGCATTTTTGTTATTTCTTTCATAATACCTAATGAATAGTAACTAAAAACTGTATAAAAATAATAAGTTGTTAAAATAGATGCATACATTTTACATTAATGTTAATAAATTATTTATTTATTTTATACATATATGTGTATATACGTATAATACTATAAGCACTATATTTATAGTTTTTTTTTTTTAAATCTATAGTCTTTATTTATCTATTATGACCATTTTTTGTTGATTGTACATAATTATGTGATAGTTAATATAATAAGAAAATTTGCTTTACTACAAACATAATAATATTGTATTAATATCGTAGTAGGTACTTAACACTTGTATCAGTTTTTCGGAAGATTTAAATTTAAAATTTTTAATATTTAAATATTACATATTTTATTTATTTATTTTTATTAAAAAATGATATATATATACTATATACTATATATTATATACTTGAAATTTAAATATATATTTAAAAATTGTCTTTCCGCTATTGTCCCTGTCAATAATCTTCTGCATTTTATAGTATATCCATTCGATCATATAATTATAAGTATAGGCATGGATTGGACAGTATCTTTGATACAAATATTTTACATATGAATCTTAGATACAAATATATTTTGTATCTTGTATTGTTATACAGTTTTGGAAATTATCAAGTATCTTGTAAAAAATAAATCACTCGATAAACACTATTTTTGATTGGATACCTAATTAAACTTATGGTTTATTGTAACGCAAACAAAAAAAATGTCTTATTAACAATTTTAGTTAAAATGATTAAAATTACTTAAATTAATATTTAAGTGTATTATAGCAATGTATTAGGTATATTAATTTATATTTTATAATAACACTTAAATATTATTGTTATTGTTGCGGTTGGATTGGTCATATTGTAGATTAGTTACTTATAATATTAGTCATAAGTGATTTAACCGAAAATTTTTAGTAAATGTATACAGTCATGAGTTTATTTAAGTCTTTTCTATATTTTAATAGTAATATGTAATTACATTTATTTTTTTTTAAATTCCGAGCATAGGGAGGGAGCTATTGGTTTTACTAAGATGTTTAATTTTTTTTTTTTTTTCTAGTTTGTGGACACGTTTTTTCTTGCAAACTTGCTCCGACTTTTACGTCAAATAATTTTTATGAAAGCTCAAGTTGTCTTAATAGTACTTTAAAAAGATAATTTTTTTGATTTTCGACGTCATTTTTAAAATAAAAGCACAAGTGGAAAAAAAAAACATAGGAAAACGTACAATTTCACGATTTTATTATTTTATAAAAACACGGATGATGTTTTCTACCAGAAAAAATAATTTAATCGAAAAATCACAAGATACTCTTTTGTTGTCTTTTTGATTTACTTTCTGGCGGTAATCATCGCCAAGACTTTTGAGCCACTTTTGAGCTTTTAAGGAATTTTTGGGAGTTATTTTGCTGTAACTCGGTTATAAATACATGTAGAGATTTGAAACTTGGTAATAATACTTATATTAGACTTACCTAGACTTGGTAAAATTTCTAAAATCATTGGACGACATTTTTCCTTTTTTTAATTTTTTTACAATGGTACTTTTTTTATTTTTTAGACTGTAGACCATTTTTATCCTAGAAAACTTGCTCTGATATAAAAGTGTAGCATCTTTTCTGAAAGTAAATTTTACTTACTTAGTAACTACTTAGGTCAGTTTTAGATTTTCGAAACGGTATTTAAAATAAAAACGATTAACTGGGGAAAAAATCGCATTTTTTCACAATTCCGTTATTTTAAATAATTATCTACGACATTTTCTAGCACAAATATAGCTCCAATTGAAAAACAAGAGACCTTTTTTGTTGAATTATTAATCTTGCTTATGATGCAGGCCGTTTTTTGACTTTCGAATTGGTTTTCATAATAATCGGGAAAAAACGTAAGAAGGTTAGGTTAAAAAAAATAATAGGGTAAAAAAAAACGATACTTCAAATTACCGAACTGCGCTTGGAATCATCTTTCGTCAGCTTTATCGTTTCTTACAGATATAAATGAAAAAACCTTATGTGTCCTACCTTCCCAACTTCTTACCTATAACAGTGGCCACACTCGTTCACAATATCAGCTCTTTGTTTTTATTTTAAATATGTTTGAATAATTTTAATTTATTATTATTATTATTATTATTACAACTTTTTTAAAAATTGTCTTTACACGCATTTAATATTTTAAACATTTGTTTGAAACAAATGTTTCCCTAATATAATTGCTTAGTCCTAGAAATATATGAAAATGGGAGGGAAGTGAGGAGGTAATTTTTTTAAAACTTTGCTTGGAATTTGAAAAAATATATTAGTCATGGTGTCTCTGTGTATGTGTTTGGGGGGTTCAAAATATCGACGATTCATGTTTTGAACTCAAACACCAAATTTTATTTTGCACCCATTTATACGATTATTGTCATTGTTAGTTTATAAATGCATACAATATCCATATTTAACGTGTCAAATATATAATTTATAAACGATAAGATGAATCAATTTGATAAAAATCAATAAACCATTGGTACTATTTATTATAAAGGAATTCTGTTGTTAATATTAATAGGGGTTTTACGTTTTTTTTTATTAAGTTTTGTTGAGAATTTCGAACAATATTTAAAAAAATTTTCAATATTGTAATATATAGTGGAGACTGGAAATTATAGATTGTTGCGTTTTAATATTTGAATCTGTAAAATTTCCGTAGGTATATCAATTAGTGTAAAAGTATAATTTTCTCTTTTAATCAATTTTTATCAAGTATAATATAATACATTTATAATAAATGCAGCATATGCCACTTTTTCTTTGCATATATTTGCATCGTATTTGATACTTCTTAAATGCATATACTTCCTAGGCTCATTAATAATTGTAATATGTTATAACGGTAATATGCTTCACAAAATCAAACAGAAAAAAATAATGGGCAAATTTTTTAGAATTAAAATACATAATATTATAAACACATTATTTCATTAATTAGTAATTTAATTAGCGCAGTTAAATAAATTATTCAAATTAGAAAAAAAATATATAATAAAGCACTCGACGATTTTGATCATCATGTAAATTTGTATTCAAAGCATTTTTATCTAATTGATTACAGTATACATTTCAAACCTCAATGTAAGTACCTGATCATGAAGGAGGAGGTTTTAAAAAACGTAAGGTATAAAAAAAATCATGTCTCTTACGTAATGTTTATAATACGGGATTATTATGTAACGCTACGAGTATTTGATTTTTTTTTTTTTAATTTAGGTATATAATAATGTTGTTATCATTATATTAACGGATCTTGGATTGTTAGTAAAAATACCAGAATAGTACTAATAAAGGTATACGCCATTAATTTTTTTTATTATTATTATTATTACATTTTTGTGTTAATAATGCACAATTTTAAGTCATATGAGACTAGTTATAATTTTACTTTCCACTAAACCGTTTTATTTAGTATGGTATGTATATTACATATTATATTCATAACAAAAATCCTTTAATAATCCGTGTTGTTCAACACGGTAAGTAAATTAGCTGCAAGAATATTCGTAAGGCGCGAAGGGGGTGATATGTACAATATCCGACAACAGAACACCGATTGGTTTTTAAATAAAAACAATTTTTAATAGGATCGTATAATACTTTGTATCTTTATTCTCGTACATATACCTACTGCAGTTTTAATGTCATACTAGATAATACAAATAATAATAATATTTGTCAATTTGTATACGTGTAAAATTGTGCGTAGGTATGTATAGTAAACGTACTTGCAGGGGAAAACAGTCCATACAAATATGGTACCTACCATTACTATAATAGCTAGCTGCAGTTTATAATAATAATAAATAAATAATAAATAAACCGGACGTTGTGGTTAATTTATTAAAATGTCAGCGGACGTAAAATTAGGTTCAATGAACATTTGACATGATGACTTATATTGGTCTAAATAAAATGTATTATTCCGCCTATTAAAAATCACATAGTTGAACTCGATTTCATCACAATGTATATATTATATTGTTCTGTTCTTGGTCTTAACAGGGACCAAACAAATATAATATGTCCATCTTGAACAGAAAAAAAACAATATATATTTTTGCACCTAATAAATAGGTAAAAAGTAAAATAACACTTAGATTTTATATTCTATTGGAAAGTACTAGAATATAGGATAAACGTTTTTGAAAATTATGGTTTTGAATTTTTTCAAATCGATTTTTAAACGATTACTCTGAAAATAAGTTGTTTTTTTTGATAATAATACAAATATAAATATACGGCACTACGTTATTTTTGATTGTTTAAATTAATTATGATTTTAACAAAATTTAAAATAAAATATTTTTATTTTTTGTATGTATCATAATAATATTAACTTATTATAATATCATAATAGGTACATAAAATGTTTATGTGAAAATTATTTTTACAGACTCATATTATTATAATCTATTAGTTTATTAAGATATGTTTTATTGTCTCCGGAAAAGCTTTTTAAGTGAATAAAAATTCTTCGATTTTGTTATGCCGTACCTCAAAAGAGGATTAACACCCTGACAGTACTTTATTTAAAACATTTTTTTTTAGATTACTGACATTTTTTCTTAAAAATTAAAGACAAAACCTATAACAAACGATATTTTATATTTGTTGATTTTTGCAGGGTGAAGATAGGAGGAGATTTCAGGAAGGCTAAAAGAGACTTGTCCTCCTATTCATAATCATATTTAGGCCCTCTAAAAATATTAAAAAACAAAAAATGTATTATTCTAGACCCAGCCCCTCAAAAGTGGTATTAACTCCGAAATTAGAATAACTTTTTATGGCTTATTACGTTTTTATGCACGATAACAAATAACATATAATACAAAACGAGATAATCTTTTTTTCTGCTCATTACTAAAATTTCGCTTATAAGGGTTGAATTTAATACAAAGAAAAAAAGAAGACCTATACTAAAACCTTACAAATCCATTGAGCTTCACTCAAAATAGTTTTATGATTGCAATTATTCATCCTTGTATTCAGTACATAAACTAATTCACCCCATATCCTATAAACCTCCGCATCTAAAATCACTAATAAAACCATGGTGTAAAGTACATCAGGTTTTTATTTTTAAATTAAAAAAAACAAATTACAAGATGGTTCTCGGAATATTTATATTTGTGTGTTGGTGTATTTGTATTATTTCGCCATGGAGTAGTGTTAATTTGTTATCCTATTGTTTTGTGCGTGTGCGTATGTGTGTGTTTGTGTGTGCGTATATTAAAATAATACGTAGATATTCGATCAAACAACGACCTTGCAATTCGCTCTACTCATTTTAATTCAATCGATCGCATGAAATAACTATTGTATTGATATCAAATTATTAATGATGTAAAATATTATTATCTACCGCATGATGTACAAAAACTAATTTTACGAATATTAATAAAAAAAAATAAAAAATTTGGATGTGGTTGGGATATTATGTTTTAGATTTTTAGCGGAACAAGGAAGCAATAATATTTAGTCTTACAATATAATATGTAAGCTTGTATTATTTGTTAATTTATTTTTATTTTTTTGGGAGGGACTATACATTTTTTAGAAAAGAGTACTTTGATCTTAGTTATTTTTTTTTTAATAAATTGGAGATTAGTTTTCACTTGAAGGTGGGAGGAGAATAGGTGGTTTTATGGTTTTTTCAAAAGTTATAAATGTACTCATGAAAAAAAATTACCATACACACTTTTGTTTTGAATTACGTTGATATTTTACAATAATTATTAAAAAATTAATGGTCCTAATGAATTAAAGTCTCCAACTTTAATATATTCCAGTGACACAATTTCGACCATGTTTGACCATATTATTCAGGCTGAATTTATAGAGATTTGGACATTAATTGTGATTTTCACGTTTTGCACATCCTTAAGTTATTAAACATTAAAAAAATAAAAACATATGACGTGTTAAAAGTTCATTGCTAATATAATATAGAGCAGAGTATTTGTAGCTCTAAAAAGTTTCCAATTATGCACTTAGTACTTAAATACTCAACATATTAGCTATACGTGATCGTACAATCGGATTGTCGGATCGAATCAGATCCGTTTTTAATGTAGCCATATCTTAAGGGATATTTTCGAAGTGAAATCGTTTCAACCTTTAACACCACTGATTGTATTATTATTAATATTATTAAAATATTATGCTCTTGACCAGCTAATATCAGTTAGTCCTGCGAAATAAGCTCATCGTTCAAAAAAGTTTATATATAGACGTATGTTGTGTAAATTTCAATCTAGTCAGTACGTTACAGATCTGTAGTTCGTTTTGTTAGGTATAAACACTACCGGAAATTAATTATTTTAATAATATTTTAATTAAATAGCCACAATCTCGGGCAAGTACGTATTATTACGTGGTTTCTTTTTAATTTTCTTGGAAAATGTTTTATTATTAGGTACTTGATTCGTTAAAAATAATATTAAAATATTCTAAATGTTCTACGTAGCAACATATAATTATATCTTTTGATAGGTAATTATTTAGTATTTATGATAATAATAATTATAATACTATTATAAGTAGGTACCAATCATGAGTGCTTTGTTCGTTTAGTAGGTGCATTACGTACAGCCGTATAGATATACCTATATTTTGTATCCATTTGGTGGTTCAAATAATTTGTTTTAATACTAAGATAAACAGTTTGTTTCAAAGTGTGTAACAAATACAAAAAAAACGAGCATCGGTATTCTGATTAAATATATATATATATGTAAAATGGCTAATAAGCATGGCATAGGTAGTTACATAAAATGCTTCGTAAGATTGACGATAACATTTTGATCCCGCACGTCCGATTAACGTATTCCCTTTCTTATCTTCCTTTGAAAGTCGGACATTAGTCGAGGAATGAAACATAATATTAATATGATTATTACTTTGTTACTAAAAAAATACATTAGTCGTAGATTTATTGATGTTTGTATCGTGGTATTAAATTATTGTTGTTCTTAAAATATTCGTTTGATTAATATACTTTGCCCCATTCATATATGATTGATAATGATGATTTGTCAACAATATGTGTGTCATATTATGTTAAAATAATTAAATAGGCATTATATATTCGCTTTAATAATATTCGTTTAATGTTGTACCGATTTTCCTACGTTTTTCCCGGGTTCCCTATATTTTATCCCGATTTTTCACATTTGCTGGGAAAACTCCTCAGAAAATCGAAAAATGACTTCTTTAAAGTACCTCTCCAGTGAAATTTCTTTTTAGAAAATTTGCTACCATTAAAACTTGGAGAAAAATTGCTCGTAGAAAAGTTGTTCACAGAAAAAAAAGAATGCCGTAATATATTTTAACTAATACCTACATTTCTTATATTTTCCCCTTTTTTCGGTTTTTCAAATTTGATAATAAAACTCTTGAGAAAATTGAAAAATTACCTTCTTAAAGTACCTCCCAAAACGATTTTCTTTCAGAAAAGGTGCTACACGTAGAAATCCGAGCAGTTCTTCTGATTGAAAAGTTCTTAACAGATAAAAAAAAAAAAAAAACGTTATAAAACCATAAGCTTCTTCGCTCCACTCAGAATCTAAAAAAAACATTATTGATTAGATAAGAAAAATAGATGTGCAAATGTGTAGTTATTGAAAACATCAAAAACTAAGGACGCTCAGATTGTTAGATTTAGTATTTAATGTTTTTATTTTAAATGTATTGTTTAATACAATAAATTATTGTTATTATTTTTTTTTCGCATTTTCACTGAAAATAGAAACTATTGAACTGTATTATGTTTGACATCCGTTATAATAGTATATAGTATGTATTATATACTTATTTATATAATACATATAATATACAATATACACGTATATATACTCGTATGTATATTTTTTTATCCCTACTTTTAGACACTAGCGGCTCTCTTTGAATAAAATTTCATTATATTTTTACGGAAGGAGGATATTTTATAGCTTTGAACACCCCTACAGACTCCTGAGGAGGTAACATTTTGTATCTGCCTATTTCGGGTTCAAACTTTCGAACCCTCTCAAATGATCAAATTTCATCAATTTTTGGGAAGTATTTATTTTTTTTGTAGAATTTGATTAATTTCTGTAATAAAAAATAAACAGGGGAAAATTCAACTTTTGTGACCAAGTTCCGCTACTCACGGACGTTTTATTTTTTACTTTAATAGGATTCGGTTATGTTCTGTATTTCTGTATAAAAAGTCAGTTGGCTACATCAGCAATAGTGTACCTACTTGGTTGCGTATTATATATTTTTTCCTTAGAACACGAAGGAAATCATCTTTAAATTTCATTAAAATATTACGCAGTATGATAAAATACAAGATTAACATATTTATTTTTCAATTTGTGCTTATCCATCTACAACATTTCGGACGCATTATAATATTATTATGGCAAATAATCATCATTACGCATGATCAATAACATCATGTTAATTACCTATTAAAATTGTTTTTTTTTTTTTTTAGAAAGTTTCTCACAGTTAGGCGATTGTGTGTTTTTTTATGTTTCAGCGATGATGGAATGCACTATAATTATGATGTGAATTTGATGTTAGATTCTGTAAACCGTAGGTACAAGAAAATCGTGTTGACGACGTATTTCATGGGCACGGCTATGATGATTATCGGATGTTTATTGGTGCTTTGAATAAATAATGTATCAAATAAATTATTCTCTACGAATACATATTGACACATACTTGCATACGAAAATGTATATTACATAATATTCGCAACAAATATTGCTCAGCTTACGTTATAATTTCTGTAAAGACAATATCTACATGTCTGTCTGTCTAAAAATTACCGACAAAATTAATCTGTTTTAAACGTTTCACGTTATATTATTTTTTCCATTACATATCAGCTCTCGTGTGCTTATTTATTGTAAATTAAAAGGTTATTCAGTTGCGTGGACATTGCACCAAATGGAATTCCTTTGATATTTATCAACCGCGCGCTTTTTCCCCTTTTAGTCCCTAAATCCCAAAAATTATATTGATCCGTTAAATATTTAAGTATAATTATAATATACATGTATTCTTGTTTAATATTTTATTTATTCTATAATATTATTATAAAGTAAGTCGAGGTCTTATTTATTTATTTTACAATTTATATACACCAGTACGTTTTTTTTTTCACAATTTGATACTTTAATAATATATTTCGGTCGATTATGTATTTTAATAATACGTGTTAGACAATATTTCCTATTATAATTATCTACGAACATTACATATTATTACTATAATTAGAAATATTGTAAACAATCATATACAAAATAAATATTTTTTTTACTTGTACGAAAACCAAAGAATAAATGTTTACATTTACTTATATATTATTATGATGGTTATGTAATAAACCCATACTTGTTATATTATGTTTCTAAGATGATATATTATTATAATTCAAGACGGTTTTGAAATTATATATAATATATGTAATGTATGTGTTTTTAAAAAATATGATAATGATATATAATCGACATTTCATCTATTGAATATTCGTTTAAATAAAAATCATATGCACTTACTGTACTCAACATAAAAATGTATTATTATATTATATAAAAATCGTGGTTTTAAAATTTGTTTTATTTTAGCGCGTATCATCAGGGGCCCTCGTCGTTGATACTTAAGTGCTAATTTGGTGCACTTAACTAAACATATATGCATTTATGTACTAAAATAATACCAAGTATGCATTTAAAATATACATTTAAAGTCATAAAAATGGCTACCTATATAATTTTACCTAAACATTTTTCATTGTAATATATAAAAAAAAACTTCTCAAAAACCGATATGACAGCGGGGTGGTAAAATCGAAATGATAATGCGTCTATATGCGTTAGAAATCGAATTCATATTATCATTCAGCATTCCATTCAATAAAATAGCCATGCAGTTTATATTGCAGGAGAACCTGATTAACACGATCATCTATCATGAAATCATGAAAAATCTAATCTAAAAATATATGCAACAAACATAATATCATAAACCTATTTTAACGGGTATTTTAAAGTAATAATGTATTATAATGTAATTTAAATATGAATTTATAAAAATCTCCCAAAAAATATATTAATATATTCATAAAAACAACAAAAAAAAAAAAAAAAATGAAAATTTGCAAATTCAGTAGGACATAAATTAAATTTACATGTAGGTTAACATTTAATTGAGTTATTGAAATACAACAATATACAATCACATAAAATATATCCGAGTCTTATAGTGATTAAATTTTGCAACATATAAGGTAACATTTAAAATAGATAATCTTCGTTCCAATGGTTGTGAATACTCGTAAAACAAAGGTACAATGGTGCATAGGTATACGTAGAACTGAAAAATCTCAATTTTTCGTTATTAATTTTATTTTTAAAGTCTGTATAGATTATTTCATCGGGGTGTCACGGTATTTTAAACTGGTTACAGATAGTCAGATGTACTATTGTGCATCAAGACGTCATGCCCTTGAACATGAAAATGAGAAAATTAATTGGCCTTGGATTGGGCGATGTGGGTAGGCAGATAATTATATAATACACTGTAGAAATCGATATAAACAAATGCTGGTGGCGTAGGTTATAATATTTTGTGGTAGATCACATTTTCTGTTATAGTGCCGTTCGGAAGATAATTATTTAATTATTATTATTATTATTGTTATTATTTAAATTTGGGTGATGTATTATATTAAACAGTAGCTCGGAGTTGGTGCATTGGGATAGCCGTTGGAATTGAACGAAACTAGTTGGGTTTCATCATTATACGTTTACCGAACGGTCTCGTAAAGTATCTAATTTTTTAACGGACATTTTTGTTATTTGATATCGATAGTCGATACCACGTTCCTAATATTTATATATTATATAAAATAAGGTAGTTAAGTAAATAGATATATTGTAAGTTTATTAAAATAGATATCTTTGTCCCTCGGGGATCAGATATCTGTTATAGGCGTTGGCGTTGTGTAAAAAAAAAAAAAAAAAAAAATCATTTGTAGAAAACGTGTAAAGAAAAAATTAATATAAATTGAAATTACTGGGAACAATATTATTCAAGAGAGAGAAGGGCGATAATAAAGTTTACTGTCAATAAATATTTGTATTTTCCCAGTAAGAGAAATAAAGATGAAGTATTAACTTTTTAGTGGGCCAAATTATTGTTAATTTTAACATTCTCAATCTGTACCTCCTCGGTACGCCACTTCAAGAACGTCATTTGCGAGAAGACGGTGTTACGTTTTTATTTTATGACCTTTTGATTAATTCTGTATGTGGCATTGTTGTGAGTTAACACAACATTCTACATACTTACTAAAGTGCATGTACTCTGTAATATGCTGCATCTGTTATATGTAGTACATTTACCAATCAATAATAATTAATAATTATACACATATACATGACGCCGTGTGGTTTTTTGGTTTTAGATTGCTAAAGAAGCTGTGGAAGTGGAGGTCTTCAAAGAAGACCAATGAAGAACTGTTGGAAGAAGGTACGAGTTTAGAACAGAAAGACGTAAAAATAGTGACGTACGCCCTCTGTTTTATTATGATGTTAGCCGGACTAACCGTAAAAATGGACTGATCGTGGACTATTTCACACTCTCTCTCTTTCTCTTTCTTTATTTTACGTACCTATGCGTATACATCGATTGTTACACATAGGATGTATATATTTGTTATATTATGCTTCGGCGGATCAAGGATTTTAGCCGTTCTAGTAGATTAACCTTGATTTTCGTGATCGAAAAATCTAGATTTATTTATTTATTCTAGTATATTACATAATTATTTGTAGTGGATGAGCGTTATCCAACGTAGACCGTGACGAAGACCGATCGGTCTTTGAATGTAATATTGTTTCTGTTATTGTTAAGTGTGATAAATCAATAATATTATTGTACATGTTGTAAATTGCGTCGGGTACCTATATGCAATTACTATTTTATGATTATTGTCCTTTATATAAGAATTTACCTCATTAATATAGTGTTTGTGTTTGTTTGATCTTTAAATAATATTATATTATTTTACAGAATCCATCTTGTGAATAATCTGCTGTATAAAACTGCAAAACGTATAGATTTCAGCACAGAATAGGACGAATATTTATTATTCGTGTTTTTGTTCGTTTTAAAGTTACACAGGTTTCGCTATCAACAGCAGTTTTACTTCGTTAGGAAACAGTGACAATACCAGGATTTTTTGTCAAAGAAGGGTGGGTGATCCAAACATAATAACTGGATCCATTGCACAACAAAATACACAGTATTTTTAGGTTATATTTACCTAATGATTAATGCAATTTTCATAATGATATATTGAAACATCATAACTACCACAACAATACTAAATAATACTAAATAATACTACTCAATATTCACAAAGAAAAATCAAACCACCGTTTAAATGACATTACATCTATAATTTCATTAATCGTAAAGAAATATCTTTATGTGTATTAAAGAGAGCTGATCCATTTATCAATCAATTTTTTGAGTATATATTTCTAAAATATATTTTAGAACATTGAAATTATAAACAAAAAATTAAAATTAAAATTTTTTAAAAAAAATTCATACGGACCTGGAATATTTATATACAACTTAGAAACAAAACAATATTCTTACAACTACAATAGCTATCCATATGATTTCTTTAAATCATTACTGATATAATTTTTACTTGGTGTAAAAACATTTAGAAGTGAACACACATTATGGTGAAACCAATAGATCCCTTGCTTAACTCAGAATCTAAAAAAAAATGTATACGAGAATTTTCCGAATTATTAATAATAATAGGATATTATACTTAAGAATTCGTTTTCCAGAAGTAGGTATGCTCATTATTCGTTATTTTTTTATGATATTTATAACAGTTGAACAGTCATTTTTTTATACCAAAAATGATTACTAAGAATATTAAATAAATTAAAGATTCCAAGGAAAAAAATATTATAAGTAGGTAGGGTCGGATTAAGACAAAATATTATTCTAAGCAAGATTTCCAAGGCGCTACTACGATCAAACATTTTTTTAAAAAATTTAACTAATGAATATTAATTAATATTGAATATAATAGAATTCACCAAAATTAATAATAGCTATTTCAGCGCTCTAATGCTTAATCTGCCTGTATATTAATTCAGGACTGGCTATCAGATCACCATTATTGAACATAATAGTTGCAGAAGCAGAATTCATGATGGACGTTTTGCAGGTTATTGACAACCTAAAGAATTTAAATACTCAAAAAGTATTAAGCTATATTTATTTAATTTAAATAAATTGTTTTGGTATGTCGTATGTGCGTATTTGTTTATTTAATATAATACAAAAAATACCTACATTATTAAGGACATATACATACCAAATTGTATTCTTTTACATGTTAACGAAAAAGATTAAGTACAGGAACGTCTAGTAGGCTTAGTTACAATTCCTAATATTCTTCTTGGCTTGAGTTGCATAAGGTAGCGAATTTGTTCTCCACATAAACCATTTTGGGTTCTTAGTTCTAATATATGATGGAATTAACTTATTTCACACACTCACATCTCGTTTCAAAATTAAAATTTCGAAAAAATCCAAAGTGTATACATAGACAATGATGTTTTTCCTTTTAAGTTTGATAATAGGTTAGTCTAGTTTTTAACATTATAACCAACAGTACACAATTGGTTTGCTAAATGCAAATTTTTTACGCCATACGTTCTTAAGACGAAAACAAAAAACGCACGTTTGGGTCGCCGTGGTAGTAATCACACAAATACTGCACTCAGCATTGTCCAGTGAAATCGATTATAAACACCACATTTTGTCACGTCTGCACACAATCTATATAGTGGTGGTAGTCTATAATATTCAAGCGACGGATTCAATATAATAATTCCAGAAAATGTTTTCAAATAATATTTATCGTAGCGCGCGGACACATTCTGAATGTTTAATGCGCAGTGTATTTAATAATATTATATGGACACCTATACTATATATAAGCAACGTTTCCTGTTGTGTAATAATTTTACATGACGGACGACGTATCGTAATATTATATTATTATATACATTTCATAATGAATTGATAGCCTGCACGAGTTTACCGTGGAAAAGGAATATAAAATCATCGATTTATTGAGTTTAGAATAATAATATATAAATTTCAGTTTCACTACAGCACTTTCACCGGCCACTGGTAGGTACGGCGGCGCGGCGGCTTCAAAATCACAAGTACCGACGTATACCGAAAAATACGTTATTAATAAAGTAGGTAGACATTGTACGACAACAAATATTTACTAATATTAGGGTAGTTTTAGATTTAAGTTTTAGATAGGGTTGTTGGTAAAGTACATTTTAGATTCTGAGCGAAGCGACGAGTGTATTGATTTTACAGTGATGTTTTTTTCCGTGAATGGCTTTTTACCAGAAATTTTGTTCTGATTTACAATAAAGCATTTTTTCTTAAAGGAAATCTGACTAGGGTGGTATTTTAAGGAGATTATTTTTTTTGATTTTCCCAGCTGTTTTCATAATAAATTGGAAAAACATAGGAAAAACGGGAAAATAGAAACAATATTAAATAAATATTATTAAAGAAAATCTAGAATGCATAATGTAATTATATTATAATCTACATTAATATGACATACATATTGTTGACACTATTAACCGAACTCCGCTCACAATTATTTTTCGTTAGCAATAATTAATCAATTAAGCAATAATTAATCGTTACGTACATACATATAGATATATATTAAATTTTACCTCTACTTTCCTGAATTCTCACTTACAAACAGTAGTCCACTCACGCGTGGATTATGTCCGTTTTTATTTTTTTAAGATTCTGAGCAGAGAAGCAATTAGTTTTAATAATGTGTACTTTTATAATATATATTCTTTTGTTGAATTTTTCCCGAAAATAGTATACTATATCAATTTATTGTGTCTGTTAAATAATAATAATAATAACAATAATATGTTTCTTATTCCCCGCTACTTTTGAATATTTTAACAGCTTCCTTTGAAAACCAATTAGTTCATACTCGGGGATTAGAGTTATTTTGTAAATAAACTTAATAGTTTTAACTATTACTTGAGTATCATTTGTGTGGCGGTACGCCGCGTGACGTATTAATAATATATTATACTACTCTCATCCAACCAAAACTTAAAAGTGGAATATCTCATCAACGACTTTAGAGAAATCAAAAATATCACCACTAAAATTTATTTTAAATAATACTCCATCTATTTATGGACTTTTTAATATAAGTTGTTATTTGAAAATCAAAAGTAGGTAGTAGTTTTACTCCCAAAAATAAGGGTGACAAAAAATAGCATAAATATAAAATTGTAGAGCAGCTTGTTTCTTAACTATTTTAGAAATTAAATTCCGGAAAAAGTTAATACTTTCCGAGATAATGAGATTACCCACTAAAATGGATCACCTGGTATATAATATATCTTCCTAACTTCACACCTATACGTTTATAACATTAGTTTACCCATGATGCGAATTGCGCAATATGTCCGGTTATTTTTTTAAAACTTCAAACTTTATTTTTACGGCATAATAGGTATATTAAAGCTACAAATTTAAAGTATAAAACTAATTTGTTTTATAAAAACAGATATTTAATTTTTTTAAAATCAAAAAATAAAAACCATCTGTAGGTACTAAAAAGTAAACATTAGTTTTGATTTTGCGAAAATGGCTTAGAAAAAAAGACAGAAATACTTCGTACGATGGGTAAGCTGGAACTGGATTATAATAAAAAAAAAAAAAAATAAATAAAAGTATTATTTGTAAATTTTCCCGTTTTTCCTACATTTTTTCTTAGTTTTTCCCAATTAGGAAAACCGCTTTGAAAATAAAAAAATGATCTCCTTAAAGTAACATCCAGTTAAATGTATTCAGAAAAAGTGCTATATTCGAAAATCGGATCAAGATTTCTGGAAGAAAAGTTGATGACAAAAGAAAAAAAATATATCATTGTTAAACCAATATATTACTTTCTTTGTTCAAAATCTGAAAATATTCTGTAAACGTTAAATAAATGGAATGTACAGTTACAAGTTTATGTAATACAATTGTAATTAACTTAAGTTATATACAACATGTTGATAGAAGTTTAAAACTACATCAGTGTGAATTATACAAGAATCTATATTACGTAATATCTTAGCATAACACAGGTTTATAATAGTTAATTCATTATACACATTAGTCACGCTACTTTATAATATCGAATTTTGTATGGTTGTCCGTAATCCTTTTGAAATATTGACTCATATATATTTTAATAGCAATTTTGTTATTATTATTTTTTCAATATTACCAAAGAATGTAGACACTCAATGTTATCGTTTTAAACCAAAACTAGTATAATATTTAATCTTCTACTACTTCGGCACTCTCGTTTGTTGAGATCGACCGTATATAATAGATAGGTACATAATAGTTAGGTATTTATATAATATGTATTTTACTCGAATTTACGTATAATACGAAATATTTCATAGGAATGAACTCAGATAGAAATTACAAGGTTTTTTTTTTTAAGAAGATCGGATGTGCCAAATAAATATTTTCAAAATGTTAACCCTTGTGGTGTGCGTATGTAACGGCGTGAGCTATTTTATTTCATGAGGCAAAAACATAGATGTTTGAGGTTAACCACCACCACCTCAGTATTATTAGACAGAGCCGCGTGGACGAAGCCCCCACACACACCATCCTCTCTTCACTAATTTTCCATTTCATAACTATATGATTTAAGTCATGAGGATTTCATATTTTATGAATATCAAAAATTAATAAAATCGGGCACATCATATATTTTAATAATACATTATTTTTTTTTTTATTTCGCTATCCGTCAATACAAGAGAACACTGGGCTAATGACCAAAATACTGAGCCATGCCGCAAACATGTAAACATTCGACATTTACTTTGTGAAATTTTTTTTAAAAAAAATTAATTTATACAATTAATAAATAATCAATTATATTTAATCTTTTGCATAAAAAATATTGTTTATTGAAATATTTGCTGGTTACCTGAATATTGAATATTTAATACATGAAAGTTAAAGTGAATATAAGTGAAATACACCTAATATATTAACTTAATATAAATAATATAGTATTTAATAGTATTTATTAATACTTCATATTAATAACAATAAAGTAATAAGTTTAAGTATCAAGTATCAATTGGAAATAATTCATACTTTTAGCCTGGGGGTACAACCACCCAATAATTGGTCATGAGGCCATCGCCTCATGAAATATTACGCCACCACTGAGCGTATGCGTAATACAACTTATATTTTTTTAAATAAAAATCCCTTAAATAGACTTAAAGAGACTTATTTTCTTAACTTAACTAATAATACATTTTTTTTCCATCTCAACATTTGTCTTAGTCACAACTATCTAAAGTTTATTAAAAAAATATGATTTTTTAAAAAGAATTATAAAATGCATAACTTTAAAGTTGAACAAACTTCACTATAAGTTTTCTGGGTGAAAATTGTTGGTAAATAATAATGATATAATTTATCATATACCTATTACTTAGCTACAATAAAATACATTGTTTTGAAATAAGTATAGTAAAATAAGTAAGGAGTTCGTTCGACAAAAAAAAAAAATTACTCCTATAGTAATCGGAATATTATATCTGTGAATATTTATTATATTTATATTTTGTGAATTTTGACAGTTTTACAGGAGAAAACTGATATATTGTGTCAAGATCTTATAAGTAGTAAGTTATTGGGATGGCCCTACCTGATTTTTTTTTCGATTTTTAGAGCGAAAATTTTTTGACGACTTGATAACCGAAAAATCTTTTGCAAAGAATTGAAAATTATTCGAGTGAGATGGTGTTTCCAAATAAAAAAAAAAAAAAAACAAGTAAATTTAGGACGAATTCATTTGAAAAAAAAGAGTATTACATATACACATTTCAATTAGTTAAATAATTTATTTTAAAAAAAAAAAGTCTGGGGGCTGATTAATTTTATTCAAGCTCATATTAATAGAACAGAAAACGAAAACGAATTACAACAGATAAACATTTATTTTGTGAAAACTTTTTGCATCCGGTGAAAATTAATTTAATAACTACACAAAGGTTAATATTATTATTCAAAAGTACATAAAGAAGTTACGTATGTATAAACGCGTTTTACTTACATTTTTTTTTTATTTTTATTAATAGTAATAATGTTACGTATGATTTAATTTTTTTTTAAATTCAAACGCACAATGTAATATAATTTTTAACCTGATTAGCAACTTAAACTTTAACACGCCTATGTATTCATCTAAATAATTTAGATAAACGTATACGTAATATATTTAAACCAAATATGTTTAATTTATTCATATATTATACCCATCCTATGTATGTGTTTATATAAGAAGAGATTTTCACTTTTTATTTATACGTTTTTGTTGACTCTGCTCTTGTTCTAACCTAACCTAACTAAGGGCATCACTGTTCAAATGGTCGTTGACAACGTGTTTGTCGGGTAACTAAAATTAACTGAAATTTTAAAATTATTGTTACTGAACATTGTTGACACTAAAATATAATGTTTTTGAGGGGTCTTAAATTAATATTTATTGTAAAAAACTGGATGAAAAGCTTTTAAGTCGAGGGATTCGAAAAAAAAAAATTGACGAATGATAACAGAGTACGATTAGTACAACTTACAGCTTCTTAAAATTGAATACAAAAAAAATATTTTTTCCTTTTTTTGACTGTCTGTGTCGCCGATATTCATAAATACTCACTCGATATACCGAGACCGAAAACTGAGTATTGTGACAATAGTAACGGCTGATATAAATCCTGCTCGATATTCTGCAAGCCGTGTCCGTCTTTTTGTCTCTGAAGAAATATTTGATGAGATTTTACTAGTGTAGGACTTAAAATGCAGGATTTTCATGGTTAGATGTTGGTATAATACGCAACACTTGATGAACAAAATCGATGATACAGCCACCAAAAACTACAGTGATTAATGGTTGTCTATCCTATATTATGTATACATAAGTAGTGTATAATACCATACATAAATTTAATGTATAATAAATTTGCATTTAGACTATGTTAATGAATTAAATTATTTTTAGAACATATTGAGTGTTCCCCACTTTAAAGTCGCTTACAATTTTGTGGTGAGTAGTTTTTAATGTGAATTTTATTTGTTTTTAATTTTAAAATACGCCTTAAAATTTGATGTAGGCAATTCATATACGGAATGCCGGGCTTTTAAGCGACCACTTGTTTTTTGAGGGGCAATATAGTGTCACGTGTTTTGATCTCGAGTGTCACGTATTGTTTTATTTGGTAAAAAAGTAGGAACCTATTTTGTAAGTATGAAGTTTACTTAGTATAGTAATAATAAAACTATAGCGTATTATAGAGAGCCTTAGCTCTTGAAATACGGTTGAAGGTGACGGCACAGTACGTCACGGGGTTTACAACCTCGACGGGTGTTCCGAGTGAAACCTCAAGGTTTTTGGTTCAACAGTTATTAGAAAAAACAAAGTAAAAAAAAAAACAACAAATATATGACATTTTCCGGTTCCGGTCGATGTACTAACGTCAACTGAAATCCTGAACTTTCCAGATAATTATCGATACAACACAATATCTAATTTGACAATAATTCTGCATCTTATTTTATATTTAATTGATTTGTTATTGTCATTTTCAGTCTACCTTTTTTAGGTAAATATATATATATATATATATATATATATATATATACATACTATTATACAGGTATATATTTATTCTTTAATACATTTTTTTTGTGTACGTTTGGACAAGTTAAATCTTATATTATTTATTATTAAATTTACCGAGCTTTCTAATAAATAAATAATTGTCAATTATTTCAATTCAGAAAAAAAAAACAGTTTACAAGTTTTCAGTCAAAGTATTTTTAATTAAATATATTTGCAACAAAACGCATTATGATAAAATTAACTATTTTTCAGAGCTAATAATAGTACTTATACATAATTAATTGAGTAGAGTAATAAATTAATACATTTGTTTTGAAATGTATAAGATAGACAAAAAGCGGCTTATCACTATAGTTCATTTATGGCGTTGAACAAAAATAATGTTTGTCGACACCAGCAAAGTATGGCGTAAAAATAAAATAATAAAAAAAAAAATCATCAAGAATATCGTGTCAACATCCAGACGAATTTCCCGGTCGTCGGAAATCAGGCATTGCTTCGATCATTCTCGAAGAGGTTTTGGCAATGGCAGATACTTGCGAAGTTCCGCCACGTTTTAACCTCACCATTGGATGACCGATTTCTTTGAGTTTTTGTACTACATCCTAAAATCAGAGAAACACAATATTATAATAGTTGTCGTAATCTTTCATAAGCAATTAATACAATTTATTTTATATTTATTGTTGTTTTCATCACCTTTGTCGTTCCGTATTCATATTGAACTTCCATCGGCATGAGCTGGTGATATATTCTGGGTTCGTCTATTGCTTCTTTAAGTGTTTTATTGTGCCATAACTTAAGGGCGGACACCTAAAGGAGGAGAAAAAACTATCGTAATATTTAAGTTTAACGTCACGTATATCTAATTGCTTGAATTAGTCGTAATGCAGATATAATATTACAGCTTGAATGTGAAATTATATTCGATATTTTATAAGTATTATAAACAATAACTATATTACCGGCAATTTCGTTTATGTAAACTTATATAAAGCCTTTTTTAAGGAGTACATAAAATATAAATAGATAAAATGTGAATAATATTACATTCTGAAACGGTAACAGATATTTTAAACTATTATTATTAGCTATCTTACAAATGCGAAATGATTTTTCTTTAAAAACCAAAATCATCCTTTAATATTATTATTAGGATAGATAATAGTAGTCTTGATTGAGCTCTTTCTATAGGATGTAAGGACGGCAAGGGTACGAAAAAGGTTGCTCTAAGTCAAAAATCCTAGACGTAATAATTAAAAAAAAATTAGTGATAGAGTAGGTTTCCTACATGAATGAGATGTTTTTCTGGGATAAAAAGCAGCCTATTTTACTTCAACTATCCTTATGCAAAATATCGACCGGCCGATTGGTGGCGACATTAAAATAGGACAAGCAAACAAATATATTTTTACATTATAATTAATATGGAAGAGATCTTTTTCAATGATATTTCTTTTTGATCATCGAAATCCACAAACATGCATGTATATAATATATGTGTATAATACTGCAGGTCTTAGGTAAAGAAAAACAATTTTTTTTTTTTTAAATTCAACGATCCTATTAAGAAACGCTCGTCATTAGCTAGTGCATAGATATTATATACAAACTTTAAAACCTCTTTTAACTCTTTAGGGGTTTAATATTTAAAAGGTCTCTGCGCGAAATTTCAAATTTCTAGATCTAGTGGTTAGGGAGGTGCGTTTTTTCGTTAGTCAATTAGGCACAGTTATGGTTTTACTGAACGGGCAGGGTGGGCAGCTGTCCATACCAACATTTTTGTTATTTACTTTTTAATTTTGAATAATGTTGTGTATAAGTAAAATTAGTAAAATTTCCGACGCTGGACTATCAAGTTAAACTGAACCAATTATTGTACTAGAAATATTGATCCGATTATTAATCGCTTGGGTTGTCTGCTTTATATAAGTACTTACATATTATTCGTGTCCGTACGAAATATGATTTCTAAAACCACCAATGGTCGGGTAGATCATTTTATACCTACATCTATAACTACCGTAATATGTTATTAAATAGAATCTTTTGTAAAAATATAATATAATTTCGTGTACTTTTGATAAATGATAGGGGGTTGGATATTATCATATAAATATTATTATTATCCCACTTATTAAATCGTAGAAAAAAAATTATTGTGAAATCGGTCTTCGTAAAATAATCGTTAACAGTATTTTAGTTTTCAGATAACATGCAATTATACATAAGCTGTAGCAAGAGTGATTTTCGATCCACCAGCTGCTCCGACTCCAAGTAAAAAGTCACCGTTTTTGTCTGTAAATATTGTCGGGCACATCGAAGACATCGGCCGTTTGCCCGGTTCTATAAAATTAGCCGGTGAAGGTGGAATTCCATACGTATTGATCACACCTGGTGTAGAAAAATCATCCATTTGGTTGTTTAAAATGATACCGGTACTAGGAGACATAATACCTGCGCCAAAGCTAAAATAAAATAATAATAATAAATTATTATTGATTTGTAGGGTTTTTGACAAATAATAATGATTGTACTTGTAAGTGGTATTAGAACCAACATCAGTACCAACACTAACGCCAACACTAGTGAACCATACTATTTTTACAAACTAAATATTTTAGAATATTTTTACTACGGGAGGGGAAAAATATGTGTAGTTTATAAGTATACTGCGACATATTTTATAATATACTTTTGAAACCCATATTTTATACTACCTTTTTTTTTACTTACATTGTGTTTATTGTACTTGTCGCTACGACTACGTTTCCTATTGAATCTATAACGACCATGTTCGCGGTTCCGTGATCTTCTTGCATAATGAAATTGGCTCCATAATATTTAGGATCCAGCGACGTGAAATTATCCGTTATTTTCTTCCGAATGCTGTCCATGTAACCGTCTGATTTAACTTTATTGAAAATCTAAAAATATTGTAGTAAATTAATTACTGTAATAAATTTTAGAATATTATATTATAAGCTTATAAAAGGGATTTTGAAGTCCTTCTTTTGCTATTATATTTATTTTCTTCGATGTGAGTAGCTTGATTTTGTTTTTATAAGCTACTTTTGCTGGACTTATACATTGTCTAATTTCTTTGGTCATCTAATCATCTAATCATCATCTAATTTTATTTTAACCCCTGATTAAATGGATTTGTTTACTTGTTCCAAAAGTTAAAATATTACACTTATTTATGTTTTCAATAAAAGAACCTTAGATACGTTTGTAAATTTGTGATCTCCCAAATAGGTTCTTTCGGCGTAACCGTATTTGAAAGCCTCCACTAGTCGATGTGCGCCCAAACCGGGATCCGGCGCCGGTAAAATACCTTCCAAAACTCGAAGAATGTACGCCAAAATTATACCGGAACCGGGGGGTGGTCCTGAGTGTATCGTATATCCATTTTTTAATTTTATGGAAAACGATTCTTCGACTTCTACTCTATATTATACAAAATGGTATGATTTATTATAATGCGTCTATGTACATCGAGAGTGTAGTTCTACTCATTTCAGAATAACTGAGAATTGTTCTACAATTGAAAATGTTAATAATCCAGAATTTATATTTTTATTATATCTTACTCATAGCTTAACAAATCTTCTCGGGTTATAATACTGTGCATTTTCTTTAAATCGTTTAAAAATCGAGACGTCAATGATCCGTTGTACAAAGCGTCGGCGCCTTCTTTAGCTACGATTCTCATTGTGATTGCCAACTTTGGTAATTTGTATGTATCTCCAGTTTTCTTCACTTGTCCAGTAATTTCGTCGAAGAAGATTTCTCTAAAATATAAAATAAAAAAGTCATAAAAATACGTGTTTTTCATCTCGGTAAAAAAAAATCCATTTAAATTTTCGACAATTTATTATGACTCTAATAGTTAAAGATTTTAAAAGTGTAGCTCGACATTTTCTTTCTTAAAATTAATATAGACACCACTCAATGTTGATAAAAACTTAAAACGAACTTTCGGAAGTTATCCGCTATACCTGAGCAGCGTGTCATTTTTTATCAAATCTTCGCAATCGGCCATTCGAATCCCCAATATCTCACTGATTTCCATGCCCTCTTCACATATCCGTATAGTCGGTTCAAACAACGATTTCCATGAAACTCCGCCACCGAACAATTCGTATATTTTCGAGTAACCTTTAAGTTCCCCCGGAACTCCGATCGCCAAACCACCTGGATTTATTTGAAATCGACATAAATATATAGTTAATTACAATAGTGTTGTAATATACTGAAGATAATTTGTATATTTTCTTAGTATTACAGTAGGTAAAGCTGACTTGATGATATAGTCTTATAAGAAGTATGAACTATGAAATTTGCAGCGGTTTCATTAACAGGACAAGCTGTATTGGTTAGCCTATAAAATATTTTTGTATGCCATGAATTATGTGAAGCTATAGCATAGAAATTGATAATAAAGTAGACTCCCAACTGGTGAAAACAGCACTCGCCAAAAAAACAAATGACTCAGTATCGGGGAAAAAAAAAAAATGTTAGATCCATGACATCACTATAATATTATTATGAGAATACTAATAATCATGTGGTTCGGTTATTTGCTATTGAATATTGGATGCAAATCAATATTTTACATAATTTTATAATAATTTTAAATGAGAACAATATCTACTATATAAATAAATATTAAAAATTCAAATATCAGTGATGAATTATCCTCATTATCATATTAACAATCCTGTGCGATATAAATCTTTCGTTCAATTGATCTAAACAATTTTCTATAAAAAGGTATGAATACTTAAAAAAATATATTCTGGATCATCTGATTTAGACTGACGTGGAAAACTAACAGTCATATCAAATTTTTTACAGATAGTTATTGCAGATAAAAATAATTGTTGAAACTCTACATTACAATTTCCTCTAATATCCTGAATATTATTTTAAACATTAGTAGCTTCTAATACAGTTTTTTAATTAAGATTTACTGTTTGAAGATATCGGCTAAGTGGAAAACTTATGGAAAGTATTTGTAAAGTGACTGTTTTATCACAGTAAGAAAATGACTTGCAAAACTAGAAGTTTTAGAAACTATCCAAAGTGTAATATTATTTAGTGCATGTAAAATGGCTGGTTAAAGTTCTTCAAATAATATAACTGCATCATAGCGATCAGTTAGATATTAGTTTAACACGATTAGTCTGTGAATATACTTCTTATAATGACAATTGCAAAATATTTTGTCTTTTTGGGTAACCGAAACAATTACCGATAGCCATAGAGCTGCTTATTATTATTATTTGTACACTACGCTGGACCGGACTTGTATATTATTAATTTTTATTATTTGTGTAAACTGTTAAGTGTAATAATATTTTATTCTTTTTTCAAACTATTAATTTTTTTTTTTTTATTTCGAAGACATTTCGAGGGAGGGGGTTTACAACCCCCTAAACTCCCCTCTCTTGAATACGCTACTGGAAACAATGTATGATGAACTTCAAATATTAGTCATGGCGTATATAAATATTAATGGCGTTATAAATATTTTAGGGGTAAATTAATCAGATTTGCATTCTTTGTATATAGCTGTTAAGCGTCCGATTTATTCTTATAGAATTGACTATCTTGTTGTTTTATATTATTTTTGGTTCTGTGTTGTTTACATCCGCATATAATATGTTATGACATATATTTATATACATATATATATATTTTTGTACAAACCTCGGATCGAATCCAAAGGGTCTTTTATGAACATGGAAGCATGGGCCGCGGCCGGAGCTTTTTCACGCGCGTTGATGGACGTTACCCGTTTGGTCGTGGCGTTGTAGATGCTCATCAAAAATCCACCGCCCAGACCCATAAATTCCGGACATAGGACACCGTCACATAACATTGTCGCTATAGCCGCGTCGACGGCGTTTCCACCTTTAGTTATCACGTCCCTATTGTTACGACGACGCAATCAAGAACGTTATAAAAACAAAAAAACATCATAATTTATATGATATTATTTATTTACGGTGTTTATAAAAAAAAAAAAAAAAAACAAATTATAAAAAGAGCTGATTCTACGGACGGGTACGCCATTGCTATAGGTGGCAAATTAGGAAGGTAAGATACATAAAGTTATTTAATTTACATCTGTAACCAACAATAAATCATTGCTGACAAAAAGCGATTTGAAGTAAGGTTTGGTTACATAAGGACGTCCACTAAAAATATGTTTAGTATCTAGAGATAAATATTTTAGAGAAAATACTTTTAGTTGAAATATAAGCTACGGGGAGCTTTGACCCTCACGCTCTTCTTGCACTATATTTATATAAAATCTTCAATTCTACATCAAAAATTAGTTTCATAAAACCAGATATATTTATCTGAATTTAAATGCTAATAATAGTAATAAAACAATAATGAATGTACATAATGTATAAAATAAGAATTACTACCTTATCTATTACCTACATTATGTGTGTTGTATACATGACTATATACAATAATTTAATGAGTTTATACTTTTATATTTTTTGTCATAGTTTATTTTATTTTCATATTTTACATCATATTTTATTTTTTGTTAATAGAACCAAAGAAATTGGCAAATTTTTAAAATTACGTTTATGTGACATCTCTATAAAAAAGTTTAATTGAATTACAACAAAAAAGAAAAAAGAAAAGACGGATATACTTCACACGTGGGTAGATCATTGTTGTAATTGAGAAGTTGGAAAGGTAATAGAGGGGAAATTTAATATACAACGGTAAGGAACAAAAAATCATTGCTAATAAAAAAACGATTTTGAGTGGAGTTCAATTGATAGTGTCACTTTGAAAACAATATATAGGTATATTATATTATGGTAAAATAATCATATAGGCATCAAATATTTTCTTCAATAATATTTTTTTAATCTTGTACTTATTTTCCCGTTTTCCTACGTTCTTTCTTAGGTTTTTTCCGGTTTTTCACATTTGTAGAGAAAATCATAAGATTACCTCCTTAAAGTACCTCTGATTTTCTTTCAGAAAAGGTGCTACGTTAAAAAACTGGAGCAAAATTTTTGGGAAGTACAACATTTGTTCACAGAAAAAGAACATAAACATCATTGAAAAACCAATACATTCTTCGCTCCACTCAGAATCTGAAATACACATCGTAAGAAAACCAATAGATCTTTCACTGCATTCTAAATCTAAAATACTAAATTACACTCAATTTTTTTTTTTTAACCACTAAGTGTAATTTATAATGAACCATCTGTTAAACTTTCAAGGTAAATATTTGCTTTCTATTTATAATTTTGTTTTCGATTTTTCCCAATAATTTTGAAACTTTTTGGAAAATCAAAAGTTTTTCTCTTTAACGCACCAACTAGATAAAAATTTTCATTAAAAATGTGCTACACTTGGTATATTTGAGTAAAATATACATCATTGTAAAACTAATAGATCCCTCGATACGCTCCGAATCTAAAAGTGATTCGAGACTATTTTATTAATATTATTATTATTATATTATATTATAAACATATTAAATATACATATCTGGATTTTGGATTGTATTTTATTAAATATTTAAAACGTAAAATTGACAATATTAGAAAGAATCGTGTTTATAATATCTATTAGGTATATCAAATGATAATCTTTGTAAATGCGACACCGACAGTAAATATTTTTATGACTATAGTTTATTGCGGGACTTGAATCCTTGAAATCGATGTGATTTAAAACGATTGCTCTAAAACTATAGTTTCAATGAATAGCGTGATTTTAAAATCAGTTTTAGATTAAAATGATTTTTAAAACTTGAAATCTGTTCGATTAAAGTACTTATACTATAATATGCGTATATAGTCTAAAAAAAAGTAACGACATTCCGAATTCACTGATATATTATTTGTTAGTATATATATTAATTTAAAAAATAATAATTTTACTATTTTGAGAAATCTATATGTGGGTATACGACTTACACTCCGATTTGTGCGCATGGTCCGCCGTTTGAAACGACTCCGAACTTCTTGTACAGGCCCATAGGTATACTAGACGGCGGCAACGGCCATTCCGGGTCGATTTGGTCATCGGTGGAAAACAATAGAACACGATAGGCCATAAAAAACGAAATTGCAGTGACCAATACGGACAATCCAGTAACTAGACATACGTGCCGTTTTGATAGGAATCTGAACAGGGGAGGAAAAAACATTATTATGCTTATGATATTTCACAAACTGAATAATTATATATCTTTGTAAACGTTCGTCTGGAAACTCAGAAATCTATGCAATTTACCGTATTTTCTCTTAAAACTGTGAAATATTTATTTTAATACTAATCACTTAAAATAATTGAAACTAGGTACATAATAAATAATCAATAATATGATGACATTATAAGTAATTGTAATCGTATAATCCTATAAAACTGTCTAAACGTACGAAGAAAAACAAAATTATGCGGTTGTTGTGAAATAAAAATTATTAATAATAAATAAAGTAAATCAATATATAAATAAAAATAAAATAAATAAATGAATGTTCGCATCGCCTAAAGTATTACTATACACTTACGCATTTATTATCATTTATTTATTTTATTTTTATTTATATATTTATTTACGAGTATTAACCATTTTAGTAATTTTATTTTTACTCCTATTATTTAATAATAGGATAATAGGATAGGGTAATTATTATTTATAATCCTATTAATTAATAATAATATAAAGTCGAGTGTAGCTTTTTTGGATTATAAATTATTTGATATAAATTTATATGCATTGTTCGATGAGTAGACACCTATTTTGAAACGTGATAAAAATCATACTTACTTAAATTAAAATATTTTAGTTATAAAATACGAAAACAAAAAAACTATACAAGTGGGTTTTCATAAACGAAATTTAAGCTATACTCGGCACGATGATAAATTATGTCTAAACAAAAATCAGAAGAAGAATGTAGTTAAAAATGAATAAAAATAAAAATAATAACTAGAGTAATACAATTGACTCCATGTTAATTAAAAATTATAAACTATAAATATATAAAGAAAAAATATACCCGATGGCAATCATAATGTCTATTCGGCTTCCAACAAAACAACGTTTGGATAGCTAAAAAAAATAAAACAAAATTATTAAATTAATTTACGAAATTTTGTATGAACGATGATTAAAATATTATGCTTCTTTGATCGACTTATATAATTAGATTGTTAGTTTTGTTTATTCGTATTCTTTTCGTTATTAAGTTTTTTGTTCGGGCAGTGCAGGACAGTGGTTGATAGACACGTTATGAGTGAATACTGATCATAAGCTTCAAAATTTGACGAGTATATTGTAATAACCATGAATACATACTGGGAATAGTGTTAAACAAAAAAAATCTTCGTTTAACGCAAAAATTAAAAAGACGTTGATTAAATCAGTTTTGTATAGTAATATTATCTTTATCAGATATTGTAAGTAAGTGTATACTGTATACGTATACTGAATATTAATTAAAGTTAGTCCCGCCACATATAAGAATATTGCAGTTTTTTAAATGCCCAAATGTAAGCGAGTAAATAAAATGTCTATAAGTTATTAAAAAAAATTACCACCTACGTGCAAAACGTTCATTATTTAAAAACAAACACGTGGGTCGCCATATCGCTCTGTGCTTACCTGTGTCAAAAACAGCGGAAAATGCGTTTGAAAATAAAAAAATGAATTATATTCCTGATGACGACATCGTTTTAATATGGTTTTCTATTTTCTTGCGCACAGAAAGAGTAAGTTATACTACTGCAGTTATTAATTATATAATTTAGTGCGTCTCTAAAAGATATTCATAAGCCACTGACTGATCATGCACATATATATGACGAAACCGGGGATTTAATAGCACGCGTCCAACAAGACGGTTGAACATGGCCAACAAACAGACGTAATTCAGAATACTCATGATTTTATAACATATTGTTTTTGTTTGAAATGTTCGTTTTGAGATATCGGTATAAATTGTGCGCCCAAATATAACAATGAAGGTAACAAATTGTAACTGTATAATAAATAACGAGGAATATGTTCGATTTTTCGATTTGTTGAGCCCAAAAAAAAAACTTTTTGCAAATATATCGCAGTGAACGCTAACCAACATAGAATGAATACGAACAAAATAAAATTTCGTTAGGTATATAAATTAATACATCTTTTTTTGTTAACCTAATCTATAAAGTCGATGAAATATAATATTTCATTTATCTTCCAAATGCGTAATGAAGAGCAATAAAATTTCAATTTATCCGGTTTTCAATGAATTTTTTATCGAATATTGAATTATTTGAAATGAATGTAATACCTAGGTATAAATTTCTGTCGAAATCGTATCGTAAATCGTTAGTTTTTTTTTAAATAGCATTGATCAATGTAATAAGTTTATTAATTCATTTAATATTTTTACGATGTTTAAACACTAAAAAATAATCACTAATAAAGTAATTGAGTAATTCTCTAATATTTAGATAATACGACCGAAAACTATACTCACTGTAATCCACTGACGACTAAAATAGTGAAGTTTAATACTTGATCACCACGTATTTATTGCTTCTGTTTATTATTCTTTTTTTTTTTTACGAATGATTATTAATTAAATTTGAAATCGCGGCTTTTGCGATTTGTCAACTGAAAAAACATAATTGTTGCTGGGTACTGAAATTCACATATTCTGTGTAGTTCAATTTAAATTTGTTAACCCTGTCAACGCACACATGCGTAACACAATTACTATTATTGAATTGGCAAAACTTATTTTGAACACTAGATTCGATTAGTCCTATATTTTTCAAACCATTTTGATCAATACATTTTTTTATTTTTAATTACTTACCTGATTGATTGATTAAAAAATATGATTTTTTCTTGATTATTTGTATAATTAAAATGCATGGTTTTTAAAGTAAGTTAAAAAGTTACGGGATAAAGATTATGGCCATAATAACCTTATAGAACGAAATTATTAATAAAGATGATTAAATAATTGCATATAGGTACACAATAACATATACGTACTTAATTATTAAATTTATTAAAAAAATAATATTTTATAATCAACTAATATAACTAATATCTAGGACCAAGTGACATAATACAAAGTAATAGTAATTCGATAAAAATGCATAAAGAAAAACTTCTCAATTATGGATTTAATTCGCTTATGTTAAAGAATAAATCATACTGTACAGGATTTTCAGAATTGTATACCACAGTCAAACTTTCTATGAAATATTTATTTTTTTTTAAAAAAATTACCAGCGTAAAAACTTTTTTTTTATATTTTTCTTATTTTTTCATCCTTATTTTTGAAGATAAAACCATTACCACTATTGATTTTCTAAAAGCAACCTATATAAATAATTCTTTAATAGACAAAGTATTAATTAAAATACACTTTGATGTTGAAATGCTTAATTTCCGTGACCGGTTAACGTGATATTTTCCGAGATAATTGAAGTTTGGGTAGAGGGTGAGTTGTGGAAAACTATTCAAACGCCACGGCACACAAATTATGAACCACTACTACTTTCCTTTTATCAAAACTTAAAAGTATATTATACGAATGTATTCACGAATAAAAACAATAATTTTAATAGATCACAGCAATTAGAAAACTAATAAATCACTAAGTAGAAATTGTATTTGGTATTGATATGATATCTATCGTTTACTGCAACATGCAACATAATATATAGTGATTTTTTTCTACTACTTTGACTTTTAATAGTATCCAATTACGAGTATGTTTGCAGAACAACAATCAACAACTCCTATTCCAAACTCAATTCCACAACAATCAAAGTGTCCATTATTAGATATTATATACCATATAATTACTGTAAATGGATTAAAAATATTGAAATAAATAATAAATATAAATATTTAAAAATATTGAAATAAATAATAAATATAAATATTTAAAAATATTGAAATAGGAGTGATAAAAAATACTTTTGCGAAATAATCAAAACGTTCGTTATATTATTCGATTATAATCTTTATTTCAATTATAGTGCCTAAAATTATTATTATTATAATATATTAATAAATATTATTCCCGATCACTCACAAGATGCGTTGTGATTCGAGATTATAATTTTTCTAGGAACTTAAAACGTACGTTATAAAAAGTCATTAAAATTAATTATTTGTCAATATCCGGATGAATTGCCGGGTCGTCGGAAATCGGGCATAGTCTCGATTATTCCTGACGAAGATTTCGCAATCGCCGATGCACCAGAAACACCGGCGTTTTTCAATCTTACTACTGGATGACCGATGTCTTTGAGTTTTTGGACTACGTCCTAAAAATAGGAAAACATAATATTATCATATTGTTATAGAAATCTAAATCGATTTTGTACTGACTTTGGTTGTTCCGTATTCATAATGGACTTCCATGGGTAAAAGCTGGTGATAAATTCTAGGTTTGTCTAACGCTTCTTTTAGTGTTTTATTTTGCCACAACTTGAGGGCCGTGACCTATACAATTAAAATATATTATAGAAAATCCGGACATATTTCACTATGAGTATAGGCCACTGTGATAGATGAGAAGTTCGAAGGAGGACAAGTATTTGGACAAATTTTATTTATAAATAGTTATGTGTGAACTATGACATTTGTTGGTAATTTATATATGGCTAACAGAAAAGCGATAATAAAATCGAGCAGGTTTACATTTTAATATATAGGTTGATTTTTTTTATAGTTGAATACTCATTATTTGCAAAGTTTAGAATTATTTTTTAAACAAAATTGTTTTGAAAATTTCAGATCTAAAATATTACATCACCATTATTATTTGTCACTCTTTTTTTGTTGGGGTAAGACTACCAATTTTTAATTTTAAAATGATAATCCATATTAAAAGTTCAGATAGAGTGTTAGTTTAAATAAATGTCGGTGTTAGCATTTTTGACTTCCATTAATGAGTTCACGAGTTATTCCATTTGTAAGTTTAGGTGGGGGAAAGTAGCCGAGTATCATTTGTGTGGTGGCAAGGCGCACGATGTTTGAATAGAGCTCTAATATATCTATATGTGGAACTTTTAATATAGGGTACGATTTAAAAGTTAAAAGATGGTAGACTTTTCACCTACAGAAATAAAGGTAACAAAATAATAATCGTGATGTAATATTTTAGATCTACTTATTTCCCTAATTGTCAAAACTTTTTTTTGTGAAAAATTCTATAGGTACTTTGCGAAATAATGTGTGTTCGCCAATAAGAGAGTCACCCTGTAAACGTTTAAAAGAAATTTTAAAATAAGTTTTTATATGTAAATCAAAAGTGTTTAGACGATATTTACGTTTTTAAACTGTATACACATTCTCTATCGGTATTTACTGGAGTTTAGTAAAATAATCGCAGGTAATTCTTTTTATATTAAAGTCTTCGAGAGATCTTACGTAGGCTGTAGCCAGAGTGATTTTCGATCCACCAGCTGCTCCCACGCCGAGAACAAAGTCACCTTTTTTGTCTGTGAATATGGTTGGGCACATCGAAGACATTGGACGTTTGCCTGGTTCTATGAAGTTGGCTGGTGACGACGGAATGCCGAAAGAATTGATCACTCCCGGTGTGGAAAAATCGTCCATTTCGTTGTTTAAAATTATACCGGTACTGGGAGACATTATACCGCAACCAAAACTACACAAGTAAACCAATTTCATTACCGTATCATTCTAAATAGTTCGGTACATGTGACAATCGCTGTTTGGGTTTCCCTATTCTGACTTCTGTTACCCAAAATATTTATCGATTTCGATATAGACGATAATATTTATATTAACTTACAGTGTGTTAATCGTGTTGGTACCTACGACCGCGTTTCCCATCGAATCTACCACCACTAAGTTTGCGGTGCCGTGGTCTTCTAACATATCGAAATCGGCACCGTAGTATTTGGGATCCAATGACGTGAAATTATCCATTATTTGACTCCGAATACCGTCTATGTAACTGTCAGAGTTGACTTTTTCGAAAATCTAAAGACATAAAACTGGCGTCAATACAACATGCATCAGCACGTTTTTCGTGATGGAGTACGTTATTTACTTGAGATACGTTTACGAATTTATGGTCACCCAAATGCGTTCGTTCGGCGTATCCGTATTTGAAAGCCTCTACCAATCGATGCGCGTCCAAACCGGGACTGGGTGCCGGCCACAAGCCTTCTAATACTCGAAGAATATAAGCTAGTATGATACCGGAACCGGGTGGTGGCCCCGAGTGTATGGTGTATCCGTTTTTTAGTTTTATGGCAAATGCATCTTCGATTTCGACTCTATATATTAGATAAAAACCGGTGAAATTAACTATAATTTATAATACACCGGTAGTATTTTTATTTGTCAACAGCCAAGAGAATATGGTTTTAAGGTTATCGAGTAATTCATAATAAAATACAACGGCTTACTTGTAATTGGCTAAATCTTCCGCCGTTATTATTCCGTTAATTTTATTTAAATCGTGCAATAATTTTGGAGTCAACGATCCGTTATATAGGGCGCTCGCGCCTTCTTTTGCAATAATTTTCATCGTTCGGGCTAACTTTGGTAACACATACGTTTCTCCGACTTTCTTCACGTGACCGGTTTTCCGATCGAAAAACGTTTTTCTGTAAAATAGCAACGTTTATATTTTAATAACTGATGGTTATGACCCGTGCAAAGTTTGTTCTTGAGATGTTATATAATTGTAATTTAACAATCTTTTATCATATTATTATATTATATACCTAAGCATTGGGTCTTTTTTTATTAACCGTTGGACGTCCCTCAATCTAACCTCCAAATGTTCACTGATTGTAATACCCTTCAAACACAACTGTATAGTCGCTTCAAACAGCGATTCCCACGAAACTCCGCCGCCATATTTTTCGTATAGAACAGAGTAACCCTTGAGTGCCCCTGGAATTGCGACAGCCAGTCCACCTATATACAATATTTAAATTAAACTATTATTTCGATATTTATACGTATACGTTGTATTTATATTATAGGTAAGTAAGTAAATAAAGTAACGTAATATTGGTCTCTAGTGACGTATTTACACTTTTAGTGCCATTTCATAAGAACACGTTTTTTTACAACACGCTTTATATTTTGTACTGTACACTGGGCTCTAAAACACATTATTTTAAGCTCCACTAAGCGAGTGTAAAGAGTTGATATTTTTTTTAAAAACAATTTTTAATTTACCATGTTTTATATTATGACGTGCCCTTGAAATATGGCGCCCGAGTTCGATGCTACTCTTTGGATAGTTAAACCCTTTAAATATGAAACTGTTGGCACCACTTAAATATTATTATTTTATTGAAAAATTATGAATAATATGTTTAATATTAAGAGTTGGTATTGCTGATGAATGTGCCACTGTTGTAGGTAGGGAGTTGAGAACTTAAGATATAATATGTGTAGAAGTGGTTTTCAAACATTTTTAAACATAACTAGTGTAGTCGTCATTACAATTTTCACGGCTCATGTCTCAGCCATGTTTTTTTTTTAGGTTATTATTTAATTTTACGTTTTAATAAACTGTCGTTTCATAAGTATTGTAGATTCATCATGCTTGATCGCATTTGTGTTCGTACGCGATCGGTCAATTATGAAAAAAAACACGTTCAAAAGATCATGGCAACCAGTTTAAAATAACTGATTTAGTAGAGCAATTTAATTAATATTTATGCGCAATATTAAATTGTTGCTAACGAAAAAAAGAAGTTCAGTTAAATATGTTTTGAAATGCCGCGATTTTTTAGATTCATCAAAATTTGAACTGTAAATGCCATTGAAAAAAATCGTGAGACATAAAAAAAAAAAAAGAGTATAATATACCTTGTATCAAATTTTCAATCATTATTGAAAAGCCAGAAAAGTTATATCCACAAAAGAACCTTTTCTGCTAAGTAAAAAATTAAAAAAACATTAGAACAATTCAAAAAGTAATAAATGCCTCAAAAATTGTTTGAGATTTTTTTGAAAATTGTGCTATATCTAGACATAGCTAATATAATATCATAGGTTTCTACGAATATTTTAACTGAATTAAAAAAAAACGAAAAAAAAAAAAATGTAGTGAAAATCGTTATTGCGTAAATTCCCGGTTTTTTGATACCTATTATAAAGAAAACAAGAAAATCCGAAAATTACATCATAACAAACAAGGTAAGATAATGGAGACGGTTGCAACCACTGTTGTGGGTGAAAAGTTAGAAAGGCAGGATACAGACAAGAATTTAATATATATCTGTAAGCTACGATAAATCATTACTAATAAAAAAACGATTCTGAACTGAGTTCAGTTGATAGTGATGTTTTGTCAACAATATATATGTCATATTATGGTAAAATTATTAATAAAAAGGCATTATATATTTTCTTTATTAATATTTGTTTAATATTGTACAGATTTTCTCGTTTTTTTTACGTTTTCCCAGTTTTCTCATATTTTTTCCCAGTTTTTTATATTTGCTGGAAAAAGTCTTGGGAAAATCAAAAAAAACTTCCTCAAAGTAACTTATTAGTCATTTTCTTTCAGAAAAAGTGCTATTATTGTAAATTGGAGCAAAATTGTTGGTAGAAAAGTTGTCCACAGAAATAAAATCGTTGTATTTTTTCCCTTTTTCCCGCTTTTCCTCCATTTTTTTCAGTTTTTCACATTTGATGAGAAAATTCTTGAGATATGCGAAAAATGACCTTCTTAAAGTATCACCCCAAAAAATTTCTTTTCAGAAAAGGGTCTTCATCGTATATATCGGAATAAGCTTTCTGATAGAAAAAGAGTTTACACAAAAATTAAAAAAAAACACCTGTGTAAAACCAATATATTCTTCGCTCCACTCAGAATCTAAAAAATACTACGATAAAGTTCTATTATTGTCGTTTTTTTTAATTGGAACAAGATTTCTAGTTAACAAATCGTATAAAGACAGCAATTACTAAAATATAATTAAACGATTATTATCATATACGTACCGTGCACACCAGCTTTGGGGTCATCCAAATACATGGTTTCATCGGCCGCAGCTGGAGCCGTTTCTCGGGCATCGATTGACACAACTTTTTTGGTTGTAGCGTTGTAGACGCTTAATAAAAATCCACCACCGATTCCCATGTATTCTGGACATACGGCTCCGTCACACACCATTACTGCTATAGCGGCATCCACAGCGTTTCCTCCTTTCGCCAATATGTCCCTTTTTTTCCAGAACAACCGTATATACAATATTAAAATCGAGCTGGCTTTGTAGCAAAAAATAAAACTATAAAGAATTGCAATAGAGTATTTCTATTCTATTTTTGTTTTAGCGTTTCATGTTCATATAGCGAACAAGGCAATTCAAACAATCGTTTAGTGTATATAATGATAATTATAATTAATTTTCAGAAAACTAAAACGATAACATTTTGGAAATTGCGCCAATGTAACTTTTTGAGAAATGTTTATTTGTTTAGCTTTCTTTTAGTGCAGTCAGATTCAGGAGAGACAGGAGGTTATTATTTTCCGGAATGTAACTATCCAGATTGATAAAAACCCAGAATTTAAAATCCGGAACGTAAGACCTCGGAACGCAATTATCCGGAACGTAAGATTCTAGATTCTAGATTTGCTGAACGCAAAAATTCGAAATATTTCAAGTCCGTAACGTAATATTTTGGACAGTAATTTTCCGAACCACAATAATCTGGAACGTAAGAATCAGGAAAGTAAATTCGGGGATCACAATAATCTGGAACGCAAAAGTATGGACCGTAATATTCCGGATTGTAGGATTCCGGAATTAATGTAAATCCTATGATTTATTATTATAGCCCTCCGGGGAGATTCTGAATTATCTTGCAAATCTCTAGAATTGTATTATTTTAATCAAATTTAACCTACTCATGAATTACATCAGTAAGTTTCTAATTAAACGCGTTGTTTTGGTACCTACAATATTTTTTCCTATAACGCGTTATAAATATTATTCTCCGATTTTCGATAGGTTTATTGTTTTCAAAAATGTATGCATCAGATGTGATAATATGATATTGATGAGTTGCATAATTCATATTAAATTTTTATTCTAATAATAATTTTATAATACTTAATAGTGGTGTAAATAACAAAGAAGTTTCTAGACGAAGTCAATGTTACGTATGTTTTCAATTCAGTTTGATTCAGTATTTAAATTTAATTTTTGAATAAATATAATGTAATCAGGTATTTTATTTAAAGCAGAATATAAACACAGATTAGCGAAATTTAACTTATTCGTATACAATTCTATTCAAGAGGGGGCCAAATTATCTATGTCTAGCCACTATCAAACCCCTTAAATAATACACCTATAATCATAAGACTCAGCTGAAGAATTGGTAGGGTCGTGAGAAAATGTAAAGGTATAATTACTGGTAAAGAGAACTAGAAAACGCCAAGAAAATAAAACTATAGTAATAATCAAACGAAAATAAAACAAATGGACATAATTCGCACAACGGTTGGGTCAATGTTTTAGGTAAGAAGTTGAGAAGGTAGAGGGGGAATTTAATGTATATCTGTACAAAACGATTAACAAGTGCTAACAAAATATGATTCTGGGCGGAGTTCGGTTATACATGTTTTGAATGCCCTTAATATTTACGATTCGAAAATTAATACATTTTGTAAATTTTTCCGTTTTTCTATTTATTAGAAAAACTCCTGGGAAAATCAGAAATGACACCCCAGTCTTATTCTTTTTTGGTAAAAGTGCTACACTTGAAAATCGGAACAAAATTTCTGATAGATTAAATATTCACAGATAAAAAAAAATGATATTAATTCATGGAAAAAAAAACAGTTTAATTTGATGTGCTCTACTGATTAAATATTATAATAGATTAAAAACCATAATAAAATTAATATTTGCAAAATGTAGAAAATAAAAGAATATACCAAAACAAAAGTTTCAACCACCAAGAGTTTTTCTAAAAATCTATTTTACAATATGACTATTTTGAAATTTTCAAAAAAAATACAGTACAATTTTAAATTATTTATTTTAATTTTCCTGCATAAATAAAAATGAATATGTTAACTGTAGCGCACAGACGTAATAGCTATTGAACTATTAACCACTATTAACTACTAATAATTAACTATTGACTACTTAGTGTTTAATTTAAACGCTCGTTTTTATCAATATTTATTTAGGACAATATAGGTAAGTACTAATATTAATAATTATTATTACGGTCAAGGTTCATTATATCATATGTAATCCGTTAAATAATTTAAATATATTATATAGGTAGGGATCATTTTATTCCCGAGAGATTGTATTCTACATGTAAAATTATTAATTTTTATCTGATAGTTAAAATTCCTATTATTTGTTATTTCGTTCACACAATTTTATGATATAATAAAACATCATCATCATAAAGACATAACTTATTATAAAAAGCTGTAGTACATTACGAGTATATTATAGTAATAAAATTCCGAGAAGATAATCTCTTAACCTTATTATACATTATAGGTACGAAAACTGATTATGAAATATTATATTTTATATGTATTAAATATTATAGGTAGATATAATAGGCACCTAGTTTTAATTAATCTAATTATTTTTGTATCAAAAATCGATTTTTAAACACATCAACATTGCTAATCTCATAAAATAAAATGTATATTGCGCTGGCTGTTTTTTTACATTATTGCGTAGATAACATTATGATAATTCTATTAATGCCATTTGTAAATTGTAATGCTCTAAAAATAATGTTTGTCCAGCAGTAAAATAAAATATTATCAATAATATTAGTGTGGAAAAAAATTACTTGGAAGTATTGGGGACCGAAATGGACGATTTTCTCGATGGATATAAGGTCTAAATGCCTGGAGGATTGGCTGTGGGACAAATGGTTTTAAAGGCTGAAAAATCGAAATAATGACTATAGTTACACTCCAATCTGTGCGCACGGTCCACCATTGGACACGACACCGGCATTTTTGTACGAGCCCATTGCCATCGACGACGGTGGAAATTCAAACTCCGGATCTGGCACGATAATGGTATGATAATCGAATCCCGAGTACACCATTAGAAAAGCGATCGATGAAGTTAACGCGATTAGTCCAAAAACCAAAAACACACATTGTTTTGTTACCAAACTGAAAAAAAAAAATTAAACATTTTTTATTAAAATAAAAATTACACAAAATAACTAGATTCACGATGATTTTTTTATTTTTTGAGTTTCTTTAATATCCAATATATAGCCAAATAAAAATAACGCTCGGAAGTTGAAGGAGTTGCATATTGTTCCGTAGGTCCTCGGTTTATAGCAGATCAAGCTAGAAATCCGTGTTTTATGTATAGTTAAAAATCGAAAATTTAAAATATGTATTTTACATGTTTTATACATTTTCGGGAGAAAGTGCACATTTCATTGAAATCAATGAAATATAGTATACGAATATTTTTTTTAAAAAATTGATTTTTTTTTTTCAATATGTTTATGTGTTTAAAATAATGCACTCATATACCAAGATACTATTCGTCGGTTATCAAAGTTACTGGAAATTTATTTTTTCAATATAATGAAATGTTAAAATGTCAACCAGTTTTCCGTCATATTTAGGTATAATTTTATAATATATAATATTATAATTTTTTTATATATTAATTTTCTTAGGTTTTTGTTCATGCAATTAACAACATGTAACCATGACAACATTAGGAGGTTTTTTTTTAATGTAATTTTAAACATTTTTTTTTTGTATATTTATTAAATTTGATTGAACATTGGCATATATATTTTGTTTATTTTGGCTGATAACTTCCAAGTCCTAGTGATGACTTTCACACAAGTTTGTTTTCGCTACTAAACGTTTGAATATCAACGAATGATATTTATCAACCGTTTTTATGATCGATTGGAATAAGAACGGATTGAGACATCAGACCGGCCCGGCAAAATGTATAATATGCAGCGACCCATTGACAGGCCTTTATTTGAGGGGGGGGGAAAGAGTGTCTATTTGCCGGAGAAACAATTTGTTTTGTCCATTAACAAGGGGTCAATTTTTATTAGCATATATAATGGATTTGTGATATACGCGGTTTGGCTATTAAATAATGAGACTGCGCAGGCAGAGAGCGTCCCTAAGAGGTTAGGGGAAAGCCGAATACAGCGCTGCTTAGCTAAAAGTGTCTATTATGACAGTATAAAATTGGGTTTTTTGTTGGTGCATTAGTATTTATACTGTAGCGTTTAAACGAACATGTTTTTTTCTCGTGCCGAAAACCATATGTGACGAAAAACATGAGTAACGGATAAACGTAAAATTTTCTCGTTAAACTAAAAAAAACTCCAACTGAGTGCTATAAGTTGTTAAAAGAGGTCTATAGTGAGAATTTCCTATCTCGGGCGCGTGTTTTTGAGTGGCATAAATTATTTTCTGAAGGTCGAGAGTGCACCGGAATCCAATTCAGTCGTAATCCAAATTCAACACCATGCTGATCGTTTTCTTCGATATCAATGGCATCGTGATGACTGAATGGGTTCCAGAGGGTCAAACTGTGATTCAACATTACTATTTGATAGTTTTGGCAACATTGCGCGAATGAGTTCGTAAGAAACGGTCGATATTGTGGAAAAACAAGTCATGGATCTTGCACCAGGATAACGCACCTGCCCATAACGCGCTGTCTGTGAAGCGTTATTTGGCCGCTTAAGGCATTCCAGTACTCGAACACGCGTCTTACTCACCCGACTTGGCACCCTGCGACTTTTACTTGTTTCCGAAGATAAAGTCTGCCTTAAAAGGAATCCGGTTTGAGTCGATGGAAGAGGTGAAACAAAAATCGGCGGAACTCCTGAATGGTCTTACGAAAACAGACTTCCAGCACTGCCTCGAGCAATGGAAGAAACGAATAAAACGATGTGTGGCGAGGGGAGGAGAGTATATTGAAGGGGAGCATTTGAATGTAGAATAACTTTTAAAATAAAACACTTTCTCGTAACCAGTCTCGTTATTTAATAGCCAGACATCGTAGACGGTTTTGGTGATAAAGGGTAAAAGTTAAATTTTAAAATTTTTTAGAAACTAAAAAAACTTAATAGATTTTGCTGCGAGCTATATATCAGAAAAATTATTTGTATGATATTTATATAAACTTTCATACATTTAAAATTACAATAATGTGTATAAATTATTAAAAAGGTGTTAATAAATGACTTATGATCATTTGCAAATTATTTTTAAAAATATATTGACTTATATCTTTTGTCACATTTGTCTTAGTTCTTTTGAGCTAATTATAAATGATTTAATTTTGCGAGTTTTGTACGTGATTTTTATTATGTAAGTATTCCGTGATGAAATTGTTTGACCTAACAGAAATGCTTGGAAATTTAACAGGAGATTCATTAAAAGTAATATTTTATGGTAAGAAAAAAATTGAGCTAATGCAGTATTTTTTTTTTAAAAAGGAATTTTAATATAAAATTTTGACAAAAATCATTTGAGTAAAAAAATATATTGAACAAATCTAATTTTTCAATTTTTTGTTTCGACTTTTGAACACAATTCAAGGTTACCATCAATGTGTTGTGCTTAAAATTGTATATATATTAACTAAAATGTATTAAAAAACAGTGACTATAAAGTGAATTTTTTAAATCAATAAAATAAATTTCATATGATTTAGCTTAATTTTTAAATATGTTATTATAATTTTGCGTAAGATGCATTATATAATTTGTATTGGATATAAGTTATAACCATGAAGTTGTAATAAGATTAAAAAATACCCATTTTTAAATATATGTAGAATAATAGATACTTATAATTTAATAATGGTATAATAGTATAATAATAAAATAATAGTTATAATGTACCAACCCAAGGAATTGATTATTTTTATTCTTGACAAAATTGAAAAAATAGATTGAAAAACACAAATTTTTATAAAAACTTTTTATTAATTCTTGGTAACATAATATGTTAGAAAAATATATTTATGTAAATAACGAAAAATACCTAAAAAGGTTACAAATTACATTTGGTCGACCAACCAGTATTTTTTAACAATGTTGAAATTATTATTTTTTTTAATATAGATAGCTAAAATATAAATTGGTTCAGTCTTTATGTAAACAAAAGTATATCACTTTTTGTATAACAATAAATCTTAAAATATTGGGAAAGAATAATATAAAATAGTTCGAAAAAATATACGAAATATTCAAAATTTAAAAAATGATTTTTAGTGACTTATAAAAAAAAGTGACATTTAGTTGAAAAAAAGACCAAGTGGCAATTCTGAGTCATACGTATATTGCCGATTTAAGGACCATGGTAAATCAGAATTGAGCGGACTGCCTTAGTTTCGAAATTATAGGTTTTTGAAGGTCTGATATTATACGAATATTATATTATGTTATGTTAAATAACTCTATATTGACAATATTATATTATGTCTGTCGTAGTCTAGTGGTGATACCTAGCTATTGTCATTTTAGAGATTGAGAGTTCATACTTGTATTCCGAAAAGATATGTTTGCATTTGTTTTTCCCCTTTTACCTATAAAAAGAAAAAACCAAAGGCAAATGCAAAGGAAATAAAATTAAAAACCCACACCGGTCAAACTTAACAGATGACCATCTCCAAAATAGGCTTAGAGTGACCATAAATAATTTTGATTTGGAAATCAAAAAAATAGTGAATAATATGTAACAGCAAAAATCATAGTAAGTTTATTCATTAACATGGTATTTAAACTGTTGTAATTTCATTATTCTCTAATTTATAACAGTTAAGTTTTAATATTTTTTCATATTAATTAAATATTTTTAACTTTTAAAATAAAACTAATAAAAGACGAACATACTTTGCACGGTGGGTTAGTCACTATTGTAAATAAGAAGTTGGGACAGTAGAGGGGAATTCAACGTATATTTGTACGCAACGATTAATCATCGCCAATGAAAAACAATTTTAAGCGGAGTTCGGTTGTATATGTTTTGAAAAAGTGTAATATTTACGATTTTCATTAAAATTTGTATAAACAATTTTTTATATTAAAGTCAATTTTTGTTTTAGCTACAAAGTACAATTTATAATTAATCTCCAGTTAAATTTTCAAGTATTTCTGTTTGTTCTAACTTGAACAATCAAAATGTATATAAATAGGTCGAAAATGGCTCAAATGTTTTAAAAATTTTACCACATTGAGAAAAAACAAATATAAGTTTTCTGTCAGTATTTTAAGTCTCTTGGAATAATTTTAACTGAATTGAAACAATAAAACAAAATTTAAAATAGTAAAAGAATTATTTTCGTAAATTTCCCGTTATTTCTATGTTTTTTTTCGGTTATGCTCAATTATTAAAAACTATTACAAAAAAAAATTCGAAAATGGTTTCTTGTTTACCTACTAGATTAAAAATTAAATAAAACTGTTGTTATTGTTTTGTTATTGGAGCAATATTTTTCATAAAAAGCATAAATCTTAAAAATTTTAAATAATAAAATCGTAACGTCGTATATTTGTTAGTTTTCATTTTACGTTTTTCCCAGTTTTTTCTTAACCAAAAAACGACTTTCTTTTTGAGCAACTAGATTCAAAATTTTACAATAAAGTTCTCTTGTCGTTTTTTGATTGAAGTAAGATTTCTAAAAAAAAAAACGAAAGTTATAAAAATCATGAAATCGTTGCAACATAAATATTTGTTCGTTTATCCCAACAATTTTTGAGTTGTTTATAGACATTTTAATTTTGCGAGTTTTTTACGTATTTTTTGTTCAGTAAGTATTTTGTTACAAATTGTGTACAAATTGTTAGACCAAACAAAAATGCTTACAAATTTAATGGGAGGTTCATTATAAGTCGTACTTTAAATAAATATGTCTTTTCGTAAAAAAATAAAATTGGACGCCGAAAACAAAATAATGCTGTCGTAGGCACCAATTTATAAATCGGGAGATTCGAGAATCGCAAAAACGACTGCGCATTAACCTGTTACTGTGACGCTATAAAAATTCAGTTCGACAAATATTAAACCTGTACACTATATTATTCCATTAAAATGTTTAATTTTTGCGGATCGCCTACGTCTCGACGCCGAGATTATATCACGTGTTACATCCACCGAATTTTTATATAGTATAATAGAAATCGTTAAAACACTGACCTGTGTTTGGTTTTCAAACTGCCCAGTATAGGCGCCTTTTCGGAAACGTTAAAAGACGAAATGTCGTCTACGTCGTCGCCAGAATATTTATCCATATTTTGTTGTGCACAAAATGAACCGATTACAATTTAATGTTATATATAATTAAATAAAAACCAATTTTTTTTTATACGCGGATTCGATTGAACGAGAAAACCGACCGAAACGGGTGGTGCATAGTTTACGAATCGCTGAAAAAAAAATCTTCCGGTACACGGTCGTGACGACTGCTGATTTCCGTTCAATACGTTTTCATTGTGCGTAAGATGATAACTATACAATATAATAATATTATTATCTGTTAGATAACAAAAACATACCACAACGAAGACGCGCGCGTTAAATATTGGTTTTCGGGCGTTTTTCATATACTTATTCTAATTAAAAATATTAAACGTACACCCGATAAGTATGTATTATAGTGTATAGGTCAATATCTAACTTACATATTATATTATAATGTCCTTCCGCCAGGGTTCCCGAATTTGCCAATAATCCAACGTTATCTGCTGCAGTATCATTAGCAGCAATAGGTACGCGTAACATTTAATGAATTTCGCACGGTCAGTTATCGTGTTATCTTCTAACAATTTAATATTGGTATTATTTTTAACCGACATTCCCGGATCCAATAGTCCAATATAACGCTTTCGATTAAACAAGGAGATGAGTCTGATTGTACAGTGTGATGGTGAACAACAGAACTTTACACAGAAAGTAGTATTTTTCAAAATGAATTATTTAGTAAGTGTTAGAAATAACAGCTCTAAAATTTATTTTTTTTCTCCTATTTCCGGGATGAAACTATTATTCACTTTTTATTTTTAAATTATAACCTATAAGAAAAATTCTATAAATCTATGAAATTTTAGTTCCTTACAATAAATATTGAATCCGTTGATGAGATTTTCTACTTTAGGGTTCGTTGTTTTGAGGGTTTTTCAGGAATCGTGCATTATTTGTGGGGCAGTGTGGTAAGTGCCATTTGAATAGTTATATATATATATAATATATGTATATATATATATATAATGTGTACTAGTATTATTACATGCATAATAAATTACTTTTTTATAATTAAAATCTATTTCCCATAGTTCTTTTTTATCTATTCTGTTGAGTAAGGCACTGGCCACGTGCAACGTTTTTTACCGCCATATTTTGAACGGACATAATATTATTTTAATTTTTTTTAATAATAAAATACCGGAATTATTTTTTGAGTTTGGAAAACTTTATGAACGAGTTCGGTGAAAGTTTAAATATGTTTTGTTAATATTGCATGAAAGACTCGTTCATAGGCATACGAGTAATTTAGGGGGTACAAAGCACTGGCATCTACGTAAATATATATTTACGTAGATAAAGTAAATAATAAATAAAACAAAATCTAGAAGAACCGAATTTAATAATAAAATCGATATAAACACTCATAAGTAAAACGGCTCACAAAGACTATGTAATATGGCCATTAAGGAACAGATTGATAATATGCACTTAAAATCTATAAAAAGAAATTAAAATCGTTTAGGAAACATTTAAAAGAGCAATAATAGTAGTGCAGTTTAAAATTCCTCTCTTTCTAATAATTTTAACTTATTCAAAATAATTAATCCAAAGAATAAAGATGATTATCATAGAGTAATATTTTTTTTCAAATAAACTTGTACGTGTTATATGTATATAAATAAAAAGCTCATACAGGTGAGAGGTACGGCCACTATTGTAGAAGGGTAGGAGAGAAGGTAAGACACATACAATTATTTAAAATAATAAAAAATTATTTTCGTTAATTTTTCAGTATTATTTCTACGTATTTGTCGATTTTGATCAATTATTTAAAAAATTACAAAGAAAATTAAAAACGATTTCCTTGGTCACCAACATTAGATTAAACATTCAACGAAATAATATTTCTTGTTGTTTTTCTATTGAAGTAATATTTATGGTAGAAAATATAAGCCGTACAAATTTTATATAATGAAATCTTTGTGTCCTAATTTGAAATAAAACGTATTTTTTAATTTTTTTTTCGTTTTCCCCAATTATAATGAAAACTACTTCAGATATATATAAAAAAAATGACTATCTTTGTCATTGTTAGGTTCGGTTAGATAAAACTACACTGTTGAACAAAATGTTACACGTTCGCGTCTTGTAACGATAAAAAGAAGAATAATTCAGCGCCACGGTTGCAAAAGTTACGAGCTCATGCGTCAACTGCAGTATACAACACAAACCAATTCTTATTTAACCTGTGCAATTTTACGACAAATGGTCCGACCTCTCTGTAGCCTAAACTAATGGACTGATTGTTTATAAATTTACACGGGTTGATCAGTATGTTACGCAGATGATACTTTTGTAAATTTCAAGTTGATCGGATAATTACAGCCCGAATAATATGCGAAAGTATTAGCATAGTTTTTAATTGAAACGCTATTTTTTTTTTCAATAATTCAACAATGTATATGTTGTACGCGTTGTTACTACTTGTTAGCGATGGTAGTTATCCTTTCTCTCTTTGGGGTGAATAAAAGATAATTTTAGATTCCGAACGTAGCGAGGCAGCTATTGGTTTTACAATGCTGATTATTCCTTTTTTTTCTTCTTTATTCTAGTCTATAAACACGTTTTTTCCTGATAAATTTGCTCCGATTTTTACGTGTAGCAACTTTTCTGAAAGCTCAAGTTATCTATATAGCACTTTAGAGGAGTTATTTTTAAATAAAAACACTTAAAGGAGAAAAATGTAGGAAAACTTACAATTTTACGGTTTCATTATTTTATTAAAACACGAACGACGTTTTCTACCAGAAAAAAATGATTTAATCGAAAAATCACAAGATACATTTTTTATTGCCTTTTTGATCTACTTTCTGACGGTATCATTGCCAAAACTTTTGAACTTTTAAATAATTTAAATTTTTGGGAGTTTTTTGCTGTAATTCGGTTATAAATACACGTAGAGACTTGAAACTTAGTAATAGTTTAGGTAATTGGACTTACCTAAACTTGGCAAAATTTTCAAAATCATCAGATGAATTTTTTTTTTTTAATAAACGTTTTGAAATCAAATTTAAATGAAAATCGCAAACAAAATTACGGAACTTCAAATTACGTATTACCGAAATGCGCTCGGAATCGTCTTACGTCAGCAATAGTTTATTATTGCTTACAGATGTAAATGAAATAACCTTATGTATCCTACCTTCCCAACTTCACACCTACAACAGTGGCTCTACCTGTCCTCAGTATCTGCTTTTTTTTATTTTTTTTTTTTTATTTAGACATTAGAAAATTCGCTATTAATCTAAAATAATCGGCATTATAGGTAGAGTGTTTGTTTAGACGAACGGTTTTATATTTTTTGTACACGATTTCGATATCTATTGATTTGTTTAAATAGGTCATCCTAGTGTAATCTAATTATTTAATATATATTATAATATATTTTCATAATTGAAACAGCTTCGAGGTTACTAAAATTGTAGTGGTCTATAAAAAAAAAGAAATAAATTTTATAAACAGTGACTTTTAATCGCAAACCAGCGATTATTAGTACATAAATATAATGATAGACATAGGTGCAATTAGAGGGGTCGGTTAGCTTGAGTGTGCTTAGTACCCTTAGTTTAAAAATTAGCACCCCCAAAATTTGTCATGATATTGTAAAGAAAATAAACTGAAAGGAAAATGATAAAAAAAATAATAATGGTTTATTGGTTTCTATTCATTTTTTGAGTATTCCTGTTGAATATATCCCAACAAAAACCCTCCGTCAACAAAGTTATTTTGTGAAATTTAAAATTTAAAATTCTGCTACACCATAAGAATAAAGTTTGGGAATCACTGGGTCAAAGATACCTACATAAGACAAATGGTCCATAATCTATAATACTAACACACTAATGCTTCGGCTAAGACGAGAGGTTTGCTTCTTTTGCTAAATGATACCAAATATTGTTTTTTATTTTATTGTAATACTTTATTGTTTTACAAGGCCCAACTTTTTTTTTCAACTATGCTAAAATGTCGTACCTTTCTATGTGAACATAGTGACAAGTAAACCAATTAATTCTACCTAATTCATTCGACTGCTCTAGAATTAACTAACATTTTGACCACGTATATTGCAGGGTTAGGTTAACTGTAAAATGGAAAATTACGTATCACGAATACGATCAGTGAAAACCATATCGATTAACACATTCTCGTGCCGTCTTGCACGTATACACGTCCTTGTCACAATCTGGGTTCTTACAGTTCACCTAGACCTCGGACTTGAACTCACATCGTTATCAGTTGCAAAACTATAATGAACGAATGCGTCTGTTACATTGAAAGAAATAATAATACATCATGATGTCCGGGGGACTAACTCTGGCTAATTAAAGTGTTACATTATCTGATAATTGGTTGGAACAGGTATACCTACGTATTTGTGAGTTCACTCCGACTACCTTGATTAAAAAATAAATAAGACCCTAGCATAACCTTTTTATTTATAACAAATCGTCATAAATGTAAAACGAACGGTATGCGGCCGACGAAATTAGTGTATTCGGAAAATGTAATCGGTATTATAAATTAGATGTCACAGAAATGTTTAGAGTGTAAAACCTTCCCTGCACAATGTAATCTTGTAACTTTCAGATTTCCTTATAGAAAAAAGAAAAACCGCCTGTTTTGTACTTTTATAATTACAATCAATTAGCTCAAACTTTCTATTCCCAATGTAATTAATTATTTTTTTATAAATCGGATCGGACAATTCGGTTTCTTTTGTTGTCCTGCACGAGGATCGAAATATGTTGTCTCTATTTTTCTTCAAATAAATAATCGTTACAATAATATTTAACGTTATATATGTATATAATTACATTTAACAATAATTTAGTGTTGTAGTATTATAATATATAATAGGTACAATAATTTATTGTTTTCGAGTCTCTTATTGTCGTTTTGAACAACAAACATTGTTTTAATACTAAACCGCGACGGCTGACTAATATCCGGATGTGTTTCCTGGCCGCCGGCTATCGGGCATGACTTCGATCATTCCCAGTGGAGATTTGCAAATGGCCGTTGCTGACGAAACTCCGGGGTACTTTAACCTGGCCATCGGATGACCGATATCTTTGAGTTGTTGCACTACGTCCTGAAAAACGATGACGAAATAAAAACCGTTGTAAAATATTGGTACTTTAATGTTTTATATTTATAGTTTTTTACTCGGGTCATTCCATATTCGTATTGGATTTCCATGGGCATGAGTTGATGGTATATCCTGGGTTTATCCAACGATTCTTTCAATGTTTTGTTGTACCAAAATTTAAGCGCGGCCGCCTGGAAACAAAAATCAATACTAAACGTTTAAGTAAAATAATAAAGATAAGTAAGATAAAAAAATATTTTAAAACAATTTCGTTATAAATTAAAAATATTGAAATAGTTAAAAAAAAAAAAAAAAAAACATATACGACGGTTCAGAAAATTGTATAGCAGTGAGTAACTAGTGTAAACAGTGTTTAATAATAAATAAAAATATTTCAGAAATCATCAAAAATGGAAGTCTGCGATTAGTTTGACATATACGGAGAAGCTAAAATCCACTACTGGTAGTATTAAAATATTGCCCAATAAGAAACACACAATTAGGAATGTGAAGAACGTACTGGAAAGACACAGTGAAAAAGGATGAAGAAGTTTTAGGTGGTTTAAAGGTAATAATGGCAAAAAATAATATTAATAATTGTATATTAGGTACAATCATTTACATCTTCGAATATTTTCTATCGTCATTTTATTTTTAGTTTAGATCTTAGGTTTTTAGGTTTTAGAATTTATTGTATTAGTGTTTTAGCTGTCCGTTCGAATAGTTACTAGCATAGTAAGCATAGTTAAGGTAGTTGATTTGGTTGACGAAGAGATATTAATTATTTGTGCATCATTATTAATTTAAATATAAATTCATAACATTATTGTTGTATTATCATTATTAATTTAATTATGATTATTGAAATTTAAGCACTAAAATATAAGTATAATATTTGAAGAATTTTAAAATTAAAATATATCGTTTATTTAGGTTTCTACTCACATAAATATTATACTAAGGTATCAAATTCTTTCAAAATTGTTTATAAAAATATAGTTTATTGTTTAAAATACGTTTAGAAACCGGAAACTTTGCTTTTTGGAGATTTGACTTTCCTAAATTGTTTAATGTCTGTAAAATAGTCCTTAACATGATAAAATTCATCAATAAAACGATTTAGGTGTAACCAAAAGAATATTGTTTGTACATCAGTTTAATTTTTAAATATTCGATATCAATACAGAATACTATTACCTAAAGGTACACACGTAGAGAAGATCCCCAAGTTCAAATCCTCACGGCCCGGCCTCAAAGAAAAGATCCGTCGTCATACGCTTGGAAATTACTCGAGGATTTTGTCTGTATCTACTGGCTTCTTAACTATATAGTATAGATAAGAAGATACGATATTCTACGCTTACTATCTACTCGTGTAAACTCAATCGCATGTCGTGTGTGTGTGTGTGTGTGTAATATTTGTTTACATTATGTTCTTATATCATTTTATTTAAATTTACTCGTATATTATGTATATTCAAGATAGAAAAGTCAAATGACGATATTATGGCTACCATTGGTTGCTTGGTGGCAGTCAATTGTTTAAAATCTCGCGTGAAAAAACGCAAAAGAAGTATATGGGTGAAGGAATGGTTCAAAAAGATTGTAACCTGATTACTGAACTTAGAATTTGCTTCAAAGATTGGCAAAATTATTTACGAATGAATGAGTCCACATTATACTTATCATTACAATTTCATACTTAAAATTTTAAATGATATAAATGTAAAAAAACTAACAGTTTGTTTGAGATTTGAATAAAGTGATTTATAATATTATCATTATAATGATTATATGATAGTAATATCGCATAAATCCTCAAGGCAGACCCGTGAAGGAAATCCTCAAGGTTTGGATTGTGTGTACCTACCTTAATATGTATACACATTAAGTAATATGTATAGATTACACTACATTTGCGTGGTGTCCCGTCAATATATAACAGATAATTGATAGCACGACAATTGATAGCGGTCAATTTATAGCACGTAAATTGATCGCGAGCGACTTTTTATAGTATGAACATTTGTAGCGTCGCATCGTCGCACCATCAAACATGTTTTATAAAGATCGGAGTGCTAAAATCAAAAAAAATTGTATAGATTATGATAATAGAATAATTGAAGATTATCTCAGAGGTGTAGCACATACTTTCCAGCTACAAGTATAATATTTTCATAGTTGACTAATTTATAAATATCGTCAAATTTTTATATTATACTTTTATTATGTAGCTAAATTTTAATTGTGACTTGTAATATTTTTTACTACAATAATTTTTTTCAAATAATTTATTTCATTATTATTTTTAACATAAATATTATATCATAATACGAGGTGTGGCTATTAAATAATGAGACTGCTCGCCTAGAGGGCGCCCTAGATGGGTAGTGAAAAAAACGAGTAATGCGTTGGGTATCTAGATATCTTATCTATACACGTACCAAATCACGTTTTAGTCACTATTATAGTATTTGTGCAGTAGTGGTTTGAAACAAACGTGTATTTTTTCTCGTGACGAAAAACATGAGTAACGGATAAACGTAAAATTTTCTCGTTAAACTAAAAAAAACTCCAACTGAGTGCTATAAGTTGTTAATAGAGGTCTATAGTGAGAATTTCCTATCTCGGGCGCGTGTTTTTGAGTGGCATAAATTATTTTCTGAAGGTCGAGAGTGCACCGGAATCCAATTCAGTCGTAATCCAAATTCAACACCATGCTGATCGTTTTCTTCGATATCAATGGCATCGTGATGACTGAATGGGTTCCAGAGGGTCAAACTGTGATTCAACATTACTATTTGATAGTTTTGGCAACATTGCGCGAATGAGTTCGTAAGAAACGGTCGATATTGTGGAAAAACAAGTCATGGATCTTGCACCAGGATAACGTACCTGCCCATAACGCGCTGTCTGTGAAGCGTTATTTGGCCGCTTAAGGCATTCCAGTACTCGAACACGCGTCTTACTCACCCGACTTGGCACCCTGCGACTTTTACTTGTTTCCGAAGATAAAGTCTGCCTTAAAAGGAATCCGGTTTGAGTCGATGGAAGAAGTGAAACAAAAATCGGCGGAACTTCTGAATGGTCTTACGAAAACAGACTTCCAGCACTGCCTCGAGCAATGGAAGAAACGAATAAAACGATGTGTGGCGAGGGGAGGAGAGTATATTGAAGGGGAGCATTTGAATGTAGAATAACTTTTAAAATAAAACACTTTTTCGTAACCAGTCTCGTTATTTAATAGCCACACCTCGTATCCGTTAATATTGTCAAATTGTTTAGATAACTTTTATTAGCTAAATTTTAAATTTAATTTGTATAACTATAATAATTTTTTTAATAATTGTTTAGTTTTTGAATTCTGTATGGCACTACAAATTGTTCTACTATGAAAAGTTGCTCGCGATCAATTTTGCGCTTTCAATTGACCGCTATCAATTGTCACACTATCATTTATCCGCTATCTATTGACGAATATCCCATTTGCGTACATTAAAATCGCGAATTTTATTTGTTATATAAACGAATAATCTTACATATGAAGAGGCTTGAGTGATTTTCGAACCACCGGCAGCTCCCACGCCGAGAATAAAATCGTCATTTTCATCCGTGAATATGGTCGGGCTCATAGACGACATCGGCCGTTTCCCTGGTTCTATAAAATTAGCCGGTGAGGCGGGGAATTTGTAAAAACTAACGTGTCCTGGAGCGGAGAAACTATCCATTTCGCTGTTGAAAATGATACCGGTATTGGGTGACATGAAACCGCTTCCAAAACTATAAAATTATAATATGTAAAAATGAACAATTATTATCAGGTATTGGATGACTGTTGAAATCGCGAATTACAGACATCAAAGGTTTGAAAATTAAAGTCGCGAAAACAATAATTACCTACTAATAAGTATTTAACTCAACTCTTAAAAGGTATATTAAGGCATAATCACTGAAATAGGATAGTCATTAGGAACCCAATAAAATATTCTACAAGAGGCAAACCTCATTGGTGGTAAGATAAAATGGTCCAAGAACGCAATTAAAGCCTATTTAATTATTTTGCTATAAAATGACATATATATGTTGTTGACAAAGCATCACTATCAACTAAACTCTCTTCAGAATCGTTTTTTGGGGAATGGTTTATCGTTGCTTACAGATATACATTAAATTCCAGCTTATATCCTACCTTCCCAATTTCCCACCTACATCAGTGGCTGCACCCGTCCCCATTATCTTACCTTTATTTTTTTATACATACATTTTTTATGTATATATTTATTTACTATAGTTATTAATCAAATTGAAATGCCTAATATCTTTAGTATGGTAAACTATATAATATAAAACGATACTTCAAGTAGCTTTCTAGATATTATTACTGCATGCACGATATTTTTAATTATACACGAAACTGTCGCTTCAGCTGAGCGATCATTTTCTAAATTGAAATTGGTCAAACATTATTTAAGAAAACACAATATCCCAAGAAAGACTCAATAATATTTCTATTTCAAATATAGAAAGAGAGCGCACCTAAGAACTAAATATTTAATTATATAATTAACAATTTTGTAAACATAGAAGCTGGGAAAACATTTACTATCTAACATTGGTTTTTTACTTCTACTTATCGTTTTTGCTCTTATAAAACACATTAATAATATTTATTTTTCATGATTTTCGCATAGACACATTATTGTATTCTGCTTCACTCACATCGTGTTTATTGTACTAGTCACCACCACTGCGTTTCCTTGTGAATCGTATATCACTGAGTTAGCAGTCCCATGGTCTTCGGGTACGTCGAAATCTGCTCCGTAATACGACGGATCCAACGAGGTGAAATTGTCCGCTATCTTTCGCCGTATACTGTCTATGTAACTGTCAGATTTCACTTTATCGAAAATCTTTACGGTAAAATACATAGGTTACACATAATATAAATTTAGACATTATCGGATTTCAGTTCCGGAATTTAATACTTCGTTATCTTACAAGTCCGTAAGATTTACTTTCCGGACTTGTATAGCTTACGAAAAACCTACTTGCGTTATGTTAACGAATCTGTGATCGCCCAAATGGGTTCGCTCGGCATAACCGTATTTGAATGCCTCTACCAGCCGGTGCGCGTCTAAGGCGGCATTGGGTGCCGGTAATAAACCGTCCAAAACCCGAAGAATGAAAGCTAAAATAATCCCCGAGCCGGGAGGTGACCCGGTGTGTATCGAATATCCATTTTTGAGTTTCACGGAAAACGCTTCTTCGACTTCGACCCTGAAACATCAGGAATTCCACAGCTCTCTTCATATCTCGATAACCAAGTAGTATAATGTTTTCATTAAAATGAATATAATCCTTTTGGATTCTATCCAATCTTTTTTAGTCTATCTTTTTAGATAGGCCATCTTTACTTTTTGATCTGCCGTTATACAGACTGTCCCACGAAGATAGACCCCTTGAATATCTCCGTAGATAATAAAGATAATCAAATTCTGTTTTTTTTTTATTACTCACAGGAATGAAAACTACAAATATTTATATTTGAATTACAATTTTTTTTTTTTAGTAAAAAACTTAAAAAAAATAACTTTGTTTTATTATTTTCGGAAAATTTTAAAATAACCATTCTGTAGAGTTTATTTTTCTAAAAATTTTAATGTATCACACATTTATATCCGATTTATAGTTCTTAAGTAACCTAACCGTGTTACGCGATATTATTGGTTTTCACACAGATAAGTAGAATTTAAAATAATTGTTTCTTAGAAAATATGCGATATAAATGAGTGATACATTAAAATTTTCTGAAAAAAAAAAATGTACAGAATGGCTATCTAAATTTTTTTCAAAAATAATAAAATAAAGTTATTTTTTTATTTATTTACTAAAAAAAAAATTATTTCAAATATAAATATTTGCAGTCCTTATCCCTGTGAGTAATATAAAAAAAAAAAAGAAGAATTTGATTATCTTTAATGTCTCTGAAGATATTCAAGGGGTATATCTCCGTGAGATAGTCTGTATAAATGATTCTATTCGATCATAACGTTTTCCAGAAATTTGTTTATAATTATATACACGGGATTCAAATATTTAGGATGTATTTGTGTTTACTATATTTACTTACTGGAAATTTGCGAGATCTTCTTTGGTAATAATGCCGTTGACTTTATTCAAATCATCCAATATCAGAGGCGTTAACGATCCGTTATATATGGCGTCGGCTCCTTCCTTTGCTATTACCCGCAACGTCTTTGCTAGCCTCAGTAACTTATAAGTCTCTCCCTTTTTCTTCGCATGTCCGGTTTTCTCGTCAAAAAAGACTTCTCTAAAAAAAAAAAAAAATAAAAAACTCAATATAATACATTTAACGTTTGAAACAATATAAAGAAAAAATGCATAAAAACAAAATTAATATTATCGATAACATTTTAAATTGTTGAGAATGATCTTTGAAAAAGTACATGCCATAAAATGTTGAAGTTTTATTTCTATAGTTCCTCGGTATAGTATTTTTGTCTACAATAAGTTATTTTATTAAAGCGAAAACTATATAAAATTATAACTTTATATAACTCTCATATAAGTTTCAATCCACTTTAAACCTAATGAATAAAAAATAATACATTTAAATTGAAAAATTGACTGAATTTGCATAGCAAATTTAAAATTGGTACATTTGTTGAAAGAATACACAAAACTTGTAATTTTTATCGTCTTACCTGAACAACGGATCGTATTGTATGAATGAGTTTTCACGAGCCCTCAAGCTAACTCCCAAATGTCTACTGATTGTCATGCCCTTTTCACATAAGTCTATAGCCGGCTGGAATAGCGATTCCCATGAAACTCCACCACCGAATAATTCGTATATCTTCGCGTAGCCTTTGACTTCTCCCGGAACGGCCACTGGCAATCCTCCTGTGGATTTTAAAATCAATAATCAATCGTCACACACTTAATACAAAAATATATATAATTTATTATTATATGGATTTGTTGTGTTTTATAACATTAATTGCAGATTTGTCTACGATTTAAATGTTTCAAAAAATCTCTCCTAATAGATTTTAAATCCAAATTATTTTAGCTAAACAATAAATGTATCAAACCTAATAGAACTTAACTAGATTTTATGTAACTTAAGCCCGTGGATCAATAAACCAAAAGACGGACTTACTCCACACGATTTTGACTTCGAATTTAATGTACAACTGTACGCAATAATTAATCTTTGCAAACAAATACGATTCTGAGCAAAGTTCGATTATACATGTTTTGAAAGCCAAAACCATATAAAATTAAAACTTTAATCGAATTCTTATCTAAATTTTATTCCACTTTAATATAAATATATCATAACATTTACTTATGATTTTAGTCAAAATTTTTTTAATAAAAAATTAAAAATATTAATAATTAAAATTAAAAAAAAAAAAAAATACTACATAAAACTTAAATTTTTATTGTTGACCATTAAGAACGACTAATAATGAACTTCCTGTTAAATTTTAAAGCATTTATGTTTGGTCAGACAATTTTATCCACAAAGTTTAAATATCACATAAAAACTTGTAAAATTAAAATGCCTATAAAAGTTCAAAAATAGCTTAAAGTTCTTGAAAATTTTACCACGTATATAAAATGCAACTACATTGTTACTATCCAAATTCCAAGCCACTACAAACATTTTAAACTAAATTACAATAAAACAAAAAAAAAAAATACATAAAATTATAAAAGTATTATTTTCGTAAATTTTCCCGTTTTTTTCTGGTTTTTCCTATTTATTATGAAAACTACTGAAAAAATCATAAAATAACCTAAAGTGAAAAGTAAAATAACTTAAAGTATTACCCTAGTAAAATTCTCTTCCAGAAAAAGTGCTATAGTTGATATTTCAGAGCAAGATTTCTGGTAAAATTTTTGTACTTAGTATAAAAAACAAAAAAAAAATAAACATCATTGTAAAACCAAATATCCCTTGCTCTACTCAGAATCTAAAATCTGTAAAAGTATTATTTACGTACCGTATAGCGTTTCTTTTTTTTCTTTGATAAACATATCAGAAGTGGCCGCCAATGGAGCAACTACACGTGCGTTTACCGACGTTACTTTTTTGGTCGTTGAGTTGTATATGCTCATGATAAACCCTCCTCCGATTCCCATGTTTTGTAAACCAAGCACGCCATCACATAACATTACAGCTATGGCGGCATCTACGGCATTGCCTCCTTTAGATATCACGTCCCTTATTACAAAAAAAAAAAACCCAATTGTAAACAAACTAAATGTGATCAAATGAAATTAAAAAATGATTTTAACAAACACAAAAAAAAAATGACATCAAATCGGTAGAACAAAAGTTGTGTACCCCATCTTTTACCCTTGCATTTTTTTTCATTTTATCAATAAAAAAATGGTCGTCGATATTATATTTGAGTCTGCAGCTCGCAGATCTTTTCCACGTGATTTTTGCTTCATCGTTATTATTTAGTTCATTTTGGCTTCTAAAAGACCGTCTCATTTATTATTGTATTCCCTCCCATTATTGAATTTGCACCTGTTATAATTGAACTTTTAAATAAGGCCTCTAGTTTAGAGTTTTCCTTCTTTTTCACTCTTTACAATCTCTAGTCTCCATCCTTCGTTGGCCCTGAAGGAAATTTTCTGTAGAATTTTTATTTTTACCACTACGAACTTCTTTTCGTCTAATTTGTCTAGTGACTATATTTTCACAATAATTGTAAATGGATAAATCAAAATACAGATACCGCACATAATATTAAATCGTTGGGATTTTTAAAAATAATTAATAATGTTTTATTTTAATATTTTAGGGATAGTTATTAAAAAGAAAAATGATTATTCCTCTCGTTTAATATATAGCTATAAATCGTAAACGATCGTAAAACAAATATCAATTTGATTTAAAAATTGGGCTCGAAGCCCTTGCTATTGTAAATATAATTTGATAAAATATTGTTAGGTGATTTATAATTATTTTGTTAAAACGCAATAATAATAATTAGTACCTAATATTACTGTGTGGAATACATTATTGTAATACTAGTTCCGTTTGCGAAATCGAAATATAATACTTTATCAGGGCAACAAATTGCCCCCAGAATATTATATTAAAATATTCTCGATCAATAATGATCTTCTGACCTCCTCACACATTATAAATACAAGTAATACAATAATGATAAGTTGAAAATCGTCGATAGAATATTGATTGCATTATTTTGAAGATTTATCAACTGATTGTATATTTTATAGTTATTAATTATTATTATTGGTTTGTAATTAAAATATCGAAACGCAAAATTTACAGATAAAATTGGGTGATAAGATAAGGCAGGTATATAAATAATATGTATACGTATTTATTTATTTTACTTTTTTTTACTTATCTGTATCGAATTTGATTAAATCACAATCAATACGTCCTTTATGAGAAATATTGCGTTTGAAATATTACAAAATAATGTCATAGGAGGAAACTCCAGTATTTTAACTCGGGGATGCTTTCGGGGATGATTGTTCATTTTGTGTTCACATTTAATATATTATATTTTATTTTGGGCTAAGAAAATTAGTTTCAAGTAAAACAAAAGTGTAGGATTTGTAAATGATTATGGTCGGATTGATGGGACTTTACATTCTGTTTTTGTCTATATTTTCAAAATGTATTGTATTGTAATTTATAATACTTACACTCCGATTTGCGGACACTGTTCGCCCTGGGAAACAACGCCCACGTGTTTATACACTCCCATCCGCATTTTCGGAGGCGGCAACGGGAATTCTGGGTCTGGCTTAACGTATACATATTGCGAGTATACGATTGCGGCAGTGACTATCGTAGTCAATATCACGATTCCAATGCAAAACAGCCGGCTCTTCGATAAAGATCTGAAAAATTCAATAAAACAGACATGTTAATGGATAATGCTTTTCTGGTCGAATGACGACAATTCCGAATGATAATTTTATTATTGTTTTGTTTACTCTACAAAATATTATACGATAATCATCATTTTTCGACATAGTTAAAACATCACACGTAGTAAACTTACATTTACCACACTGTGGGATTGAACGCATTCAAATAATATTCATAGGTACCTAGGTATTAGTTTTTTTTTTGTCAATCGAATAAAACGCACGAGATAATGAATTGTTGAAAACAAAAAAAATGGAAATATTGAGTTGATAAGCGTAATTTCTACCATGTCCAAATTCAATAACATCCTCACGATAAAAACCAATTTAAAATAGGTAATTACAATATAGTATTTTAAACATATATAACGATGCCAATTTATTTTAACGAATAAATAGATTATACAAATTTATAATATGCAGTTATATTTACCCGAATATTTGAAAATCCAAAATATTATATTACATGAAATTAACATACATCTGATAAACTTATAATGACGTAAAAAAACAAAACTGATTGTTATCAAAATGTGTTAACTGTATTTTCTTATATATTTATGGTATTTATTATACGTATGCGTTTTCTCACCCACATCAACTTTGTACTTATAGAAGTATTATAATTATTTTTAATAATTTATATGAGATTATCATTGACAAAAACATATATACTTACATTATTTAAAAAATATATACACAAATATATAAGTTATTAGTACAATAATACTTGTTTGAAAGAAAGTATTTATTACTATAGGATATATTCACAGAGCTTTAAGATTATGTTTTGTTAACGAAGAACTTTTCTTTTCTGGGAAAATTGAAGAAAACCTGTAATTTTTGTGTATAATATATAATAAATTATGAAAATTTAAAACAAATCTGCAAAACGAATTTTAGATTTTAAGTGGAGCGAAAAAGCCTAAGGTTTTATAAAGCTTTCTGTGAACGACTTTTCTACCAGCAATTTTACTACAAATTTTAATAATAGAAATTTTTCTAAAACGAAATTTCACTAACGAGCTACTTTAAAAAGGTCGTTTTTCGATTTTCATCACAGTTTTCTCAACAAATGTGAAAAACTGGGAAAAAACATGGGAAAACAAGTTAAAACATAGGAAAATCGGGGAAATTGGTACAACATTAAACAAATACTATTAAAGAAAATATATAGATAGAACCTATTTAATTATTTTACTATAATATGGTATACATATTGTTGACAAAGCATCACTATCTATTTAACTTCACTCAGAATCGGTTTTTCGTTTGCAATGGTTTATCGTTGCTTACAGATATACATTAAATTCATGTCTGTATCCTACCTTCCCAAATTCCCACCTATACCAGTGGCTGTACCCGTCTTCATTATCTTACCTTTCTTTTAGATTCCGAGCGTAGCAAGGGAGCTATTGTTTTTACAATGTTGTTTATTTTTTTTTTTTTCATTGTTTTTTATTCTTGTCTGTGGACACGTTTTTTTCTGTTAAACTTGCTCCGATTTTTACATTTAGCAACTTTTATGAAAGCTCTAGTTGTCTGAATTGTTTTTTAACAGGTATTTTTTGATTTTCGACGCTTTTTTTAAATAAAAGCACTTAAGTAGAAAATAACGTAGGAAAACGTACAATTTCACGAATTAAATATTTTATAAAAACACGGATAATGTTTCCTACCAGAAAAAATGATTTAATCGAAAAATCAAAAGACACCTTTTTGATTTATTTTTTTATGGTATCATCGCCGAAATTTTTGAACTTATAAGGAATTTTAATTTTTGGAGTTTTTTGTTGTTATTCAGTTATAAATACATGTAGAGACTTGAAACTTGGTAATAATACTTATATTAGACTTAACTAGACGTGGTTAAATTTCAAAAATCATTGGACGAGTGTTTTTTTTTTAATAAGCATTTTCAAATCAAATTTAAACGAAAATCGAAAAAAAAATTACGACACTTCAAATTATGTATTACTGAACTGCACCCGGAATCGTCTTTCATTAGCAATGGTTTATCGTTGCTTACAGATATAAATGGAATAACCTTATGTATCCTACCTTCTCAAATTTTCACCTACGACAGCAGCCGGTCCCATCCTTAGTATTAGCTCTTTTTTTTTCGTGTGACTACACGTTTTCTGGAAACATCAAAATATAGAAGTGTTTTTTTTTATTTACGGAAATCTTGGAAGAAATATATGTATATTTGCATAATTACGATTAGATGTAAATGTATACATTATCTCAACAAACATACAAAAATATTGTCAGCTAGTAAACGTCTATCAATTACGTTAATTAAATATATTACGTTGGATACAATTACATTAAAATACCTATGCAAAAACAATGTTAAATACTTTTATTGTAATAATAAACTTAATAAATTTAATTAGACATTTTAGATTTTTAAAAAAAATACTCGAGGTAATGATATTGAAAGTATTAAACAATGCATTTGTTCTTTTAAAAATTACCCTCTTTTGGGCGATGGTGTTTAAAGTAGGCCATATAGTTTTATTAAAAGAACCTTAAATGAGTCCAAAAATCGATAAATAGGTGAGTTAAGACTGTTATTTTGAAACGTTTCCTACAGTTTCTAGTGATTTTTGAACTATACAATTTATATATTGTGAGTGAACGTTTAAATTAAAACTTGTACTATCTCCAACTATACGAATTGTGTTTAGATTCTGAGTATACCAATGTTTAGTTTTACTAGGATGAGTGATTCTCGGAAAACATTTTTTGGATTAGTGAAAATTCACGGTTTTTTCACATCTAAAAGATACAAATTTTTTTTTCAGATGACTAAATAGAAATAGGTATTTTATTTAAAAGAATATGTATGCTTTCCTATGTTTTATGCTTTATGGTTTTTTGAAGTACTTTTTCGGTTAGTAAAATTATTCCATTTATTCGTGCCGTACATTAAAAAGTATCGATTTTTCTCTCGATAGTACTTTATTTGAAAAAAAATGTCAAAACATCGATATTATTTGTGTTGATTTGTCAATGACCTTAACTACAATGGAAAAACACCAATATTATACTATTAAAACTACTTCACTTAGAATCAATTTTTGATTGCAATGATAGATCTTTACTTTCAGTATGTAAATTAAATTATCCTATAGGTGTTTTTATAACTTTTTTAGTACAGTGGCCTACCAATAGTGCGGAATACATCCTGACTTATTATATCTTGATATTTAATTATACTTTATTTTTATAAAGCAGTCTTTGAGCAGTATATTTGCAATTTTATTTTAACTATTTTTCCGTAAACTCAGTATGGCCGTTTCACCGAACCACTGCATCTGCTAAAAATCGTGTCACAAGTGAGGCAGATTAATTTAAAAAATATTATATATATATATATATATACATATACATATATATATATATTTACCGACCTAATTTTCTTCTTTTGTTGATTTCCTAGTATCAGTGTTTTTTCGGTTATGTCCATAGACCAATCATTATTATCATTGAACTCTTCTCCATAATGATTTTTACCCATTTGGTTTTGCGGCACCGGATGACCACCACTGCAAATTCGGAGCGTATAAAATCCAATTGCCGTCGACGACGTATCTAATGCGCGGATCACGTTTTATATATAATCAATTATTGAAATGAAACGAAATCTGCAGAGCAACGGATGATATAACGGTGATGCAACGGTCGAAAAGAGTCGATAATTTAATTTTATTGATCGTATTAGAAAAAGAGTTTACTTTAATTATGTTTTTCGTTATATACTGTTTTTTATTAGATAAAAATCCACTACTACACACACTCGTTATAAATATTGTGTGTGTATAGGTACTGTCCGTAATGTGTAACCTACCTATGTATGTTCATAATATATTGAGTGCCAATTAAAACTGAAATAATCGTACGTGATAACCATACTGTACATAATAATATTGTAATCATCATTTTGCGGGTTTTCGAACTTGCCACTGTATATTATAATGCGGTTATGTTATCTTGATAATACAGGTATAAAATACATGAATAGCATACATTCCAAGTTATTACAGCAGACCATGATGATAGAGTCACTCTTGACGAGCATGATATTACCGGCATGCGATATTTTTTCGTGAAATAAAACGTTTTGAAATCATAGTGGTTCAATAGGCTGCGATTTCTTTAAAGGTTCATTTTTAAGGAAGGAGGAAAATTTTTTATAGATTTTATACGCCTTCCCCTAATGTGACTCTGCAGTTTACAGTAATATTATAGATTATAGTGCAAAAATGGACTTAATGTTCACCAATGATATTGTGCATGTTTAAACGAAACTTCATTATTATCGGTCGCCTATAATACACAAATAAAACTAAGTGCTTATTATAAATAGCGGTTAGTTTGAAGACAAAAACACAAAAATAATGACAGTTTAATTTATTATTATGTTGACACGACCGTTACTGCAATTGTATTTCCTGGTTTAATAAGTATTAAAGAATTTAAATACAGGGTGATCCACGTAACGTAAGACACTCATTACCTCGGAAAGTGTTAACATTTTTTTAAAAAATAAAACAGTTTTAAAATGTTACATTACATGTTAATTTGGGGTTGAATATACAGGACCACTTTTGATTTTCAAAAGCAACGTATATTAAAAATACCATACGTAAAAGAAATTAAATTAAAATACATTTTAGTTTTAAAATTTAAAATTTTTATCAACCCGTTTACGAAATATTCCATTTTTATATTTTAATTTTGTAGGTAGGGAGAGATAGTAAAAGTAAAAGTGTGAGCATCTCATCAACGGGTTTATGGAACTGAACAATTTTAACGCCAATATTTATTTTAAGTAATACAGCATATTTTTGTGACTGACATTTTAAATGTAAGTTGTTATTTTAAAATCAAAAGTGGGTAATTGTTTCAAGAACGAAAATAATGATGACAAAGCAAAACAGAAATTAATCATTTTATAGTTGATATTGTTTCTACAAACAAATAATGAAAAAGTTACACATTCCGAAATAATAAGTGTTACAGTTTGATGATCACCTGTATAATATGTATTGGGTTAAAATATAAAATATACTGTAATAAATGTACATATAATTTAGAATGAACATTTCCAATTTAATTTAATCAGTTCAATTTGATAAATATAATTAATAATATTGCGCAATAGTATAATTGATAAAGTACTAATACTATTATTTATGCTCCGCAGTGAAAGTTTGTTATTAAACATTTTTTGATCTTAGACTCGGAAATTGATTTTTTCCTAAATTTGTCAAAAGATTGAATAGATTTATGTGTGTGATTTTTTAAAAACATTAACAGTATTATTAAATTTACTATCAGGTCGTTTGTTTTGTTGCTAAACTTCTATTGAAACAATAACAATTAAAGTATATATATTTAGATTTTATTAGTTAAAAGACCTTAAACAAGTACGAAATGAATAGTCTATATTACTAAAAATAAATTAATAATTTCAATAGTAATGTAGTAACAATCGAAACAAAATATAAAAATTCTGTTATACTATTATACGTATATACTGTTTGTTTAAATTATTGTAAATGGAAAAATAAAAAGTATTTTTTTCCTAAAAAGTGAATTTATTGTTATCGTAAAATATAATAAGTAATAATAATGGAAAAACATATTATATTGTTATCGTAAAAAAAAATTAATATTAATAGGTTACATTCAATATTTAAATATATATTTTTTTTTTTTTTTAGAACAAAAACAATCTATACAAATAAGTAAAATAAGCTTATGTGATAATGGCTATATTTGAAATGCAAGTATAAATAAAAAGTCACCCATTAGAGTAACACTTGGCTTAGATTACTAAAGTTGATGTTTTAAATGAGAAAAAAAAATTAGAAATAGTTTGGCTAGATTTGCAAAAGGGCACGACACCACTTCCGTTTTAGTTCGCGGTTAGGATTACCCGGTAGAATTAAAATGGACAGATCCTTGACTATAGGATTGGGATGATTTTGAAGTATTTTATGAAACTGGGTATAGGGCGAATGTGCTTCTTCATTATTAGATCTCATAGCAAAAGGTCTTTATGTAGAGTATTATTGGAAACGTATGGAGGTACATTAATGATATGTCGTATTGCAATATTTTGAAAAGTTTGGATTTTATTTGTGTTTGAAATTTTGGCAGCGCCCCAAAGCTGTAGCTCGTAGGTCCACATGGGTTTAAAGAGTATTTTATTAACTAAGAGTTTAGTTTTGAGTCTAGTGCATTTATTTCTCATTAGAATGGGGAGAAACATACATAGGCCAGAATTCAGAGCAAGTCTTTTAGTTCTAGTATGATAATTTCAAATAAGTTATTTGTCAAGATTAAATTTAAAATACCTGGCTGCACCAGAAGTAGGAATTTCAAAGCTATCTAAAATATTATTAGAACATATACCTTGTTGAAGCGTGAATGTAGTGTCTAATCGTATGATATTTATTTTTATACGATAAGTGGTGTTAAACATTCAATTTTAAATTCTTAGCAGTGGAAGGAATGTATTACCAGTTTTACAATGATGATTATTTTTTTCTGTGAACAACTTTTTTGCCATACATTTTGGTTTGATTTTTAAATGTAGTACTTTTTCTGAAAGGAAATTTTTATCGAGTGGTACTTCCACCCCAAATAAAATTCACGAATCTGATATTATGTTATAATAATGTAATAATTATGTAATGTTATTATATTTTCTATTTGTAATATCGCTTATGAAACATATGTATGAGTCAGTTAAATATACTCGTATACTAATTATGTTATCTAAAAAGTTTTAAATAATTAAAACTGGCACAAAAATACGCGTTCCGTACTAATTGTTGCACGTAGGTATCCGATTTTATTAATCGGTTGGTTTTCTTTTTGGTAGATTTTTATTACTTGTTCAATGAAATGCGTGGGACATCTCCTAAAATGAACGAGTACAAATTGAATAGTTTTAAAGGAAAACATTGAGAAAATATTTAATACGAAGACGGAAAAGGTGAATTTAAATTAAAAAAAAAGATAAATAAAGAACTTAGAATTTTACATGGAAAAACTAGTAGTATGGAAGTTTTAAATAATATATGCAAAGCAACAGAATAAAATGACAAAAGACATGACAAGATGGAAACAAGATTTAAAATGACCTAGACAAGATTTTTAAGTTGGTAACAACATATTATGTTAGGACTATTATACAACTGGTATCAAAATTTTGCTAGAAATTTTATTTTATTGGTACATTTTTCAATTCAAAAAAAATAAACGAATTTATCACATTAATTTGCTACATTTTTCTAAGGTATTTTTGGATTTCACTAGTACTCCTGTCACTTCCGGGGAACGTTTCAAATCTGTGTCAACATCAGCATAATGTCTGATTCAAACCAAAACTATTTTTTTGGGTGGAAAACATTTTTTCCCAAGAAACGTTTTACAAATCTGTTTAGAAGACAATCATTTTTATAATAAGATGGTTTTTAATGATAGGGAGGGGTGGAGTAGCCTGGAGTGTAGGTCTGGAAATAAGAATTTTTCATATGGCCTGAACCATATTATGGCACGATGGGATTTTTTGTACACACATAATATTTTGCTTACTAATATTATTTAAAAATTAATAAATTAGGGTTGCCACTGATCATTAATTATAAAATTCTCCGACTTTTCTAGGTTATCCAAGAATTTATATACATTTTTCAGAATTAAATAAGCTTATATAAATACACACTTACTGACCATAGATAAAAAAAGCTCAAATCAGTTCATTAGAATATGCCCAAAACATTTAATATTACGTAACATATTAAACTAAGGAAATGTTTTCTACATTAAACTTAGAGAGGTCATATTTCCATTTTCCTTGTGGTTTTCATAATATCTGGGTAAAATCGGGATAAAATGTCAGAGAATTTACGATAATAATGTATTTATAATTTAGTTAAAAGTATTCGCAGAGACTTAAAGTGTTGACAGATAACTTATATTTACTTTTTCTAGACGTGGTAAATCTTTCATGATATTTGAGTATTTTTTGAGCTATTTTATGGAGCGTTTAATTTTGCGAGTTTTTACGTAATTCTTATTTGGTAGATACTCTGTAGATAAATTGTTAAACTTAACAGAAATGATTTAAAATCGACAGGAGGTTCATTATAAGTCGTATTTAGTGGTAAAAAAAAAATTTAGTTTAATGTAGAATTTTTTTTTTTTAAGAGTTTCAAAATAAAATGTATATGTAAAACATGTATATGTATATGTATGCGTATATACGGATGTATGCATATGTATACATATAACTGAACTTCGTTCAGAATCCTATTCGTTATCAATGATTTATCGTTATAGTTACAGTTATAAAATTAAATAGCTGTATGTATCTTGCATCCATCCGTATTACCATCTCTTTTTTTTTGATTTCGTGTGCCGAAGCTGGAGCTGACGCAAAAATTTGAAACCTGCCCAGAACTGGATTAAGAGGTAGAACTGTAGCCTGAACCCATCTGAAAGGCGACAGGGGTCCTAGAAAAACAAAAAAAACAGTGAGCAAAATATATAAAATTGTTCTGAATAAATTGACATATTTTTTTTGAATCTGTCAATGTGCCGCACCGTCATCATTCACAAAGATAGCGCAGGCAAAATGTCAATACAAGTATCGACATGTATTATTCTAGTTTAACTTGCCTGTATGAACATGATTGACATTAGAGAAGATGTTAATATGATTGAAGTAATAAATGCAGAAGAGATATCAATGGACTTGAAAAATTGGAGGAATCTTGATGTTACCGTGATGGACCTTAACAATATATTAACTATAATTTAAGCGATAATCGTGTCAACATTTTGCTTAACAATGGTACAATTTTAAGTTTTTTTCAGCAACTTTTTATACCATTTGAAATCAAATTGAAGTTCATTATGATCTGTAAAATGTTGTCTACCTATTTTTATTCCCGTGTAGTATTTTGCGTTAGTAAAACCGGTCGTACTCATTTCCCCTAAATTTGTATCAGGCAGTGGATTAGTAAGATTAATAGACCAATATTTTTTTTGAAGGTGTTTATTCAATTGTTAAAAACAATTTTAAAATTATTCGAAAGTTTAGTTGTAGAAAATTCGGAAAATCAGAAACTGATACGTTGCCGATTTTCCTATTTGGAAAAAAGAACTAAAAGTGTACAACGTCATATAATAATACATTTATGTTTCCCGTAAATCGATAACCTGCGCATTTACATAAACATACTGCATTTTTATTTGGAACGCCGTTTCAATTGTCCGCAAGGAAACGGAATCGAAAATCAATTATCAAAATCTTCTATCCATCACTGAATTAGAAAAAAAAAAATTAAAGAAAATTTTTTAAATAAGTAGGCACCAAAAATGTATTGCTGTCTTATTTTCAAAAAATAATTCCTAAAACAAATGAGTTGTCATCAGCTGTTATATTATTTTTCTGACTTATTTTAGTTTAGAATTCGTTAGAAAATGTTTTGAATATTCGACTACTGGAATCGTGCTATAGATAGCTATCAACCCGGCCACCCCACTAAACGCGCGTCATGGCGTTCAAGGCTATGCGCGCAGTGGTTTAACTATACGCACGTGTACGACCCAGATTTTTGTTTTCCGAGCAATTTCCACGAACACATGCAGTTTCGAAGCGCCACACGTGTAAAGTTTCATTTGACAAAGGTGTACTTACAAATTGTTTCGTTCGCCCACCTGCGAGTAGTGCGTATGTTTACGGTGTCAAAATACCGATGGCAAAATTAAGATTGACATAAAATCGATTTTATTTTTATTTTTAACAGTATACTTAATTTTGACCTTTGATCGTAACCATCTTTTCCAAATCAATAATACAGTTTATTTTTTCCGTGGCTTTAGTTTTCACAATATATAGAACGCCTACTCATTTTTCTAACTATACAGGTTTAAAAATACCTGTACATATATTTATATACTCGTAAATGTGGATTTAAGTTTCTCAAGCAGTATTCCATTTTTTTTTTATTTTGTTATCTTATTTTATCGTCGTAATAACTATTAAATATGATTTTTTTTTTTTTTATTTGAGCTATACGTATAATGATTTCACAATGACCTCTGGTTCGACGAAAAATCACGTTATTCTTAGCTGTAGGTAGAGTAAGTTGTACTTGACTGTTACAGCTGATTTTATTTAATCTCATAATATATGATATAGATCATTCAATGCATTACAATAAATAATTGAACCTTGCTAGAGGTCATAATTCTCAATCATTAATTTTATTCTCTAATAGTTATACTTATAATCGAAAATAAACCTAAAATTATTGGTAAAACAGAAAAAACAACAGACATACCTCACACAATGGATGGGCCACCGTTATAGATGAAAAGTTGGGAAGGTAGAGTGAAAATTGAATGTATATCTGTACACAAAGATTAATCATTGCTAACGAAAGCTATTCTGAGTGGAGTTCGATTACACATGTTTTGAAAGGACTTAATATTTACAGTTTTAAAATACTACATTTCACAAATTTTCTCATATTCCTACTTCTTTTTCGAATTATCTATTTCCTTTAACTATGAAAACCTTTGAGAAAATCAAAAAAATTACCTTCATTTAAGTACCACTCCGCAAAAATTTGCTTTCGAAGAAGGTACTATACACTTGAAAATAGGAGCAAAATTTCTAGTAGAAAAGTTGTTTATGAAAAACAATAAATATCATTGTACAACCAATAAATTCCTCGCTCCGCTCAAAATCTAAAAGAAAAACTGAACGTAAAATTTCATACTTTTTTTTCTTGCAAACGATAAAGTTTAAATTTTTGTTAAAATTCGTATAGTTTTGCTGTAAAAAAAAAAAAAAATAATGAAAATAGTCGCTTCCAATAAAAGCGTTATAAGCGTTCTTAGATTAATTATATGTAGTGGTACGCTAAAATGTATGATAAAATAACGACAAAAAGAAGAAACAATCACATGTGTCTTAAATTTGAGAAATACTTGTACATAATTGTATTATAAACGTTAAGATTTTAACAATGAATTTTCATTCTGTAAAACAAACATTACGTTTTAGACGTGCACACTACATATATAAACATTACGTACTAAAAAAATTAATATCTTAACCTTGAATTAAAGATTTTGGACTTTCAGAGGTATTACAAGTTTTAACACTTAGTATCTATAAATTGTATAAATAAAAATCAATATTTTTTTTAGTTTTAAAGCTTAGTGAGAGTTCTTTTCGTATATGTCTTTACCATGTGTGGTTTTTATTTATTTTTTTTTTTGTGTTTGCGAGCAATTTTTTGAACAGAAAACTTGCTCCGATCGAAAAATGGTAAAGCTTTTTTCGTTTTAATTTTGATCTCATTGCTGCATTGAAGAGGTAATTTTTTAATTTTCTATGAGATATTCATGACAATTGGAAAAAAATGATCAGACAATTTTATATATATTTACGGCATACCGGAATAGATCGTTTTGATCTTACAAACAGTTTCCATTTAAACAGGTAAGACTATAAAAAAGACTTGAACTTGAACTAAAAACGAAAAAATTACGGTATACGATTTCATTATTTCAATTTTATTCGGTAATTTAGTTAGTTACGGTTTAGTACGAATGTTCGTTTTGATTTTCAGTGTAGTTTTAAATAACTAAGAAAAACCAGAAATAATGGTTTATTAGTTGCAATTTTTTTTTTTGTTGTAGTTCAGTTAAAAATATTCGTGTCTTGACATTTTGGCAAAAAACTTATATTTATCTTTTTTAGACGTAGTAAAATTATGGAACAATTTAAACGATTTAATGTTTGTTAAATTTTTTGATAGCTTTTATTTAGTAGGTTTAATATGTGGGTATAATTATTTCAATAAACACAATTGCTTGAATATTTAACAGGAAATTCATTATAAGTTGTATTTAGCAGTCAAAGAAAAAAAAAATTGAGATTAATTTAGTAATTTTTTCATATAATGGTTTGAAGATCAAATTTCCGTGAAATTTTAAATATTACGGTCTTTTAAATCATATATATAAATGAACTTCGTCCGAACGTTTTTCATTAGCAATGGATTATGTTTTTTAAAAGATTTGGAGGGGGGCGAAATAATTAAATTTGATATTAAAAATTGATAAAAAAAAAAAGAGGGGCATACTTGTGTATACAGTGGACCACTGTTATAGATGAGAAGTTGGAAAGGTAAGATATTGAGGGAAATTTAATGTATATCTGTATCTAAGTAAATTTAAGAATTGCCAACAAAAAAAGATTCTGAACGGAGCTCGGTTAATAACATTGCCCAGGGGCATCTTCGGGTCAATTCCATGGAAGGGAGAGACAGCGAACATTTTTTTACCAGCACTTTTGCTCCACCTTTTAATGATGGCCATTTTTCTAAAAGAAAATTTCACTAGAAGGGTACTTTAGAGAGGTAATTTTTCGATTTTCCTAAGAGTTTTCCCAGCTAATGTGAAAATTTGGAAGAAAACTATAATATATAAAGGCTATTTAATTATTTTACTATAAAATGACATATATATTGTTCACAAAGCATCACTATCAACTGAACTCCCGCTCGAATCATTTTTTCGTAAACAATGGTTTATTGTTGCTTACAGGTATACATTAAATTATCTATAGCAATGGCCGCACCTATCCTCATTATCCTAGGAACTCTTTTTTATAATTATTTTTATTTTGATTTTATTCCTATATTTATTTATTTATTCAACTGTGGTATATATTATTTACTTAGTTGCTTATTTATTTATTTTTTATTAATATAAAATTTATAAATGAAAAGTGTTTCATTCTTGTTTCAATCAAAATATTTCCAAGATCCAGAATCATTTTTATGGCATTTGGAACCAGTTGAATTTTGACTTATTTTTACTACAGAATTATGGATATTTAGTATAACAAAAAAAAAAAACACACGGCTTATGGAGGGTGCGTTCGCCCCCTCTCAGAGACTCACCTGTCCTACTTACAAAAGTAGTAAACCCATCAGCAGTATCAGCTTTTTTTATAAAAAACATATTATGAATTAACATTTTCAGAATAATTAATATATTTACCTCACTCAGGTAAATAAGGTAACCTCACATATATACCTCGTATATATGTGTCTTATATATGTATATATATATATATATAAGACAACGGAAAACTGAAAGTATTTAGAATACAAAAAAAAAAAAACAAATAAATAAATAAAAATAAAGCTCATATAGAAAACGAAATATAAAGAAATTAGAGTAGAGATGAATGTGACTGATTGGCGTGTTCCAATGTCAAATTGCGCAAATAAATGAAAGTAACATTTTCGTTGCTAATAGATTTTGTTGATGTCGGAATATATCTGATAAAAAAAAAAACAAAATAAAATAATTTATAATATATAAGGTGTTCAATTTACTATTTTAATTTTTATAGTATTCCAAAACGTGGAATATTTTCTTTTTATCGTAAACGCGCCAAATTATATGGCGAAAAACAATACTTACAGTGTAGTTTTACAATCATTTTTGTTGTTGTATTTATAATACTACAAGTAACTTAAATAGATTATTATATATATTTATAGATTTTTAATTTAAAATATTTAGGTACATTGTGGTTAGGAAATTTTGTATAATAAATTAAACTAATGTTAAAATTCACATATTATTTTAATAAACTACATTAAACATTAAAACATCGATTAATTGTATATTAATGAATGAATATAATATCATACAACATAATATACTTTCTGAAATGTATACAAATATTATTTTGTTGTTCAGGTGGAGTTTATATATTTATTTTTTTTTTTTTTTTTATGAAATGTGTATTAAACATTATGCAATGTTTTTGTATTTAATACAGATTTCGTAAAACAAAAAAAAAAAATCATAAACAGCATGAAATAAAAATAATTTTAAAAATAACAAAGTAAAATTAAAACCACTAAGTTTTTTTTTTCAATTATGTACACATAATAATATCAGTCGCAAAATCGAATCGCCTATATTAGGAACTTATAATATACTCGTATTTTACATACGTAACATACATAACATGATCTTTTTTTTATAATTATTTTACAGTATCCCGTCGTCAGTATCCGGACGAATTTCCGGGTCGTCTGAAATCTGGCATGGCTTCAATCATGCCCGATTTAGCTCTAGAAATTGCAGTCACCGCCGAACCGATCGTGTTTTTCAACCTAGACACGGGATGACCGATGTCTCTGAGCATTTGTACTACGTCCTGTATATTAATAAACAGATAAATGTGACATCATTGTTTTTATACTCGAGTACATATGAAAAAAATGGGTATAATATATAAAGATTTATAAGTTGTTAACTTTTGTTTAGAACTTGTACGGTGACCATTTTAAGATACCGTCGCATCGAAAGTGAAAACACACTATATCGAGTATCGATATAAAATCAATATTTTTGGTAACTGTATTTTTCTCTTACCCGGGTCGTTCCGTATTCGTATTGAACTTGCATCGGCAAAAGCTGATGGTATATTCTAGGTTTGTCTACCGCTTGTTTCAACGTTTTATTGTACCATAACGTGAGGGCCGTAACCTGGAAATTAAATTTTTAATCTTAAAGATACTAAATATTTATTTATTGTTTTTGCGGAATCAATTACCCGTAACTCCAAAAACAAATATTGTCCATAACTTTATTATGGACAATATTTTTTAGAAAAACTTGTATTCATAAAACTATCAAGTAATCAAATTCAATAAATTGAATAAAACTTATTTTCTTGTTTTCGAATAAAATGATAACCCGAAGATACGACATATTGTGAGAATAATATTGATAATGGATAAACGACATGTTGTTTATGTCGTTTGTAGATAATGTTTATATGACTAAGTGACATTGTTTCGTTTTATTCTCCTTAGATTTAGTGAAATTTACGCAGAATTTACACTAAATTACGCGCATTTTATTTTTCTATACAATTTAATGTTTATAATTAATTTGTTACTTTTTTGGAGTTACTAAATTACTGTGCCTACAGGAACGTTATAATATATATTAATACATTTTATAATATTCATGTATTTTAGTTTTTTAAAGGATCAGATTGAATCACTTTGAATCTGATACTTTCAAACTATTACAGAAATGTACGAATGCATATTTTACATACTATACAAATTATTCTAAACAATTTATTTGATTATTTGTGTAATACGTAATTTTTATTACGTTATTTATTGAAAATTGATGGAGAATATTTTTGGCAAATTATTTGTGATAAATTAATGTAATTTTAAGCAAAGATAATAATCTTACATATGCACTGGCTAGAGTAATTTTTGAACCTCCTGCAGCACCAATCCCGAGGACAAAATCGCCATTTTCATTTGTTATTATTGACGGACTCATCGAAGACAACGGTCGTTTGCCCGGTATGATGAAATTGGCTGGAGAAGGTTGAATTCCGAAATAGTTGATAACTCCTGGGGTGGAAAAGTCGTCCATTTCGTTGTTGAGAATAATACCGGTACTTGGAGACATGAAACCGCAGCCAAAGCTATAGATCAAATACAGTATAAATAAACAATAATAACAAATATATAATATAAATAGTATGCAAGTGGTACTAACTATGAATTTATCGTACTAGTTGCTACTACAGCGTTTCCCATCGAATCCACTACGACTATATTGGCTGTCCCATGATTTTCGGTCACGTCGAAATCAGCTCCGTAATATTTAGGATCCAACGACGTAAAATTATCCGATATCTTGCTGCGTATACTATCCATATAACTGTCCGATTTCACTTTATCGAAAATCTAAAAACAAAAACAATATATATATATATATAATTTATTTTAATATAAACCGTGTCAAATTATACAACAAACAACTAAAACTTGAATGACTTAATAACACGTAGGATTATAATAATTGTAGATCTCTGAGAAAAAAATGCTCTCTATATGGGTGCAAAATTAGCGGGTTCGGTAAATTACGCACCCCGAAAAAAGTCATAGTCATATACTATGTAAATTGCGGCCAAGTGTATTTTGTATAATATTATTTGTCTAAATATTTTTTATGTAAATGCAAATATTATGTCTAATCAATATTTTCCTTCCCATTTTTCAGACTAAAGGTACGGTTTCCAATGCTCGGCTGCGGCTCGCGACTGAACTATAGCCGCCGCGGCTGGCGGCTCTACTGCAACGAGAGCAGTGTATCGCGACAGCCGCCGGCGACTTAAGTCGAAAATAGTGTTTATGAAAAAACTTTTGCAGTCACTGATAGTAGTTTATAGACATATAGTATATACTACCATAATTTAACTAATATTCTAGTATTGAATTATAATAATTATTGTAGTATTGAATAATAATTATAATATTTAAATAAAACGTTGGTTAGTTTCCTTTTATTTGGATTTAAATAATTACGTAAAAATAAATTATCATCTTCCTCCTCTTCTTCAAGCAAATCAATGATCATTTTTTTATTATTGAAAACGCACATTAAATCGGACATGGTTTAACACTTTAAATATACGTTTTAACACAACATAATGCGAAGTATGACTAAACAAATAATGAAATTATGTTTAGAGCCGCGGCGATTTGTATGTCTAGGAAACCAGTCAGATTTCGGCGGCTGGTCGCGGCGATCGGCCGCCGCGGCTAGCCGCGCCTTGGAAACCGTACCTTAACGACTGTCGATATATAATTGTATTAATATTTTAGCAAATTGTGAAAATGAAATTTGAATTCATCAATTACCTTCAACGTTTTATTACTTTCACTTTTCATAACATTCGTTTTTATTAAATTGAAAAAAAAAATAATCTTACAAATGTTTACCATTTCCTTATTTATAAATGTTTAATAATACATGTTTTAATAATAAACAAAACAAAAAAGCAAAACCAATATTTTTAACTATATCAATATTAATACAATTCTACTTCCAGTCCTAAGTCTGAAAAATGGGGAAATAAATATTGATTTTACAAAAAACAGTCTAAGACGTAATTTATACATATGAATAAAAAATATTTAGTAATTTATACAAAATATACCTGGGCCGCAATTTATGTATTTTTAAAATATACCCGGGCCGCAATTTACACAAAAAATTAAAAATGAGACCCAAAATTAGATAGGTAGATAAATCCGATATGAATAAGTATAGTTTTCAATGAGACTATGGGATAGAAAAATACAGTATTTTTATACTCTACTTGGAAAATATCAAATGGACGTTTAAATGGTGTGTTTCCCATGTATTTATTTTTTTGTCAACCCTACGCGGATAATTCAATAAACTATTATAAAACGTACTTGCGATACATTTACGAAACGATGGTCGCCTAAATGGGTCCTTTCGGCATACCCGTATTTAAAAGCTTCCACGATTCGGTGTGCATCTAAACCGGCATTGGGTGCCGGTAATATGCCGTCCAACACTCGAAGAATGTAGGCTAATATTACACCGGAATCTGGTGGTAATCCGGCGTGTATTTTATGTCCGCTTTTTAATTGTACGGAAAACGATTCGTTGATTTCCACCCTATTAAACACGCAGTGTTGAAAATGAATCGATACTTCGAATTACACAATCGTGATAATATTTTAGTAATATAGTACGTATTTTTTGTCATTATATCGCATATTAATGTACTAAACAAAATAATAATAATAATAAAAACAATTGACTCACTTATAATTCGCCAAGTCCTCCGCCGTGATAATACCGTTAATGTCGTGTATGTCTTTTAAAAACTGCGATGTTAATGATCCCTTGTACAACGCGTCTGAACCTTCTTTCGCTATAACTCGCATCGTTTTTGCTAACTTGGGTAACTTGTATATGTCCCCAGCTTTTTTTCCGTGACCGGTTTTTTCATCGATGAATACTTCACTACACAAGCAGATACGAAAAAAATTAATAAATATTTTAAATTATAAAAAGTTAAAATTTACGAAGATGTTTTTAAAATAAATATATTTACACTACCTGAGCAATGTATCGTTTTTGATCAGATCTTCGTGATTTTTTATACTTTTTTCCAGGCGTTCACTAACTTTAATACCGTCTTCGCATAAACGTATGGTCGGCTCGAATAACGATTCCCAAGGAACCCCACCGCCATACAATTCGTATATCGTAGAATATCCTTTAAGTTCTCCGGGAACCGCAATAGCTTTTCCGCCTATATATGAAAAACAAAAAATGTTTAGCATTTAATTTCATCAGGATCCTTACACACAACTATAGAAAGTTAAAAAAAAAAAAAGAACTAATACTACTGATGGATGAACCATTGTTGTAGATAGTAAGTTGGGAAGATGAACTATACAGAGTTGTTTAGTTTCTATCAGTACACAACGAAAAATCATTGTTAACGAAAAACGATTTTTAACGAGTGAAGCAATTTTTAAATTAAATTACAGCTAATCGTAAATTAATTTATTGGTTTTTTAGTAAAACAACAGCGCTATCGTCTAAATTATCACCTCTTTACCTCAACTGCTTTTTAAAAAAAGTTATTGGGTTTCGGGTTTTAAATTAGCCATTTGTACCTATTATTAATGTGACTGGTAACTGATTTAAATAGCATACACTTGAATAGGTCTAATCAAATTCATTGAAAATGGAAAGGACCTCAAATAATTGGAAAGTTTTATTTCGAAAAAGTAAGCAATTCTAAATACTTGGGAAATACATTCAAAATTATTATTCAAAGATGATAAGTATGACAACCAATTAGAAAGAGAGCAAATTGAGAACATTCGAAAATAAAGTATGAAGGAATATCTATACTTAAAAAGGTCTATAGTTAGGATAGCAATAGAATGTAAAGCTTAAGAAAGAACACCATGAGGAAAATCCAGTGTTGAATCCAAACAACTTTTCTAAAGGGGGGGGGGGCTATTGTTAAAATTATAGTAATGACCCAGTGTTTTATTTCCTTATCTTATTTACTTACGAAGACTAGTTAAATTTGTTTAATTATTTAATTAGTTATTAATTTACCCACATTTAACAAGGGGCACACAAATTCCAGGTGGGGCTATCTCCCCCCTTGTCGTATACCTGAATTAAACTCTTTCAAAGATTCAGAAAAGATAGATTGACGAGAGGGATGAAGCTTTAAAAAAATTGGGAAATAAAAACTAGAGAGATATTCATGTTAGGAACAGGTAACGAAGTATGTATATAATTATGGCAGCAATAACTCTTAGAAAATAGATGTCAGCATAAGAAGAAATATAAGTTAAAGTGTATATTTATTTAAAAAAAAAAAATACAAACAATTTAAAATCTCAGTTAAATATAATATACGTACCGTATACGGAACTTTTGGGTTCATTTACGAACATTTTGGAATTAGCCGCGCCCGGAGCCGATTCGCGCGCGTTGATAGCTGTCACTTTTTTGGTCGTACTGTTGTAGAAACTCATTAAAAATCCTCCGCTCAAACCCATGTATTCTGGACATAGAGCGCCGTCGCATAACATTACAGCGATAATAGCGTCCACGGCATTTCCGCCTTTTGATAGAACGTCCCTATAAAAAAAAAAAAACTATATTTTACAAATTAATAAAAAAAAAGACATCCTAGAATAATGGGGACGGGTGCAGCTACTGTTATAAATAATTGAATGTATACCTGTAAGTAACGATAAACCTTTGCTTACGAAAAACGATTCTGAGAGGAGTTCAGTTGATAGTGATGCTTTGTCAACAATACATATATAATTTTATAGTAAAATAATTAAATAGGCTTTATATATTTTCTTTAATAATATTTGCTTAATATTTTACCGATTTTTAGCGATTTTTACATTAGTATTATTATAGTTCTGAATTTTAGCGAATTTGTTAGATATATTATTTTGATATTTCATACTACTCCAGGAGACACATTCATTTATCTATTTATTTATTTATACATACACAATACAAATTCGAACAATAGATGAAGTATCAGTTAAAATAAGTTTTAGTGTTAACATTTTTTATTTCTGTCCATCCGTTGACGATATATTCCACTTTTAAGTTTGGGTTTGAAGATAGTAGTGGAATATCATTTGTGTGGCGGTACGGCACAGGCGTATTTATAATGCACCACTACTCTCCTCCAAGCCATACTTAAAAGTGAAATATCTTGTCAACGGCTAGACAGAAATAAAAAATGTAAACACTAAAATTTATTTTAAGTAATACTCCATCTATATATTGATTTTTTAATACAGGTTGTCATTTGAAAATCAAAAGTAGGTAGTGGTTTTACGTCCAAAAATAAGGGTGACAAAAAATAACATAAATATAAAATTATAGCGTTGCTTATTTCTTAAATGTTCTAGAAAACAAATTCCGAAAAAAGTTAATACTTTCCGGAAAAATGAGTGCACACATTTAAATGGATCACCCGGTACTGTGTATTTTATCTCCCCTAAATTTTTAATTTAAAACAATAGTTATAAAAATAATTCTGAAAATTTAAAATTCACATTGTCGTCATTTATAAATATAAAGTGGATATTACACAGTCTTAACAAACAAAACATTTTATGTAATGCTGGTTATCAAATAACACTTAGTTGGTATTTAAAAAAAAAAATGTTTACTTATTAAGTATACTATGAGTATAAAATATTATAAATCACTTAATAAAGTCTATTAATAATTCGTTCTATATAATCGGTATGTATGCATACTATACGGTGTTATAAAACGTACCTATTTATCTATATATTTTTTTAATTAAATTGTTTTGCGTGTTTTATTAAACATTTTAGATATAGGTTATAGGTATAAAACTAAAAATAAATATAGCTAATATAATATATACTAATCGAACATCTAGTTTTTAGATTAATAATAATAGGTGTTTTCAGAGTTCGTACTTTAATAATTTAAAAAATCAACATTAAAACTTTTGAACATTTCGCCATTCAGAAATTGTTTTGTTACCATTTATATTACCAAATTGTATAAAAACAGCAAGTTATTTAACCAAAATTACTAGCACGGGAGTCCGGTGAGACTGAATTAGGGAAATTTAGGTAGAATTATGGTTTACATTGTAATAATGAACGAATTTTATACAAAAAATATTTAGAAAAAATTAGATGTTTGAAAACTGAATTCGAAAATAGGTTTCAAAATTTCAAATATTTAGAAAACGATTTTGCCTTGTTTCCTTTTTATCCTTATCCTTTTTCAATAGACGCAGTAAAAGTTCCAGCATATATACAAATGAAACTGATCGATATTCAAAATGATGCAATTTTAAAAAATAAATTCAATGAAGTTGGGGTGCCTGATTTTACCAATTTCGTGCCAGTACGATATGTAGAAACACGTAGATTTACGTGAAAAATTATTTCTATGTTAGTAGTACTTATCAATGTGAACAACTATTTTCATTAATGAACAGCAATAAATCACCCGTAAGATCCAGATTAACCGACACATATCTGAATTCAATGTTAAAAGTGGCTTCGGCCAAAAAAATTTCTCCAGAAATTGAAAAGTTGGTTGGACAAATATCGTCCAAAAAAAAATTATTAATACGATTTTGTTTTGTAATTTAAATATCTATAAATAATCAATATGATTTTTTAAAATGTAAATTTTTTTTTTTAACTTTTTGAATTTATACTGTACTTATTGTGTTCGTAAAGAATACAATTGAAAAATTTGTATAAAATATTTTTTTTCATTAAATATTTATGTGCGGCCCGTAGTAAACTATTCAATATATTTGGCCCACTTGATACTTTGAGTTTGACATGCTTGGTTTACAACATCCATAATAGGTGTATATTTCGGACTTAAATACTTCGGCAATAACAAAAATGAAAGAAAAATATATTTAAAATACAACTTGTTTGTACCTTCGATAATGAGTTCAATATTTTACGCTAACAAGATTGTTTTCAAAATATTTTCATCGAAGTATTTTAAGTATTTTTCCTCTAAAATTGATTTTACAGGCCTTTTCATTTATTTTACATAAAATCATTAACGGATCGTCTGTTAAAACAACAGAAACGGTAAATGCCACTGTGCTTCTTAGAGTAAAACGTAAACTTTTAAATTAAAAAAAATTCTATAAAACGAGTATATCTCTAATAGATGGATACCTTCAGTCCTGTTTTAGGACTTTTTTACAATTAAGCATTAGGAATTTAAAAACTTTTTTGAGTGGCGATGAAACTGATACAGAATTGAAAGCTTCTTTTTTGACGGGGGGGGGGGAGATATTTTGTAAATAAACACCTTTTTAGCGTACTCCATTGCACTTCTATTATATTGTAATAAATCAATAATGCAATCATCAAAAGTAATTAAATAATATCATAATTACACTCCAATCTGTGCACATGGTCCTCCATTGGATACAATGCCAACTTTGCCGTAGAGACCCATCGGCATACTGGACGGCGGTATCGGGAATTCCGGGTCGGGATCTTCGGTATCGGTCTTGGCATGGTGTGAGAACACGACCAACGACGCTATAACCGCGATCAATATCACCAGTCCTACAAGTAGAACAAGGCAACGTTTTGAATGTAATCTGAAAAAACAATACCGTCCGACGTAAGTTTTACGGAAGTAATGTACTTACACAGATTTCGACGGAATAAAATTTTATTCACCGTGAGTCGATTTTTTTTAACTATTATTACTGTTAAAGTATTTTATAACTGACAATTAATTATTAAATGTTTAAAACATGAATGACTGAAGGGTAGGGGAAACTAGACATTTTTTTAGGACACGTATTAACGTTCCATACACGAAACGAGCCATAGAGTAAAATGGAATCTTCAGGTTGTCCAGATACAGCGTTATTCATTTAGGTGCATATTATTATACACCATATTAACCTTAAAACATGGCATTCATCAGTCCATATTACGTAACTAATGTAATACATTGCTGGATTCAAATCTGACGATCAAAGATCAAATGTTTTTCGTTTTTTTCCCCCACTTTATCTAAACCCATCGTGGTTTTTCATCGATTTTAGGAATTAGATTTAAACTTATAAGACACATATATTCCATGGAGCATTATCATGTGTAGACCAATAGGTAGGTTAAGATTTAATTTCCCCACTGCTTTACCACAACTGTTTTCATCGACTAGATAGATAAGCAGTAGGTTTTAGATTTACACTTGGGACACTATAACTTTCTTGGATTGATGTTGTCTGGTTTAGACCAATCGTAAAAACTACTTAATAATAGCATGTTTATTATTGTTATTATTGAAACCATATCATCGATATTATAAATTTGTGGTAAGCAACCAAAGAAGATTTCGTTTGCGTCTATGACTTGTTTCAAGTAAGGAACATTCAGGGCTTCGCGCTAAGCGATCCTGATGAGCTTTGATGAGAATATGAAATATAGAATTAAATTTGGTTGGATAAAATGGAAAGACGCGTCAGGTGTTTCATGTGACAAAATAATTCTAATGAGATTTAAAATTAAGTTCAATAGAAGTGTGGTGAAACTTAAATAATACTTAAAAACGTTTTTTTTTTTCTAAATAATTGAGGTTTCACTCTGCAAATACATAGACATTTCATTAAAATAATCTAATTATTTTATTATTTAACCAACAGTAAATCCAGAAGTGGGGGCGATGAAGCATTCTTCTCACCGTTCGATCCAAAATATTACTCTTAGCCCCAATATACTTTGTATTTGATTTTCATCATAAGTGTTTACTTAGAGACATTTCTAAAATTGCCCCCCTCTGTTATCTTAAATCCACCCCTGCATCTAACATTCATGATAACATGTTAATTATAGACGAAGGTACAATAATAGACAAATAAAAACAAATTCTAAAAAGAGTCTTGATAGCTGCTGTTTTTTTCAGATAGACAATATTATTTTGATACACTCCACAGGTAAGATTATATATTTGTATAACGTAATTTTACCGCCCCAAAAAAACTATCAAAATAAAAAAGAAAAGTCATTGGTAAGATAATTAGGTATAATAAGGTATTCAAAATCCAAATGCACAAAAATTGTATGTCAGTTAAAAATACAAATATACCTGTTAAACACGTTTCTTCTTCATAAGTTGGCATTCCTATATCACTTATTTTATTCGATTTAATTTTGTGTGCGTAACAGTAATAGTTCAACCATGTAATTTATTTACTAAGATCAATTTAAATTTTGAATTTTCTATATGGAAATAAAAAATTATAAATGTTTAAAAATGAATTATAATAAAAATAATAATATTTTGTTACTGGGCAATAGATATTTCAAATTGTATATTTATACCCGCCAAATATTCGAAATTTAAAACTATTGTCGTTTCATATATAATCATTTAATGCCTAAAAGAAAATGAAGTCCAATTAAAATTAACTTTTAAAATCGTCTTATACTTGACGTTATAGTAAAGTAAAAAGTGAAAAACGCACAAAATAAATTATAATAAAAACTATTAAAATTACACAAATAAATATAATTTATAACTTATAACTCTACTACAGTAGTTCCCAACCTTTTTTATTCTACGACCTCTTGTCCTTTTTTTAAAAACCTTACCCTCCCCCCTAAAATTGGATTATACGATTAGAGTTAATGTAACTCCTTTTTTTTTGTTTATTTCTTTTTTTTTAGTTAGCCGTATAAATAAATTGTACAAAATAACTATATCCAGCACCACGGTCACAGCACAGAGATAAGTAAAAAAAAAGAACTCGTGCGTCGGCCGTTGTATATTACACGAGACTGCCAACTCCTATTTAACCTGTGTAATTTTACGAAAAATGTTTCGACCTCTTTTTAGCCTAAAATAATGGACTGTTCTTTTTTAAAATTTAGACGGGTTGATCACTATGTTAAGTAGATGATACTTTTGTAAATTTCGAGTTGATCTGATGATTACAGACTGAGTAATATGTAAATGTATTAGCATAAGCATAGTTTTTACTCGAAACGCCATTTTTTTCAACAATTCAACAATTTTGATACCACCTTATTGAAACGGTGGACGTTTGCCTTGAATAAAAAACAATTTTGTTTATTAATTTTATCACTGCATTACTGTAGTATTATTTTCCAGCAACTTTCTTTATAAGCTATATTCATAGCTATATATCATATAATCATTTACTCAGTCCATAAAACAACAAAGATATTTTGTCCCCATAATTTTTCATACGGTAAAAAAAAACATAGGTTAACTTTATACAAAATTTTAATAAAAAAAAATAAGTGATATCCTTACGAAAACCCTCCGTCAATAACATGTAAATATCTCACTAGGAAAAATAAACTCTAGTTAGAAAAGTTGTGAAATCAAAAAGCTAAGTAATTTCTTAAATTCATTAGTATAGAAATTGTTTATAATTGTTTGTATTTGATAAAATGTGATAATTGAATACAAATAGTTCAACTTAGCTTGGCAGCTATTCATAGTATATATTTAAATAATATTATGTTTATACGAATAAATTATAAAATGGGTTTATAAATATTCATGTTAGCATTGTATCTTTATTTTTAGTCGTAAATATTAGTAGCCACCAAACTAAATTAAATTATTTGTATTGAATTATCGCACTTTATCAAATACAAACAATAAACAATTAATATATAAAAATATATATATATATAATATTATATATAAACAATTTCTATACTAATGAATCTAAAAAATTACTTAGCCCCTTTTTGATATCACAACTATTCTAACTAGAGTTTTTATTTTTTTTCCTAGTGAGGTTTATACAAGTTGTTAACGGAAGGTTTTTGTTGGGATAATATTATACATTATACAAATAAAATTAACACAATGTTTTCAATTTTACTTATTGTAAAAATATGGCATAATAATTTTAACAACAATATTATTGTTATTTCATCATCACTATATTCCCCCGTGTGTTATCTCAATTTCTCCGTAAAGAGGAATTCTCCTCCAGTTGGGAACCACTGTTCTATTAAGTACCTGAAAATAATATTAATTTTTACTAAATAGTAACAAGTACTTAACAAATTAAATTTTTTCTGAATTTTTTAAACTTAATAAGTTAAAACTACAATTAATATTTTAAAATTATTATGAAGTTAAATATTATAAGTATGTATATTAATTTGAATAGAATAATTTACTGTTAGCAGTATGCTTTAATTTTATTAATCAATAATCATAGAAAATACATAGTTATACTATAACATAAATTATATTTTTTTGTAACCATTTTGAACTGGACCAGTTAAAATTATATTATTTATTTACTGTACTTTATTTACTATTTAACTTAATGGTCTCGTGCTATTCTATATAATTTAAATGAATAGAGTTAACGTCCGTTGTATTAACTCATCCTTATTTGATAATAATATGCACAGATTATTATAAAAAAGAAAAAATATTTTTAAAATATAAAATTAAAACACTCGAGGTTGGTGAACAATAAATACTTTTAGTTTGGTGACAGAAACATTATCAACATTATCCATTAAAATAATTGAATCATTGAGTATTCCCTGGTAATTATGTATTATTGTATAATGTGTATACACAATATTAGTTAATAAATATAAAGTAACAGTAAAATATTACACCCGATAGATATGCTAAACCGAGTGGCCTTTTAAGTATATTTATTTAACTTTGTAAACGTACACATTTAATTAACATAATTAAGCGAATTCTATTTACAACGGTACAACACTAATTATTGTGATACTGTTATTTTAAAAAAAAAAACACAAAATATTCTTATCTTAATTTTAATTCAAAAATTGATACCTACGTATATATATATATATGTATTTGTATTATTTTTAATTCTATGCAAAGGAGAGAGAACAATTTTATATTATTTTAAAATTGTATAGAGAAAAAAATGTATGCATACTTATTTAATACAATGTTATAAATTCAAGGATATTTTTGATCAATTTTAAGTTTGTAGTGTATCTATAACATACCTAGCTAATATATCGTCAAGATAAATCGAAAACTGTTTAACCTTGTCACACGGAACACGCAATATTTACTAGGTATACTGTAACGAGAGAATACAAACTATCGATGTATTAAAATCGAAACGGAACGAATGATAAATAATAATTTCACAATAAATTGTCACGTAATTTGAATTAAAAAAATTATCTGTTTATCTTTAATTATACGTGGATTAGTGAACAATCGAATTGAATGATAAGCGCGATTTGTTCTGCTGCTGAAGATACGATTTATCGTATAGTATCGTTTTTTTTTTTTAAATTTCAAAATATTATTAATCTTGATTACGAAATATGCAATTATGTAATTACATTACAAATTATTTACTGACCTACAGCCGTCTTTGCGCAAACTTCCTAGTCGTAGCAATTGTGTTTTTTCCGAATCGTTGCTGGGCAATGACATTTTTTCTCACAAAAACTGAATGAATGCAATATATTTTCGCCAGAACATGATTTGTATTATTATTATTATTATTGATATTATCCGTTTGGTTGCGATATAATGTATACGGACGAACAACTTTAAACTACAGGTGTAGCGGTAAACAGTTTAACAAATCGACCACTGAAGATTCGCGTGATGTAAACAAACTAAACATCAGAATCGATCTGCAGAAGGTATTCGTATAATAAACATTACAACATAGTTATACTATGAGGTTATGACAAAACCGGTAATATTATAAACACTAGACGTTATATATAACACTGTATTACATATATTGTCCTTCACTGTGTGTGTTTTTAGATAAAAAAATACCACTACTGATCTATAAGGTTAAACAGAACACACGTAATTCATCATCCGTTCATGTATCATGATATAATAATATACATATCTAAACACTAAAAACATCACACATTAGTACCAATTAAAACACTATTATATGTTATTTACGAACCTGTTATACATAATGTACGAACGATTTCCGAGTGAGCCAGAAGTACTATGCGGATGTAATCTACAAAAAAAAAATGAAAATGAAAACTTTGTTCTAAAATTCGATTTAATAATAATAAAGTTTATAGGTTCAAACTAAATGTATGAATAGTGAAAAAATAGAAGATATTCACAATAAAACGATCAAAGGTTAAATGAACACGTAAAATGAAAATTTCGTTATTTTATAACTGACTCGGTACCTACACTTTATTATAAATAAATAACACTTCAGATTTCCACTCTTGGAAGAAATCGTAAATTTAAATAATAGGTACCTATACGTGTTCAGTGCTCAAACAGCGCCTAGGCAATGAGAATTAAAATTGCATAATAATTTTTATCACCAGAAAATCAAAAGAGAAACAAATATTCTTGTACCTATTATACCTACATTTAAACTATAATATTATATTAAACAATAATAGTTATAAGTATACTTACACGTATTTATAAAAACTCAATATTAATATATTAATATTATTATTGACAATGTTTTAATTTTTTCAACAAGTATAAGTAATAGTTAATTCATGTCGAAATATTTATATGAATAATAACAGATGATTTTTAACACGATGATGAGATTACCATAATATCCATCACTTAACGATATTTTGCAGCAGTACTCGAATAATAAAAACGATTGAGATGAGTACCTAATTGCACATAATACCTTATATCTGTTAGTAAGTCGATCTATTTATTTTAACTATATTGTATGTATATACCTAATTAAAATACAACCAGCGATTCGGGTTTTATTTTACATCACACCACAGTTACGTATTCCTTAATACGCAAGGAGGTATAAATGTTTGGAGATATATCTCTCCCTTCAATTTTCTTTTTTATCCATTATTTATTATCACTTACTAATTTTTTTTTTACTTTCTAATTAGAAACATTAAAAAGACATTCTAATAATAAGGATAATGGGGAAGGGTGCAACTACTATTATAGATAAATTAATGTATACCTGTAAGTAACGATAAACCCTTGCTTACGAAAAACTATTCTGAGCGGAGTTCAGTTGATCGTGATGCTTTTTCAACAATATATATATGACATTTTATAGTAAAATAATTAAATACGTTTTATATATTTTCTTTAATAATATTTGTTTAATGTTGTACTGATTTTTCCAATTTCCTCACCTTTTTCCCGGTTTTCCCGTGTTTTATCTCATCTTTTAAAACTTGTTAGGAAAACTCTTGAGAAAATCGAAAAATGACCTCCTTAAAGTATCTCCCTAGTGAAATTTCCTATTAGAAACATTGTTTTTCAAATTTGATGAGAAAATCAAAACATGACCTCCTTAAAGTTCCGATTTCCTTTCAGAAAAAGTGCTACACTTAGAAATCCGAGGGAGTCTTCTGGTATAAAAGTTATAGCAGATAAAAAAAAAATAAATAAACATTTTTGTAAAACTATAAGCTTCTTTGCTGCATTCAAAATCTAAAATATATTATCTAGATAAATATATCCACAAAACCTGGAAGTTTTTAGACCACTAAATACAAATTATAATATACCTGGTACTAAATTTGCTTGCATTTCCCTAGTAATATAATTTTAATAACAGGTAACTACCAAATAAAAAAATATATTTGAAAAAACGAAAATATCAAATACCTATGCATATTAAATAGCCTAAAAACAGTTAGAGTTTTTTTGAAAATTTTATGACGTCTACGAAATGTTAATACAAGTATTTTATGTAAACTACAGGTCTCTATCATAATTTGTAACCGAATAACAACAAAAACTTAAGTGCCGTATAATTTGTCGTATTTCCTACTTTCCCTCCGGTTTTTTGTAACTATCAGGATTAATTATCATTATTAACTATACGGAATTCAAACAATGACTTTCTTACTCACAAACTAAACAAAATTTATTTCAGAAAGTATACTGTTCTTTAAATTTAGTCAAAGTCTTTTGACTTTTATAAATAATATAATTTAAAATATTTATTAAATGATGAAACCGTTGCGCCGTATTTTTCGTCCTTTTTGGTTTCTATCAATTATTATAAAAACTACTTTAGATATAAAAAAAAGTTTTTCTGTAAAAAACAAAATTATTCCGATTATTTCAATGATGAATAATTACAATAAGTCTCATCTAAAAATACTACTCACCTAAAAAATGTATTCTTAATAAAATAATATTAAAAATAGTTTACGTTACGTTACTATAGACGTGTATAATATGTATTAAATATGTCACTAATTTTAATTTTGTTGTAAAATAATAGAAATATGAACTATTATTATCAATGCTTATAATATAGTTAGGTATGTACGTAAGTATTTATTATAATGATGTAATATTATGAATGACAAATTATAGGTAACTATGCAAAGTAATTATAAATACCTAAATACTTTTTGAATTATAAAAACAACAAAAATTGTTTGCCTATTTTACTAAACAAAACAAAAACAAAAAAAAACAATTAACATTTGATAGAATGATTTTAAAAATAATTTTACATCGAGTGTTACTGCTGGGTGATTACTCATTTTTTGTGGTTAAAAATAAAAAAGTATGATATCACAGTTTTTAGCTCACAATAATAATTGTGTACTCTTATGCATAATTTTTATTAACTCAATTAAATTGCATAATCACACATGAAACCAAACCATGAAAGGTACGCAAATAAAATAATAATAACAGCAATTCGATAAAAAATGATATTAAACATTTTGTTTTTATGACTACGCATACGATTTAAAAATGGTTGAGCATAGAATCATTTGTAGAAGTTTGTAGAACCATCGGTACTTATATGCTAACTCAAAATATATATAGTCATTGAATATAATATGTATACGGATTACAAAAATTAAACTTTAAACTCACCCGGGTTAAGCTAATCAATAAATCGAAAAGAATTTTTACGAAGTAACTTAAAAAAAATAGTACGTAAAATTTAAATCTAATCTCAATAGATATGTCTGTACAGAATAAAAACAAAAATAATTAATCCATCTGCTGGAAAACGCGTCAGTTGATACCTACTTAAAGTTTTGTTTTAATTTTAATGGCCTATGTAAATTTTCTCTCTAGTGGAAAAAACCCAATCCGGTTCAAATGTTAATATTCAATACGTGCGCATTAGTATGATCTAAACAAATACAAATATAGATGTAAATGTGATATAAGGCAACTTTAAAAAATGTACAATTTTAATTTTAAAGTTATTAAGAATTTATCCTAATATACTACATTTTAAAAACTTTTATATTTATTTTATTGCTAAAAATCTCATTTGAGTAACTCTTGTTTAATAATAGTAAAATACTATTTTGAAATTATACTGATTTATATTTAATTCAATATGTGTATTGCATTTATCATGCGTGCTTTAAATGGAACTTTTAGATAATATATAGATAAGCAGAATATAACGTAAGGTATTATCAAGCATATTATAGTTATTAATGCTATATTATATTGCACTCATAATCGCATTAAGCGATGGCATTATTATTTCCTCAATTACTCGAACTGAATATGATATGGTAGGTATGTGTTAATGTTTTGAAGTTTATTCATCATTAGACCAAATAATTATCGGTAGAGTTAAAAAAAAAAATATTACAAAATACCCCCCGAGTAGGTACTTATCGTATTAGGTACCTATAGTATCCATATTATCAATATTATTATACTTTACGTGATTAACAAAAATAAATGTCACTCGCAAAAACCACATAATATAGTATAGTGTAAGGTGTTTACTATGCAGAAACTATAAATGCGTATTAAGTATGGTTCTTTCGTCACAGAACAAATATACACCACGTGTTTGCGTGATAAGCAGGATTAATAAGTGACTCGGTTAATAATGTCAGCGTGCTGTGTGCATTGTATTCAATATAGCAACTTACAATATTGTCTTTGCGAAATATAGGTTCGTTTTTTATAATATTAATATATTATTAAGGTTAGGATGTCAATCGTACAAGCCTTCTATAGTTTCACTACAACGTCAGAGTATAGCTAAATAAAAACAGAATATATTTAAATTCTTACTTTATTAAACTGTAACAACTACAATTTTGTGTTAAAAATTAAATACTTCTAATAAATTTATATTTTAATTGGGTAACTGCCCATCTAAATAAATAATATAATTATTTATTATAGGACAATGAAAGAGTTTTAAAGCTTTCGTTGTAGTATCGTATATCTATGTAACAATCATTTTTATCACTCTCATAAAATAATACAGCTTTTTTAATTGTTTTTATTTTTTAATATCATATTAAATGCAAAAAATGTCATTATTACAGTATTAATATGTATACAAATAAATAAATAATTAAATAAATACGTCACCTCATCGTCAGGTAAAATCACAAAGTCAACATGTAAAACACGACTAAATGTAAAAAATTAAACGAAGGAATACATAGAAAAAAAATTATACCTAATCATGACAAAAATTCTGTCAGTATCCTGTAGTTAAGAGCCAATTTAATTTCCAAAAGTGACAACTTTAAGTGCATGATAATAAGTGTCATGCACATGGCCCGATCACAGTAATTTCCGCAGTACCCGTACTAACAATGCAGTGGGAAGATTACTACATTCGCATTGCCATAATTGGTTTGTTTAAATTGGACAAATCAAATTTTCGCTCTCTTGCGACCGCTTAAAATGAGTGAATGATTTGTGTATCGGACCATCGAACGTTACTCTGATACTGGTGATGTTGATCGTGTTAGAAGTGGTTGTCCTCGTTCTGTTCGGATGAAAAAGGCGATTGAAGCCATTCGTTCAAGAATCAATTGAAATCCTTTACGGAAACAGAAAATCATCGCACGAGAGATGAAATTCAACATGCGATCGGTTTCTCGCATAATCCGAGATGATTTAGGTATGCGTGCATATAAGCGATGTACAAACCATTTGTTGACGGACCGATTGAAGAGAAGTAAGACTCGAAAGATCAAAAAAGCTGTTACGCTCGTACGGTCGAAAAAAATTTAAACAAATTTTATTCACAGGTGAAAAAATATTCACCGTTGAAAAAAATACAACAAATAGAATGATAGGGTTTATGCAAGGTCATCATTAGAGGCCAGAGAAAAGGTTTCACGCGTTCAACAAGGCCACCATCCTGCTCAAGTTAAAAAAAATCAGTTTTATTATAATATAGTCTTAAACAACTTATCTATAATCTAATCAGTTAATTGCAGAGTTTTGCTCAATCATATATTTTGTTCGCAATAGTATGTGGTCGTATTCAGTATGTAAACTAAATTACTCCTAAAATATCAAAAATATGTCACGTTTCGACTGATGCGACTGAATTTGTTCACAGTTTGTTTTATTGGCCTATCGATAATCTTAATAACGGCTGTATTAACGTGCATTAATTAATGAAACGACAATCAACAAATCGGCGTCACAACATCAAATGTGACAGATTTGTTATTCAAATATGAATACAGACGTATATTCCTAAACTGCTTTAACCACGTTTTCTTATATGTGCTAGTTGAGATTTAACTGTATAATGTATTATTATTAGGCTTAGGGACTTCTAGCATTTGCATACTTTTGTTAATTATTGTTAAATATAGCAGAGTGCGATATAAATTTATTTCTCGGTGCCATGATATCAGATTTAAAATTTGAATAGATTTTGCAGGAAAGTGGTTATTTTAAAATTGTTGTACTTATTTTGTATATTTTGACAAATTGTTTAAATCTAAAATTAAAAACTATATATAATTCAACAGATCAAAAAAAAATATACTAATATTAACAATAATATGCTAATATAACTATATAATAATAATTTATTATGTACATGAATAATAATAAAACTGTATAAAATATAAGCCTATATTCTAAATTCATAAAGTGTACACAAATTGCAATTTGTTCATATTTGATAAAAATAAAATATATTATGCATTTATATTAAATGGAAATATTAATTTATATACTTGAAATTTCTAATTGTATACTTGTCTTACCTTCTATTAAACCAGCGTTTCCCAACCTTTTCCCCTCACGGCACACTAATCCTAACCTATATTTAACTGTGGCACACTAGACACTGACTTATGTATGTATAAATTTTTGTATTTTTTATATTAGGATTTTACCATATTTATATCAAAATAGTTTTAAATCAGTAAATTACTAGTAAATAATTTAAAATGTTGTGTTTATTTAGGTTACGAAAATTCATGCAAAATCATATTTTATCCATTATACGTGCGCAGCACGTGGAATATCAGTGACGTTCAAAGAAGGCGTATAAAATAAATGTCGGTTTAAATAAAAATGTTAGTATGATAAATTTGCTTCATGAAGGACGACTAACGACTAACCAGCTTTAAGTAAATACAATGAATTAATAAGAAATTATGAACAAAAATAATTTTTATTACACTATTTATCAAGAATTCAAGATTATAACAATCAGGTAATAGCCTATAAGAGAATCGTTAAACATATTTTAAGCTATTATCGGAATTTTACATAAACGTTTATTAATAATCATGATATTTCGCGGCACACCTATGGAGTGCTCACGGCACACCTATGGAGTGCTCACGACACACCGGTTGGGAAACGCTGTATTAAACCAAGAATAATGCATAAAATATTTTAAATCGTATGTATTTACATATGATTGATATTAGGTATAATTGTAAACTAGATATATACTGATCCGGAGGAGAGAGATCGCCAATATACTCTTAGCTTGATATTTATAACGTAATAATAATCCTGTACTGAAAATCAAGTGAAGCATCTTGTATAAAAAATGTTTTTATCTAGTTGATATGTAAGAATGTTGTTTTCTGATTTTCCGTGTAGCTTTCTAAATAATTTGGAAAAACGGGAACGTTTACTGCATTAACTGTTGCATAATTTTCGATTTAGTTTTTTAGTTTTTTGGAATTCGGTTAAAAACAATCGTAAAAACCAGATATTTTTACAAAATAGTTACATAAGCCTATTCTAGAAGTGTTGAAATATTCAACAAAATTTGATTTTTGAGATATTTATAATTATTATTTGACGTTTTGAGTTTTTTTTATTAGTTTTATTTAGTTTAATGTGAATAAAATCGTGCGATCGAACAGAAATGCTTGAAAATTTAATTCTAGGTTCATTATCTATTAATTTAATATAGTGGCAAAAAAAAGTTTAGTTTAATATACTAGTTTTTTTAAAATCGTTAAAACAAAAATCTTAAAAATGATTATATTTAAAAACATGTATAAGTAATCGAACTTCACTCAGAATCTTTTTTCATTAGCAATGGTTTATTCTTGCATACAGATAATAATTAAATAATTGTATGTTTCCTATCTTCTCGACTTCCTACGTTCTACCTACAACAATGGTACAACCATCAGTAGTATCTGTTCTTTTTGTTTTAGCTATATACAATATAATAATATATATCCGTATTCTTTTTTTAAACCATATTTTCAGTAACAATGAATATTAAAATCATTTATATGATAATATTATAATATTACCATATGTGTATTATATATCTATTTATTATTTATAACTTAAATTATATTATACATGTTTTTAGTACCTGTAAATTTTGGTTTCCAGTTTGTTTTGTTGTTTTGGAAATATTACCGTAAGTGGATATAGATATAATTATAGTTTACACTTTACAAAATCCACAAAATAACGTTTAGGGAAAAAGGTAAAAAAAATAACGAAATTAATAATTTTCAAAAGAGAAGCGACGAACGTACATACTACACAACCTTCTATTTCATACTAATAAATAGGACATTATATAGATGGGTATTACTTATGTACCAAACACACTGTGGAACTGGAATGAAGAGAGAGTAATTATGACTGATTTTATCCGTTCAGTGATTACCAAAAAGGTCTGTCTATTATAGTTCTAACTATCCATAACGTCCTTGGCACGGTTAGTTAAAATTGTCGTTGAAACAGTTTTTCGATGCTGAAAACATTTAAATTGGCACATACCTACCTACGTACCTATATGGTACTTTATTAAATACTGATGTTAAATTCTATATACAGCTACAGTATAGTGAAGTATTACTAATGCAGGCATCAAATTCGCGAGAGACAGGTAAACATTATTATGAACGTGCAATCATTTTTTTTAATTATATTTGTGCAGCGATTAAAATACAGTCTCTATATTATGTAAATTAATAGAGATAGGTGTACTTGTATAAATATTTATTTTAATCAAACAACGAATAGTAAATGTCAAATAAATCTATTAGTATTTTGATACATTCGCTAATATATAATATAAACTCAAATTAAAAAAATCACAACGAACAAAATACAAAAAAAATTGTTATCACTGGATGTGCAACTAGTTTTAGGAGGGAAATTAGAAGGGAGGATATATTATAGCAGAGTAATTTAATTTATATTTGTACGCAACGATAAACTATTATTTTTAATAAAAAAAATCATGGGCAAAGTACCTAATATTAGTCTTTTTTTATTATTTTTTGCAAAATTAACCCAGAAATCAAAAAAATGTACTAGTTTTACTCTTTAATTAAGAAAACTACAAGAAAAAAAAAATGATCTCCCCAATATATCAACTAGATCAAAAATGCTACAAGAAAGGTCTAATAAAGTTTTTTGATCCTCACGTATCTTTAGTATTTTTCGGAATTAATATCCTCATATTAGTATTGTAAACATTGAAGATAACCATAAAGATACTATAAAACCGTCGAAAAATTATAATATGAGTTTTTTAAGTTTTCTTTTTAAACAGGTAGGATAACGACTAAAAACACCAGTTTATACTTGTTTAAGCACTATAAAAAAATTTAAAATACATTAATGTAGTACATGAGAAGGTTGTTTTAGATTCTGAGGGGAACGAGTAATGAATCGGTTTTACAATGATGTTTATTATTTTATATTTTTTTGAATACAACTCTTTTTTAAAAGGAAATTTTCTTGGAATGGTACTTTAGGGAGTATATTTTTCGATTTTTATCAAAAGTTTTGTCATTAAATATGAAAAATCAAAAAAAAAAGGAGGAAAACGGGAAAATGTACGAAATGTAGGTATTAGTTGAAAAATATTTCGGTCTTTTTCTTTCCTGTGAACAATTTTTCTACTAGCAATTTCGCCATTTTTTTAACATAACATAACATAAATATTCTTGATAAAGCATTACTCTAAACTGAATTCCGCTCAGAATCGTTTTTCATTAGTAATAACATAATCATTACATACACATATAAATAAAATTTATTTTCAACCTTCCAATTTTTCACCTATAATATTGGCTCACTCATCGTGTGAAGTACCTATGTCCGTTTGTTTATTTTCCTTATCTTTTTCTCAATATTTGGGAAAAACAGAAAGTTTGTAAAAATAACGATGATATGAATAATAAGAATAATGACGTATGGGTCAAAAAACTTCAATTCAATTCAAACTCTACAAGAAATATAGAACTATTTAATAATTAAAATGTAATATTAATATAAGTTATTCAATATGAAAAAAAAAAAATGTATTAACTTGATTACAGCAAAACTGTAGTAAGTACGTATATTAGATAGGTATAGGTTATTTTAGTTTACGAAGGCAAAAATAGCCGTCATCGAAAAATAAAGAAGTTAAACACATAAAATTAACCTACATAAATTGATGAATAAACGATATTATTACTGACTATTAGATGTTCGGTTTTGTCGGTTTAATATTATTTTAGTGAACAGTGTCAATATTTACAATGCGAAAATTTGAAGGAGAATACCACACTTTATTCAAGGAATTTGAAGATGAAGAAATTTCCTTTTACAATTATTTTAGAATGTGTCAAAATCAATATAGTATAATATAACGGATCCGTTCTAATTACGAATTCATACTATCAAAATTGATCAGGAACGGATAGGCAACGTCATGTCAAAAATTAGTTTTCGATAAAACTTTCCGTTCCGTGACGTTGACGATATATTACTTTGCCGGTCAGTGTGAACATTGCCATTTAAATACATGGAGATTTATTTTGCCTTGACGTTGCCGGTCTGTGACGTGACGTCGTCGTTCCGTATAGTGCGAATCAACCTTAAATATTACAGAGCTCATTGCCCGTTGGTAATATTGATGAAATTCAACGCGCTCACGTTTATAAATTGATACCTAGGTAGATAGCAATTTTATTATCGTTTCGATTGAATTAATATTCTAATAATAATATAATGTTCCTAATACAAAGGTATCTAGATAAAAATATATTAATTAGGTAGGATTGTTAGAAGGTCTTTAGCACCCCTAAAACTACCCAATAAGTTGTTTTATAGTATAGACTAACTATTTTATCCATGTATTTAACCATTAATAAGCAGATGAAATACAAATTACTTACACAGACAATGAATAAGTGTATAAAAAATAAAGTTGAAAAAATTATGAAAAATTGTACCTGTATAAAATGTGTAGTTCCTTATTATAAGTATCGTGTAAAGTAGATTGTTAGGGTACTAATTGCCTCTATGGGTCTGTGATATGTCTATAATTTTAGCACCCCCAAGGTTGGTGATCTAGTTTAGCCTATGGGTACCTAATAAATGTACAGATTTATCTAGTTAGGTACGTCACCTACGATCTATAAAATGTACTTATATCTTATTTCGAAATAAAATACAATGTTATGTAGTTATCTAGGTAGGTATCGACCTATTGTAATAAATGTCATCAACTTTAAGTAGGTATAGATAGGCAAGGCCGTATATGAGGCGGGAGAGGCCGATTGATCGATTGAACTTTGAATTTTGGGTATTTAATGGGAAAAAACCGAGAAAAACAAACATTTATCATATTGTAATAGTACCTAGGTATACGGAACACGGTAGGTATCATCAAAAGCTGTCGTAAGCCTGCAATAATATTATTATCAATAGACTAAAACTTTTTCTTGTTTTTTTCCCGTTACCTCAAAGTCAGTGTTCGACCGGGTCAAAAACTCCCCCTCAAAATGTTTCCAAAAATGATTGTTTATTATTTTCAAGATGAATACTAATTATGTTAGAAAAATAAGATGATTTAATTTAATCTTTCGTGAAATTTTCGTCCAGCTACGGTTTTGTAGCCTGTAGGTAAGTAGGTATCTGCGCAACTATTCACTAAGTCATTTTGTGTAAGTCTTATTCAATGTAAATTAATTTGAAAAATAAATTACCTACCGGCTATAAAATAAACGAAATGAACGATTCAACATGATCCCATTACGAAGTTTGAAATAACATCTGTGAACACAACCACGCTGAAAACTGCAGCCGTCAGCAAGAAACTGTAGGAATAAATTTTGTTTGCCAAAAAAAACCTTATTCTCATCGGCTCAGTAATAACAATAATTTAATATGAAAAACAACATTTGGCGTATTAATATTATCTTAGGGTCGAAACAGTGTTTGACTGATTAACGCGTAAATCGTGAATTTTAGTTTTATTAAATTGTTATTATTTAGATTATTTGTTTTAGGTGTTATTAAATTAAATATTACTTCGCCACTTTCAAAATGAGTGCAATTAGGACGTGTCAGTACTGATCGATTATTTAGTATTCGTAATTAACCCTCAACTTCTGGAAACTATATTTTATCGTTATCAAACACATTGTTATCATAATCACCGGCTCACGTTATCTCCTAACAATTGATAACAATTTTATTGCCCACAAAATTGCTTTAAGCATTGAAATCCGTGTAATACTCAGTTTATTTTTTAATTTTTTATTTGTTTTAAATAGTTACAGCATAAAATAAGATAGATGTAATAATTTTTCTCGATGTCGTGTTGATCGGCGCTTCATCTAGTGATGATGACAAATATTCTATCATTGCGTTTTGTATGAATCTCTCAATAGTTACAGTTTTTTTGTTTCACATAGGTATTTATCCACTGAAAATGCTTGGTGTCAATTTTCTGTCATGTGGAGAGCTTTTCTATTCAGTTTCATTCGGAGAAAAATAGTACTGTGGGTAATTTTTGGCTGCTCGCTAATGTATTGTATTGTCAGTTTCCTATTGATTGTAAGTTTGTAATTTTGATGTAGGTATCGTTTGTAGTTAAAATAATGTTTCATATTTTTAGCCACCCAGACGTTCGGATATATGGCGTGTATCGAAAAAACTGGACCACAGTTCTTTTGTTTGGATTTCAGCCGAAGGAGAATGGAACAGTTCAATACCTCAAAGTTGCCGGAACACTATACAAGGCAAAGAATACATTGCAGATGACAGAGGTATAGATTCAAATTATGTACTTTTTTTTTTATTATTATTTTATTCGTTCCGTGCACTACCTATATGATTTTATTATAAGGTAAGTATCTAGAATTATAATAATACATAAAATAGATACAAGATATTTCATTCTATGTGTCACTCTTAAAAATTATTGCCAATTTATTTTTCTGATGTGGTAATCATTATCATTATTAAATTGTACAAATATTATTGTTAAATAAAAATGTTAGTGAATAATTTTTAAAATCAGTTTTATAAACAACTGCTGTTGTGAAATAATAAATTTAGAATATAATTTTAAATAAGTACAAATGTAGGTATTGAAATCAGCAGGGATATGAGATAGAAGAACCAAATTGATCAATTAATGAAAAAAAAAATGTAGAAATGATGTATCCATTAAGAATAACTAAGTTCTGAACAAACTATTTTAATTAATTCATATACTTATTTACAGTTTAACATAGTTTATGATTTTAAAATGGTTTATTTAAAATAGTATTTCATAATAATTACATAAATATTGATTAAATTTTAATAAAAATGATTAAGTAACTCTAATCAAGTTTTATACTGTTTTAAATATACACAAATACATGTTTAATAGAATTAATAATCAAAAAACATTTAAATATATATAAAGAATGTATAGTATTTTATAATAGGATTAAATATTGTTTTATAATATTTTTGTTAACACAAATGAAATTAGTCAATGAATTTGTATTTTGTAAATTATTGCTTGGAAGATAAAAATTATTCTTAAAAGCACGTTATATCCGCATGCGCTGTCTCATTCTAACTAATGGGAAACATAAGAAAATTTACCTTACACAGATTGCATAGAACTCGCTTAGTTTTTGTTTTAGAATTTAAAGCACCTATTATTAAATTAAAAGAGAATAATATTCTGGAAGTCAAGTTGATACATTTCTTTTTTTAAATTCATTTTTTGAAATGTAAGTCATTTAAAAATGATAAAATAGTCTTTATTTCTAAACAATGTATTGAACGTTATATTCAGAATTATAATTAGAATAATAGCAAAAACACATTGTCTTGCATTTTATAATAGGTGATTTTATTCTAAAACCAAAATGAAACAAGTTCTGCTCAGTTTGCGTAAGGTAGATTACACTAAATTGCTCATTTGTTGGACTGAGATAGCATATACATGTGGGTATACCCCTATAGTTTTTGCAGTCCATTACATGTCCTTTTTTAAATATTGGGCACAGTATTGAGACCTGTCATGATTTTGGCATTGTTTCATAAAAACAAATGAATAGGATAATGAAATTTTGTACACAATTTTTAATCTTTACAATCAGTAAACCAGATATATTCAATAAATTATTATTTCAAGGTGCATAGATTCAATTTAGTAATTTATTTTAACTAAATAAGTTTATATTTTAGTTAACTAATTTACTATGTACCTATTTATAGTTGTTAGTGGTTATTTTGTAGAATAGAAAAAAAAATAACTGAAACATTGCTGGAAGAAGTGAAACATAAAATATTGTGTATTATATGGTGAATATAATTATTCAAATATTTATTTTCAGGTTACATCTGTCAAAGAAGCAATCTGCTAGCAAACAATTGTTGTGGGATTACTGAAAACCGCTACATATGCGATACATGCAATGTCGATGGTTGTTGTGTGTTGTATGAACACTGTGTGTCATGTTGCCTCGATCCCAATAAGGTTCATAATAGTATATTATATTTAAACAATTTTTATAAATAAAATAAGAAATTATTGATTTTTTCAGAGGAAACTACTACAAACAGTGTTAGGTAAAGCTTCAGAAACCTTTCGTGTACTATTTTCAGTCATCAACAATCAATTTGAACTTTGTTTGGCAAAATGTCGAACGAGTTCGCAGAGCGTGCAACATGAAAACACATATCTAAAACCGAACAAACATTGTTATACGACTGCGGACAAGGTACCTTGATGAGGTCAGTAATACGGTCAAGCTAATAACTGACATTGGACAATATTATAATGTATTTTATGTACTTGTGGGTGAAGATTAATATGTTCAACAATATTGTATTATTCCATTGTTAATTGCGGATGTGAAATTCAAAAACCCTGCTGGTTAATTTACAAGCAAATACATGTTTTTTTAGTTCATTAGACGTTCAGCAATTTAATTATTAGTCTTGTTTTGTAACCGAAAATAAACTGTTTACTGATAATATTTTTGTCAGTTGATTACTTTTTCTAGTAAACAGTTTAGTAACTTTTGTAACCACCCATTTCAAATTGATAATAGGTTTACTGATGTTCGGTTACAAAGTTAGATTAAAATTTACACACGTAAATTGTGTGATGAACTAATTAATCATAATTTTTCTTTTAACAAAATTTGTAATTTGTTGTTTATAGTGTTTATACAAGTGGTAGTTACAACAGAAAATACTCTTTGTTTCATTAATTACATATATTAACTATCATCTATTTTGTTGTATAAGTTCTGGTGAAACTTGTAGGAAATCAAGTAAATTGTAACATTTTTTTTGAGTCATACAGTAATTAGTACTGAAATCATGTGTACCAAATTTCATAGATCCACTTCTTCAACATTAGCTGTCTGACGAAAATGGTCATTCCGAATTACTAAACTTAATATAGTTAGATTTTTTAGATGATGTACAGGTTTCATACTGAGTCATACAATCATATTGTTATTAATATTATCAGATTTTATAATATGCATTAAAATTTAAATCAGGGATAGCTTTGTGAAACTTAACCTTACAAAAAAGTATAGTAAAATGTATTTGAAAGCATTCACCTGTGATATAAAAATTACTAGAACTGAGGACTTCTAGGTTTTTCTATTTGTCTATAAAGGTCACAGAATACTATGGATGGCATACAAATATGTTTCATAACCAACTATAAGACCTACTATGTTGCATGGTTTAGAGTGTTGAACAGGTAGACAGAAAAGTAAAACAGGGATGAGAATGCTTAGGTGGATGTATAGAGTGACTAGATAAGATAAAGAATGAGTACATAAAAGGTAGCATAAGCGTAGCTTTAGTAGTAGATAAAATAAGGTAAAATAGCTGATGGTTTGCACACATGAGAGAAGAATCAGAAGCACCACCGAATGATGTAATGGAAATATACTTAGGGAAAAGGAGAGGGGAACAGGAAGACTGAAAAAAAGGTGATTAAATGTGATTGGGACTGACACAAAGATAGGAGGTATATGTAAGGATGATGTAGGAGTTCGAGTTAAGTGGAAGTTTAGAATGAGGGTGGATGACCCCAAATAATTGAACCTGAAGGAGAAGAAGAAGATGATTTTGCATATTTTGTAATTATTGCATATAAATGTAAGTATTTAAGTATATTATACAAATTAAGAGCATACGAAGAAAATGTTCCAAATGTATACCTATATTATATAATATTATCAGTTAGTGAATTCACACATGGAAATATTGTAAGAAATACGTTTTTGAAAGTAATTAAATTTCAAGTTTTTATTAATTAAAAGTTTTTAGAATTTTTATTTTTTATATAAATATTATAATTTAAGTACAATATTTTTTATGTTAAATTTTTTAGAGCATATTTTTTGTTTTATAAGTGAATACTAGTGAATAATAGTACATATATATTTTGAGGTTTCTAAGTACTAGAAGTTCTAACTATAACTAATAATAATATTAGCATAATAAATGCACAAAAAATAAACATTTTGTTTTTCAACTATAAATATTTAGTTCAGTAACTAAATTTAAAAATTTGTATATTGCCCTTACAGTAACTGACTATTAACTTGAATATATAACTTAATAAACTTAATCACTAAACTGTTTATAACACCAAAGCACAACAATAATTTTTAACATTATCTGAAATGTATATAAAAAACTTTTTACTTAAGTTACGTGCTAAGTTAAAATTAGTAATTTACACTAATAATTTAATTGATTACTTTTTAACTTTTAATTTAATTATATAATTATTAATAGCATAGATAATTAAATTGTTGGTAACAAATATTAACTATTATACCATGTATATATTGTACTAATTTTGGTACCTATAATAGAATTTATTTTACAATAAATATATATTTTATACCTTTGTAAACGCAAATAAAATTACAACTTATTTGTTAAAAAAAAAAAGTGAGACTGGACATTGTATATAATTTATTGAATATTAAATAATTATATAGGTAATTAATATCTTTTGTGAATATTATATTTTATACAAAACAAATAATAATGGTAATTATACTTGATAAATAAAAATAATATTAAGTTAATCAAAGATGTGTTAAATTTTTAAAGGTAAAATAAATATTAAATTTTATCATACTATTTTAAATTGATAAGTTTCATTTAGAGTCAAGTAATAATTCAATAGATAAAACAATAATAGTTTTAAAAATCTATTGAACTATTCAATGATAACTTAATAATAACAATTAGCGGATACACTTTGCATGATAGGTGGGACACTGACATGAGTAAGAAATTGGAACGTAGGATATAGAGAGGAATTTAATTTACATCTGTGTGCAACGATTAATTATTGCTAACGAAAAACGATTCTGAGTGGAGTTTGGTTATACATGTTTTGAAAGGCCGTAATTTGAAAATAAAACAAGTTGTAAATTTTTCAGGTTTTTCCCATTTATTATAAAATACCGATATATATTGCGAACCGCCCATGGGCTGAAATTTGTAAATTCCTAATAAAAAGGTCGTCTAAATGCTGAAGAGAGAATCCACTTCCTTGTCCTTGGTACACGTCTCGTTTTGTCAATAATTTCGCGAACTTTTCTTTAATATCGCTATCGGGGAAAATCGGCCTGGCTGAGGTCTTGAACGCTTTATTCACGGCGGAATTTTCTACTTGCGGTTTATAATATGTGGCCTCGAGTTTTTGATTGAATTTTTTTCGACGATTTGTTTTAACAGGTTTATTAAATCAGGTTTGAGTGAGCGGAGTGATTGTCTATAGTTGTTGATATTTTGGATATGTTTGGTATAGTACCACACGATTTTGCGGTCGAAAGACGAATCAATTTCGGTGAATCCAGATGTTTTAACTATTTCTATCGTTGCTTTTTTCACTTGAGCGGCGGTATCTTCTTTAAGTGCGCGTTTCCTACCTACGGGGAACAGTAAAAAAAAAAAAAACCTAAATTAAAACTAATTCCCTCGCTATTTCCTATGTGGTGGAGCTTAATAAAAGAAATATTATCTTCGTTGTTGCAAATATCCATATCGAGTTCCATAAACAGCTCGTAATTTTCTTCGTTGGTAGTACATGGCACGGCCGAACGTTCGTTTGACAATTCGGCGGTGGTATTTGACTGTCCTGCTTGCACGTCGGTAACAATAGTTAGCAAAGCAACTCTTCCTACGAAATGGATAATTTTAACGTGAGTATCGTGGTTGTATTTACGCGTAAACGATTTAGGACACTGAGTGCATTGAATTTTTACACTGTCGTGCGGTTTAGCGTGGCGGGTCATACTACGTTTAGAGTTAAGTACTTCTCGCATCCGATGAAGATACATTTAGACGCATTCATTTTTAAACGAATATATATAAAAATAACAAGTGAAAAAATTGTAAGGCACACGGACAATGATGGTAATAAAATCACTACTGATGATCGATCGCTCGGATGTCTGTGACCACAAATAATGTAATTCGTTATCGATAATGAATAGCAATCAGCTGTGTGTGTGTGCGCGCGTATAATTAACGATCGTGTTGTCAACCTTTGGATCTGTTGGTCGATGATAGCAACGGTTACAATAATTATATTATCATTGATGAAAATCTATGTTAAAAGATGTAATACCTACGTACAAAATAATATAAGACGAAGAGGGTGTGTACGGGATAGTGCGGGGTGTGTTTAGGTTATACGACGGGTACGATATCGCGCGCTAAGACACAATTATAATATAACGACCTTTGTATCGACAGCCGCTAACTTCACTACAATCACTTATATAGTAATACACATAAAATAACATTTCAAATGTCGAGAATATTTATGTAGCACAACAGTTTACACGGGTGGGCAGGGAAACGTTAACATTTGTAGAAATACTAGCAGGTGTGCGCTGGCCGGCGCTGCTAAATCTATTATGAGTTAGTATATGATTGCTAATAAATAAGTATATATATATAGTTGTAAATCCTTTGTGGTGTCTGGTTTATATTATTTTAATCGAGAGCTTCATATACGATTGCTAATGGTTTTATAAATTATGTAATAATGTATACAAACGTGATCATAAAATAATGTTAGGAAAAAAATATTATTTGGAAAAATAATAATAACTTATTAAAATATATACACTAGGTAAATACAAATTATTTACGGTGTCAAGAGTCGTAGTGGGAAAAGTATATGGCATACAGATGTTGTACACCGAGTTCGATTCATGCCCAGAGTGTTAAAAATTTTATTGCAGAAAAAAAAAATTTAATAATCACAGATATATGAAAACAATAGGTACATAACGATAACGATAGGTATATGATACCGAAAATAGTATGTTTATGATAACGATGTAGGTTAGTCGCAAGGTTTATAGATAATAGAAGTTGCCCCACCGTCGAATTTATGAAAAATAAGCAGTGGGGGAAATCTGATAGTGATGTTACTGCAGTACACGGTACATGCCGCCGTAATAAGTTGCGGTACTATTCTCCGTATTCTCGCGTGTTTTGTACAATTTCAACTGTTTTTTATATTATTATATTGAATTGTCAAATTATGAGTACGAGAGGAGGTTCAAGTTGTGCAATTGCAACATGCAATTCTTACTCTGGCAAAATAAAAAAAAGCTGAAAGGACTGATGTATCATTTCATTGGTATAAATTATAATGATTTCATACGTATTGTGATTTACTGATATCATCTTGTAAATGAGTTATAGAGATGAATTCAGTTTTCCATTTAATTTACTATATTTTAAGTTGATTTTACCGTAAATTAAATGTTTCCAAAGGACCTCGTTCTTCAAAAGTTATGGATTCAAAAATGCCAGCGAGGGGACGTTTGGAATCCTAGTACAGTATAAGTGTGTTCAGAACATTTCAATTCTGATGACTTTCTTTGTGATTTAAAAGTTGAACTCTTAGGACAAAAACCTGACAGGAGACTGAAACCAGATGTAGTATCTACAGAAAACTAAAATAAACTAAAATAAAAATCAAAATATTCTAATTGCAAAAAGGCAAGCTAAATTACAATTACAAAAACTTCAAAAGCTAAGAAAACTTTTGACTTAAAAATATAACTTTTGACTTGTTTATTAAATAGGTTTTACTAAATAAAAATAATTACATATTTTTGTATATTTTGTATTTATGGAGTGTTTTTATTATTAAAATATTAATTATTCAAATTTATTTAGTAAAATTATTTTTATTTTAGGAACCATTTAAATAAATATAATGGGAAATATTGAGTATAGAACAGGTATTACTTTTCTCAAATTTCCTAACTATTTAAAAACAAGTTTAATATATATTCCTACAGTATTTAAAGTATATTTGTCTTTTTTAGAAATATAACTTTATTCATATAATCTACACTTAGAGCATTAAGTTCCTAGTCATACAGTGATTAAGCATTTTAGTAGGTACTAAAATCTAAACCTCCAATGTAAATAAATAAATGTACGGTGATAAGCATATTGTATATTTTGTACAGCTGCCACAAGGTTTATAGATAATATTATCTATAAACCTTTCAGCTGCCGTACGATCGATGGTCGTGGTGTACTGCAATGATGTCACTAGGCGAGGAATGAATGCGGGGGCTTCGTTTTGTTTACACGATGGTAAGGAAACCTTTATTATCTATAAACCTTGGGTAAGTCGAGTAAGAAGCTGATAATGTTTTGAAAAAAAAAATATATTTGGAAAATTGGGCGTGGCTAAATAGGTTGATGAAGAGATGGACAATTCAAGCGGCCATGTATTAGGTATGGCACCTTGCACTTGCACCTGCGCCTCGGGCAGAATCCCCTATTTCATACTACTAGCAGCTATAATCACTCGTGTTTGATTTCTTTATTAATTTATTTTATAATTCAACCTTTTATTTTCCTAATATAAAGATTAGCATTTTTTATCTGAGTGCACCCAGGTGCAAAGTGTTAATTAATTAAATTAGCTTATTTGAATTGTATTGTGACTGCCGTCCAACGACTCCAGGATCACGTGAAGATATCTAGTATCAGGTATACACTCTAGCGTTCCAACACCGTAGGCAAGTAAAATATATTCTTTTTTATTGATCTTGTCACTATTCTCGGATTCACAGATTCGAATCCCCTTCAAACATCGGAAGGAAGGTAGTATTATAATTAGTAGGCTGAACTTTTATTATATTTGAAAAAAAAATCATTCTTTGTAGTACCAAAAACTAAACCAATTATTTTATATTATATAGGTACATTTTTATACTTAGTCTTCTATCTTATTCTTTGTAGGTACTTCTACATAGTAGCCTATTTATTTTAATTTTCCTTGTCTTTCATTATCACTTATGTCATACTAACTAATTATTTTAAATTTCCTATTTTTGTACTACTACATTCCTATCATAATTTGGCACAAAATTACTGGAAGAAAATTTATGCACAAAAAAAATATAATATTTTAGAAATATATTTCATATATTTTGCGTTTTTCAAATTTTATGAGAAAATTCCTGAGAAAATTGAAAAATGACCTCCTTAGAAAACCTCCTCACACTAATTGCCTTTAGAAAAAGTTTTATACATAAGAATCTGTTCATGTCTTTTGGTAGAAAAGTTGTTAACAGATAAAAAAAAGTAAACTTCTTTGTAAAATCATAAGCTTTTTCGCTACAGTCAGAATCTAAAATTATTGGAGCGAAATTTGATGATGCATATTTTGTAAGACCATAGTATTAACAGTTTCCTTAAAATTTGATACTAAAATTCTAATTAACTAAATATACATTATCTATTATGTAAATTATATATGTTAATACATTTTCTCTTTTTTCCTACATTTTTTTTCCTGGTTTTTCCCAATTATCGTGAAAACAACATCGTAGCAAAATTGCTGGTATAAAATTGTTTATACATAAAAAAAAAAACACATAAACATCATTGTAAAACCAATACCTTCTTCTCTCCGTTCAGAATCTAAAACAAGTATAGGAGTTATCTACTTGATACATCTATTCATGAACAGCCTGACAATCCATGACTAAACTTATTCAAAACATATGTATGTTTTACTGTTGTAGGTAAATAGTTT